CGTGGTTTCCGTTTTCTAATACTGTTCTTTCTCGGGGTTCTTTTTGTTCTCTCTTTTTTTTTTTTTTTTTTTCTCTTTCTTTTTGTTTTTTTTATTTTTTTTTTTTTTTTTTCCTTTTTTTTCTTTTTTCTTTTTTTTTTTTTGGCCCCCGTCCCCCCCCCCCCCCCCCCTAATGATGACCTCTATTTTTGATGCTTTGAAACTTTCGAATTGTTCCTTTTTTTTGGACGTTTCAAAGCTAGACACGTTCTATCGCTGTTCCTGGAGGACTTTGTTTTTCCCACCCCCCACCTCCTCCCACCTCTCTTCCCCCTGAGCTTTCTCCCCCACCCCCACCCCTATTCACGATCGTCACGAATGCATTGGTCTCGCAATTTATTTATATACGTGTACTTTTACCCGCAACAGACGATCCTGTGTCTGTGTTTCATAGTACCGATTAATGGCCTTTTCTGGAAATGTTGTTGTGTGCTTCTAGTCTTTTTTGTTTGGTGTTGTTTTTTCTTCTGTTTAGGTAGCACAGAGCATAGCATGGCAGAAAAGACAAAAACTTTTTAATTTCTCTCATATATATATGTATTCTCTTGGGATCTTGAAAGATTTTTTTTGTTTGTTTGTGTCATGGTATACAGAGAGTGCTGATCCGTACATAGTTTTTGTATGTATGTAGATCTAGAAAAGAAAAGAAAGAAGTTCCCTTGCTCTTTTTCCTTCTTTCTCTCCCGGTCCGCCCGCCCCTTGCAGAGTTAACTGGTGATGCTGCTGCTGCTGCTGCTATGCCTCGGTAAAACTAACCCTGCCACAAATGACGGAACTGCCAAACAAAAAAAGCAAACAGAGGCCGATCCCCTTCTGCAGCTAACAAGCAAAAGGCAAGCCGGGGGGGGGAAAGGGCCTGGGTTTGGATCTGCGCCCGGCGATCTATATTATGCCTGTCTTTCAATTTCTTTTTTTTGTCAACACCGCTGAGCGTTTTTCCTTTTTTGAACAAACATGCATCGTCATCATCGTCATTATTATTTTTACTTTTGCATAAAACCACCTACCTCCACTGCACATGCGTGGGGTGGGGGGGCACCTTCTGGTTTGCCCGTTGCCTCGCTTTCTGGTAGTGATGCTTTTTTTTTAGCCTGACATGCCTCAGCGGTGTCTTGAGTTCTGCGTTGCTGGGAGATCAATAACAAACAATGGATTCTTCCTCCTGCCTGCCCTCTTTCCCCCCTTTTGATATATGTATGTACCGGGGGTATATGGGAGTGGGGGTGGGTATCTCAAAATGAGCCTTTTTTTTTTTTTTTTTTTCAAAACTTGAGTGACAAGCTGAGGCGAGGCGCGGCGATTCATGCTCCCAGTAGGAGGGCTAGTTGTTTAGAGCTTTCGGGGGGGGGGGGGGGGGGGAAAAAGAAATCCCGATGCGCATGCATCCTGTAGGAATGCATTTGTTGCCCGGGTTTTTGTTATTATTACTCGGGATGAGGCTGTTGTTTCAGATAACTATCTTAAAAACGGCCGGAATAGTTTCTATCCCCTTTTTTTTTGTTGCTGAAAGGGATAAGACTATATGGCCCGTTGGGTTGTGTACCGCGTGTCAGGCCGTTGCACTGTCTTGTCGTTTGTTTCTGTCATTCCTTCCATTTTCAAGCTCTGGAGTCGATGTTTCTTGACGTTTTTGAGGCTGAGGCGTTTCATCTGTGCAGCTTGGAAACATACATTGAACCGCACCTATACGCTGTGTGATAGTGGTTGCCCAATGTTTAATGGATTGAGGGGAATAATCATAGCATCCGTGCTTTGATTTTGGTTGCTGTTTGGTGGGTGGTGAGATATGGGTATCCCAATCGACACAGGGAGAAACTGTGAAAGCCTACCCGCCTAGAAGGATGACTGTCGGTATGCCCTTGTGTCTGTGGCTTGAGGCACTAGTTTTGGTATCTTGTTTATTGGCTGACAGTTATTTGTGAGATTGTGAGAGCTTAAGTATCTTGATCATGAAGCTCAAGAGAGAAGCATCTCAGCCGGTGAGCAACATATGAGTGTATAGGGCCCTAAGGTGAGATTGCTCTTCTTGGCTGGGTGACCAGAACTCTCTTCCCTCTCTCTTTCTCTTTGACACACACACCCCAACTCACTCACTCACTCACAGAAAATACATCAAAAGTTTGCTTGGCTAGGCTTGTTTTCTTTGTGGTACTTGTCTCCATCGGAAGAAAGGAGTAGAAAGCTTGTTTAGGAAAGATAAAACTATTTCTTCCAGAAATAGCACCAATAAGCTCTAACGCAAGTTAGATATGCAGCGTTCAAAAAACTAACACTCTGCACATCAGGGGTATCTAGCAAACATGCACACCAGCACAGCAACTACACAAACAGCATGAATAAATACAGCACATCAACCATCTCTCGCAGCACGTGCAGCAGTGCAGTGGAGCAGTAATAACAGACCCCTTTAAGGGCAGCATGGGTTCTTGCATATACACATAGGGGCACACATACCCTCCCCCCTCCCCTTTCTGGCTTGGCGAAGCTTAGCCGCGGAGCTCACCCCTGCAGTGACGACGCCGGACAGGGCAGCAGATCCAGCGACAAGACGGGCAACCCTGCGAGCTTCTAGAAGGATGGCCCGTCAGGGTCGGGCTTTGAACGGAGTTGGAGGGAGGGGGGGGTTAGTAGGGCCCGAGATGGGCATGCTGAGAGCGTGTCTCGCTGGTTGTCGTGGGATAAGGTAAGGGAAAGGGGAGAGTTATCTGGCGGAGTGGACAACGCATTTTTCTGAGATGCTTGCGCTGGGTATACTTCTTCAGTGGTGGTTCTCCTGGTTATTGGGCTGTGTTGCCGTGTTTCTGTTTCTCGCGGGTATTCCCGTCACGCGATAGATGGTGTCACGAGACGCGCCGCCCGGCATCAGATAAGATTAGATCGATCATACTAGAGTTTCAGTCACATACCTCTACATCTACAACTCGCAGAGAGAGCAAGAACAGAACAGAGTATATAGAGGGACGAGTGTGGCAAGCTTGCGCTCCCGGGACGCTGGCAAGCGTTGCATGCGTCGGGCGGGCGGGCAGGCTTTTTTTTTTTTTTTTTTCATGTGGAGCGGGCAAGGCAGGGCCGGCTGTCGCATCCAGGGGTTACACTGGTGGGCGATGTTACATCCAGCGAGCTTCCTGTGGCCCCCGGGCGGCAGCGGTCGGTCGCAGCGCTCTCGCTCGGGGTGGCTGGCTCTGGCGTGCTCCGATGCATGATGCTGCTGACGGTCTGGCTGCCGGGCCCGTCGCTTTGGCGCAGATGGAGGGGATGGATGGCATCACGGTCATGGTCACCGCGACGTCGCAGGAGCAGCGGCGTCGCAGTTACGGGGCGTAAGTACGTACGTACGGTACGCGTGACGGCGGTACGGTCACGGACGGGGCGGTACGGTACGGTACGGGCGGCGGCTGTCGGCTAGTGAGTTCGCGCGGCCGGCCGGCCAACCAGCGGCGCGCGCGCCGTTGCAGTCGCGCTGTGACGCTGCCACCGCGATCGCCCCGATCGCTGCCCACGACGAGACCGCGCCGGCACCTTCTTTCTCTCTTCCTCTCTCGCTCTTCTTCTTCTTCTTCTTCTTCTTCTTCTTCTCGTCATCGTCGTGGGCCGTCTCGCATGCGCCCTGCCACCGCTACCCTCCCCTCGAGCCCGCCCGAGGCCCTGCATGCCCGCCCAGCCCAAGCTTGCGGAGAAGCGCCGTTCACCACGCCGACCCTCGAAAGCTAGCGTGTGATTCTTTATCCGCCAACCCCTCGAGAACATTCCCAGTCCCATGATTATTCCCGCGGCCAGCTCGGAACATTTTGTTAGTTGTATAAACAAAAAAGCAAAAGCGCCCGCTGATCGCCCGCTGCGTTTGGCGTCCTAGAAACGCCCTTGTCCCCTCCTCCTGCAACGCTACTGCTGCTACTACTGCCGCTCACCAACCCACACACGCGCATACTCACACCGTTCTGCTGCCCGTCTGGCTGCCGTCAAAATCCCGTTCGTCCTGGATGCTACTGTCGTGATGCTCTAGACACGTCGCGCTGCCTCGCTGCCGCCGCCGCCGCCGCCGCCTGGGTCCCCGCCCCTCCCGCCTGCATCCACCCAGCAACGCCGCCGCGCCCTCGCTGCGACGATACGTGCGCCAACCCTTTTTGCCCCCCCGCCGACGGGCACATCACCCACCGGGGTCCCTCTGGGAATTCTCCCGTTGGCTGCTGCGTTGCGGTGCTGCCAGCGCCTCTGACACCCTCAAATCCTGGAATCCTCCCCTTTTTTTCTTTTTTTCTCTTTTTTAAATCTCCATCTTCTTTTTTTTTTTTTTTCCTTTTTCCTTTTTCCTTTCTCTCTCTCTATCGCGCTCTCCTGCGAACCTTGCTCCGTAACTGCGCTCTACTGCGCGGTTGGGCTCCCTATTTTAAAGTCGCTCACTCCCCTTGTCCTGCTCTATCGCTTCTGCCTAGGGTGCTCTGTTTCCTCAAAACATATATCCATACTGCACTTCACTCCACGTCCTGTTGCACGCCTCCACCATGGGAGACTATCTCGTCAAGGCCGCTCGCCAGCTGCAGGAGTTCTTCAGCAGTTTGATCCAGATCCTGCAGAAGCTCCTGCGTGGAGAGGCGTCCCAAAAACACCCGAGTTTCATCAACCGATGGCGGCGACGCTCTCTGGACGGCTTCGCGGAGGAGATTGAGCATTTGTTTACCAGCCACTTGTCGCCCAAAAACCTGGCATCGATCTCCAAGAAGATCAGCAGCCAACTCCGCACATCGGCCAAATCAAGCCAGATTAACATGCTCCCCTCCTTCAACCACTCTCTGCCCACTGGCCAGGAGAAGGGCTCCTATCTCGCTCTAGATGTAGGAGGCTCAACCTTCCGCGTCGCCCTGGTGCAGCTGTCTGGCAAAGATGGAAAAATGACCATTCGCAAGATGACCTCGTCACATATCAACGAGAAGGTCAAGGCCCTGCAAGGCAAAGCCTTTTTCGACTGGATGGCCGAGAAGATCGAGGTGATGCTGAAAAGCAGCCCTACGGAATTTGAATTAGACTTTCCCCTGTCCATGGGACTGTCGTGGTCGTTCCCCATTGACCAAACGTCGATTCGCAGCGGGAAGGTCATTGCCATGGGCAAAGGCTTTCGCTGCTCAGACGGTACCGTGGGCGATGACTTACGAGACCTCATTATGGAGGCGTGTCAAAAACGCAATCTCGACGTCTCGCTGGAAGCCATTGTGAACGACAGTTCAGCCACCTTACTCTCGCGCGCATACTCCGACCTCACCACCCGCATGTCCCTGATCTTAGGCACGGGGACGAACATGGCCGTTCATTTCCCGGTGCATGCGCTTGGGATCGAGAAATATGGCGTCCGCTCGCCAGAGTGGTTCGCGCATGCGGACCACGTCATCACGAACACGGAAATAAGCATGTTCGGCGGAGGTCTGCTCCAAATGACGCGTTGGGATGACGACTTGAACCGCAACCACATTAAACCAGATTACCAACCGCTGGAGTACATGTGCACAGGCAGGTACCTGGGCGAAATCGTCAGGCTCATCGCGGCAGAAGCCACGCAGACGGCGGGTCTGTTTGGCGGAAAATTACCCGCTTCCTTGCAGTCGCGATACTCCCTGGATACGGCTGTCCTTGCCTGCATCGAGGAAGACACGTCCCCGTCGTTCACAGATTCCATCGCCTGCATCCAGAAACACCACGAATTCGCGGCTCCCCCCACCCCAAGCGACATCGCATTCCTGCACAAAGTCTGCCACGCCGTCTCCCAGCGCGCAGCCGCGTATCTCGCGGTCGCCATCCATGGCCTCTGGTGCCTCCGAAACGAGAGCGAAACCCCCATCCTCCCCGCAACGCCAGAATCCGCCAGCGACGACATGCTCAAGGTCCAGACGGCGCAGGCGCCCAACGACCCGGTCCGGCTCCAGGTCAACATCGCCTGCGACGGCAGCGTGATCAGCAAATATCCAAACTTCCGCAGTCGCTGCCAAGACTATCTCAACCAACTGACCCTCGAGCCCGAGGCGGCGGCCGTCGCGGCGTCGTTCGATTCGGCGACCACCGCCGTCTCCAAGACAGCGGTGACATCGTCCGTGCAACAGCTACCTTCGATCACGCTGGATCTAGCGCCGGAGGGTGGCATCTTCGGTGCTGCAGTTGCAGTTGCGGTTGCAGCCCCGAGTAACAGGTGACGGGCTTGGCGGATCCGTCGCCCTTTTGCGCGTATCTTTTGCCCTCCATTATTATTATTCTTATTCGCCTGGCCCCCCCCCTCCCTTGCCTTCGCACCCCTTCTGCCGTGTGTTTCGAACCCTCCCTCCGTTCTGACGTCACAACTCTATTTATACATTCCTCTGCTTGGCTGCTTGGGAGGCACTTCGTCGAGTCTAGATGTTGTTGTTTTCATGGTGTTAGGAGGCGCTTCGTTTATCTTTTCGTATCTTCGGTGGCCTTCTTTCTTCCATCTCCGACGGCTCTGCTTACATCACTCAGCTTGCTCTGGCCAAGGAGACGAAGAACAAAAATTCTTTCCTTTACTACCCTTTCACCCAAGAATATACACACCTGCGCCTCCTATGTGTCCTTCTGCCCCGCCATGTTCATGAATCCCTTAAAGCAAAAGCTGATATCTCCTACGCATCCTTCGACCTTACCACTACTGCAAACCCGCTCCTTTATTCCTGTCATACCTCCTACTTCCCCCCACTGACGCCGGATCAAACTCCTTAGAAAGCCATGATTGAATCTTTCTGCACGATAGCAGGCAGGCAAAATGAAAAATGAAAATTATTAAACAAGGAGAAAAAAATACAATTCTGAATCACCTGGTCCTGCTCTACTTGTTTGGATGGGGCGTTTTTTTGTGACGGGGCCTTCTTCTGTTCATTCCTCTCTCCCCCGCGTGCAGTCACATCGACTATCGCGCGCAGGGGATTATTTTATTTTGGTTGTTTTATCGGTTTTATGAGGTATATGACTCCCCTTGATACCATGGCGCGAATGTCTACCTCCTGGGTTACTGTTGAGGAGTTCTAGTTCTGGTTATATTTACATTAGACTACAGAGTACTCTGTACGGAGTAAACAATGATATTTCTTCTTTTCTTTTTCTTCTCTTTTTCTCTCCGGCTTCCCGTAGAAATGTGTCGCTTCAGAAAAACCATAACCTTTTCGTCGCAAAAAAAAAAAAAAAAAGAGACAAGATCGGAAAAGAATCGAAGTACTATTTCCTAGAGCTCATAGCTTCGCGTCGATTTTTTTTTTTTTTTTTTTCCTTCCCATCTCCCAGTGAGTCACTGATCAGCCCGACAAATCCCCGGGATCAAAAAGCACAAAACGCCTCGAAAAGGAGGAAGGATTCGCCCCAAGATTGGGGGCTGGGATTTGAAACGCCACAATTAGTTGTCAACGCACCGCATCAGGTTTCCGGTCTATTTTGTTTTTTACTTTATTTTGTTTTTGTTTTTTTTTTTGCTACAGAGTCCTCCTTAACTTTTTTTTGCTGTTCGCGCGAAAATTCAAAAGAATATAATAATAGCACAGCGAATGGGGAAACAAAAAATATCGAATTCCTGGTCTTGGGCCTTATATCCCAAATACTGGCCTGTGCCCAACGCAAATAGTGCTCCACGGGGTATATCATGCCGGAGAAAAATCAGCGGGCGTCCTTGATTGGGGGTTTTGGCTGGGTGGTATTCTGGGTATGCGGAATATGCGCAGACCATGCAGACTGCTGGTTAGGCTGGTGGTGATTGGCAACCGTGTGATGGATGCTACTGCGCCACAGAAATGGGATACTGGTGGCATCAATGCGGGTTAGATGGATTCTATTCTGGCGCGTGCAATTGCGAGCGGTTCTATGGTGTGTGGGAATCAAGAATGCTGGCATGTATATTATTGAAATGGTGTCGTGTTTGGGCGCGATCTGGCTCTCCGCGCTTGGGGTTGACTGTCAAATACTATAGCTAATGGATGAAAAGCCAACTAACATTAAAGAAACTGAAGGGCTTGATTATATTCTAAATCATGGTATTTGTGTTTCTATATGGATGGCTTCGAATAGCTTTGAATTGACCTTAGCACCCTTCCTACCGCTCTGCCATCACCTCACTATTCCGTCCGTGCATGCAGATTTAAGCTTGGTCGAGACTCGATTACTCAGAAACCGGCATTTGTGCTTCCCAGCCCCTGAAACAAAACGATGCGCAGCTGCATGCATGTCCTGTACATAATCTGTATGTATGCCCAGGGGGTCAGGGATCAGAACGGTCTAGGCAACAGGGTTCGCCCAGCTTCAAAAATGGGCATGCACCAGGGTATCTGCCGGCGAGGAAGGGGGGAGGGGGATTTTCTGTCTCTGATCTTCTTTCTTCCTTGACAGGAGCGCTGGGTAACAAAACTACCCGGGGAGGATTTATTTGGAGATCACAACTGCCGCGTCTATCGTGGTATTGCGTGGCCACGATTACCTATTGGCGAGGCCTGCGCGTCTCGACGGACATGAGCGATGCATGCATCATCTCTCCCTTTTCCTTATGTCTCAATTTCTTCTTTTTTTTATTTTTTTCTGTGTGCACCGACAGTTCCGGGGGATCGGACAAGAAGCTCAATGCGCAGGTATAGTTTTTTCAGTACCCACTCTCAGATGCCGCTTGCTGTTGCGGGTGAATAGCCGGCTGAGTAACGTCGTACGTGTGCACTGGATCCCGTCAAATGGCGGAGCATACACTCTGGCGTAAGATAGCTGGTATTTATGATGTGTATCCCCCATTATTAGCCCCCACGTCGAACGAACGGGGCCCTACCTCCGCCTTCTTCCTGATGGTTCAGTCATCAAAACACATGGCTATGTAAGATTGGCGCAAGACAATGGGCGAAAAAAAAAAAAAGCTAAAAAGTAAACAAGAAGGAAGGCAGAAGATAACGTTATGGACAAAAGAGTCTCCGCACATGCTGCTTCACGGCCCCAGAGCAACCCTTGCGCCATACTCGCTGGCACATGTGACCGTGAGCTGTTCGGTCCACGGATGGCTGTCGCGGGACTCGATCGTTCGGAAGGTCTGCATCAATCGGATGGTGGTATACGAAGCTTCAATAAGCGCAAGTTGCTCTGTTCAACCAGGTGTCAGTAGTGGCATTGGAACAAAAACCGAAACGGTCTGGTTTGAAAATCTCACGTCCAAGACAAATTCGCGGGCCGCCATTGAACGGGAGGAAGTCCCAGGCCGACCGTAGCTTCTCCCATCTTTCAGGCCTGTATTCGGCCGCGTCGGGCCCGTAGAGATCCTCACGGCGATGCATGGCGAAAACACTGTAGGACATCAAGGTGCCTTTGCGCAAGAAAACAGGTGATTTTCCATCTGGGCCCCCGCCAACGGGCACGAAGGTGTCGCGCACGGCTGTACGGCCATTTATGGGGACTACAGGGTAAAGTCGTAGGGCTAGAGTGTAGGAATAATGGTTAGTTCCGTAGCCCGTTACGTATACCTGGTGTTAGGGGGGGGGGGGGGAAATCCGACCTTCATTCACACAGAAGCGCAAGTACTTCATATCTTTTACTTCCTCAAAAGTTGGTTTTTTGCCGTTCAGCCCATCGACCTCCTGTAGTAGCTTCGACCAGACATCGGGCCGTTTTGATAGGACATTCCACAGGGCACCCAGGAGACTTGCCGTGGTGTCACGACCAGCAAGCAGAATGTTCAGGGCTTCCGAGCGCAGTTCTATTGGGTCTTGCGTGCGGTTGATCAGCTCGTACAAGAAAATGTAGCGGCTTTCAGTTTTCTCGCTTGTGATCAGTCCCGACTGCTGGGCTTGATGGTGCTCGAGAGCCTTCTTCACGTAGCGATCGACGAATTCGTGGATGCCATCGACGTAGCGGTGGTAACGCTTGTCCGGAATGCCGAAGAACACGCCAATCCGCGCCCAGTTCCCGATCGAAGTGGTACAGTAGGTGAATATGTCGCTAAATCGCTCATTGTTATCGCTGGTTTTCGTCCCAATAGAGATCGCTGATTCGCCGAATAAGAACTCAGTCGCCGTATCCAACGTCAGGTCAAAGAAAAGGTCTTGAAGATCCACCGTGGAACCGTCGGTGGGAATCTCTTTAATCAGGTTCTGGACGTGCTTCTCGATCATATCCAAATCGGCGACTTGCGACCGAACGAAATTCGGCCGGAGCATGGCCCTTGAATGCTCCCATTCGCCGCCATCGGTGGTGAAAATTCCCTTGCCAAAGAGCGGTTGGAACGCCTTTTTCCGGAGAGGGGTCAGCGCAAAATCCTGGAATTTGGTAGCCAGAATGGCCTTGATGTTTTCAGGCTCGCAGGTCGTGAACGCTAAGGAGGAGTAGATCTTGTCAGCCACAGTCATTTCGAAAGAGAACCCAGCAAGACTGACCCCTTTTGCCCATGAAATTGAAAGTGTAGGTGTTTCCATTCATACGGAAACGGTTCTGGACCGTCTGAAGGAAGGACTTGGACTTCGCATTCTTCGCGGAGATGATGGCGAAATCCAGCCCCAAGACTGGTTCCTTATGAGGGTATGCTGGAGCGGGCCGGCAGCCGTGCTCCTTGATAAACCTTCGCTCCACGGCACCCAGCGTCAGGTAGATGTAGACTTTATACAACAGAAAGCAGACGCCGGCGGCGAGGACCAGCTGGCCCGGCGGCACGTTCTTCAGATCAGAGAGCATGTCGCGCACAGAAGGCCCGGGAAGAGGCGAAGAAAGGCACCACGCACGCGGACTCGGTGAGACTTATGGCTCTGGATGATTGCTAACAGAGTGTATCAAGCCAAGCGGCAGGCGTCGACGGGAGGAGCTCTGCGCTGTGCTCGAGGGCGGCGGGGGCGTAGTTAGATACATATAGGGCAGGCTGCGAGCTGGAAGAGCCGAGAGCCGGCGCGAGACCCGCAGGGCAAGGTCAGTCCCGCAATGGATTGATTTTATTGACTATTATTCTCATTATCATTGGGGACGGACGGGCAGACCGGCTCGACGCCTGAAACAGCCGACGCAGTTGCATCCGCCGACTCCACCAGCCCGCCGCTGGGAGCCTGCTTCGTTATGCCGTTCTGTATGATGGAGTACACAGTAGTAGTAGCGTATCCTGCTGGCTTTCACATGGGGACCGCGCGGGCGGCGGCAGCGGCGGCGGCAGCGCCTCGGGACGTCTTGGACGCCGGCAAGTTCTCCGCATCTCGCTCGGCTGCGCGCTCGAGGCGGCTGGTTCGGGCGCGGCGGGGGCTGCCGGGCTCGTCGCGAGCGGGCGGGGACATCGTCATTGCATATTCTGCGGCGTCGCATCGCACGGCGAACAGGCTGGCTGCGATGGAAATCGCGTCGTCCGTCCAGAGCCCGTGTGTAGGATGAGATCGGCGGCACGATGGAAGCGGAGGCGGCAGTCAGGGCAGCCGGCGGCCCCAGCGCCCGCCGCGCATTGGCTGTGCTGCGGTTGAGAGAGAGAGACACTGCTTAACCACTACCTACTTACTCCGTGCTGGCCGCGGCTGTGCTCGACTCCTCGGCGCTGTCCTCTGCATCAGCCGCACAGCAAGACAAGACGCCGTCTCGCCATCTCCTTGCCCCGCATAACTATGGGCCCTCAGCTGCATTGCGTCGTCTCCTCCCAGCATCCGCGCTGCGATCCATTCCTGCTTCAACGGCACGAAACAACCGAGTCACCCCTCGCCGGTGGATGGATTTGTTACGTCCGCAGGATATATCCCTGGCACTGCATGACGACCGAGTTGATCTGTCTGCTTTCTGAGGGTTTGCCGGTAGGTGTGTGCCGGCTGTGAGCATTGTGATATCCGGACCCGGTTGGTTATATTCGGCTTCTCCCTGAGAACAACGGAGTGCTGTGGCCTTTTCCCAGCGGTACTTCAACATCATCTCAGTAGGTTCAGCGTTCAGGCGCAAGGATGCTTGTTGGGTGCGAAGCCACACCTAGAGAGAATAACGGCATTGCTACGGCGTTGATACTGCAGTACGAGATACCACTCCATTATTGTATGAGATCAGGTTATAGAATCCAAATCGAACGTCTCAGCTTGCCCGGCCTTCAATTCAGTAGGGATAACCCAAACGACGTGGCAAAGGCTGGCTGCATGTATCTCCGTGAAACATTGGGACTCAATGTGGAAACCAAGAACAGCATGTACGCGGAATCATCTTTTCCGTTAAACCTGCTTTCTTGAATTTCCTATTCATGCCTCTTGTTTATTTTCTGTTTTTGGCTGGCTGTCTTCTATCTGAGTTGTTGATTTAAAAATACACTGGCCTCAAGAACAGCCCCCAACCCCGGAGAAATCCTGGGCCTTTATGATTGGCAGACTTGAAGCACCCGTTCTGGATAAACAACCATTGTTCCGACAGACCACTCCTTGGTTCGCAGCCCGAACACTCCCTGGGGCCCCCAAAAGGACGTTGCTCGAAGCTATTCCATCCGTTCGCTGATCACTGTTCCCCCGCTCTCAATGTTGTACAGGCAATTGAACTCCTCAGATATGCAACCCACATGTCCGCGTGCATTGAAACACAGCTGACCTGGAACAGGCGGAGTACAAATGATAACATTTCCTGGAGACCGTTTTTTTTTTCAGCAGCCCCACTTTAACATAAATGAGATAGCTCTAATAGCAGCGACATCTGTCTAGTACCCAGCAGTTTGTCGACATTATAAAAACACCCTAATTGCCTACACGATAACGTTTGATAATGCGTCATGGCAAACAGACCCTTGGGATAGCCTTCGAGCTCAATGCCCAGGCAATCTACTTCATAACAGCCCGTGAGGTTGCAGTCATGGACTTCATATGCCCTTACGGGGCAATTATTGCATGTGCATTGTGTTGGACTTACAAATATGATAGATACGAAATGTTCTACAAGTGCAGCGCTCAAAATTTACTTATGAAGAATCCACATCCAACCTAGAATTTCATAGGTAGATACGCGTCTTTGATTATTTAACAGAAGTCGTATTCAATATTCAGCAATGACACTTGGCTGAGCTTCCAACTAGCTCAAGGGCGCCATCAGGTTCATTTGTTAATAAGTCCGTGTAAGTTGTACCTGTACGGAGTACTAATGACTTAGTAGTCTTGCTTGTAAAGTGATTATGCCCTGAAACCCAAGAAAAACCCGAGAAGTAGAGGCCATCAAGGTATTCATATACCCTCCTAAACACTTTCATTCACAGCCACTCTATTTGACGTCTGCTTCTACCAACGGTTAGCGAGCTTTATTTGAACCCGTTTTGTGCTAGGCGGCCTATCTCTTCTGAAAATCAATCTCGGGCGTAATGATTTATTTAGTAAATACTCTGTATTCTGGAACTGATGAAGACAAGTCTGTTTTTGAAACCTTTAGCCTTTGAAAACCAAATCAGCTTTAGTCATTTCTCCACCCGCAATTCCTCTTCAGTATACTATTAAGAGCGGTTTGTAGAAGGCTCTATATTTCTATTCTCAGTATTTTGGTATTGATGGTACATTTTTGTACTTTCTGCCTAGAATATATCCAGATGATAATTATTGCTTTTCTCTCTATCATGCAAACAATCAGGCTTGACAATGGCTAATACACACGATTGCGGGTTATTTAATTTTTGAAATTGGGCTAATAACAAAGCCAAACTGCTCATATAAACTTCCTGAATATCTGTACAAGAATCTCAAAATGCCCCGCACAGTAAGCCAGCCAACATCATAGTGTATGCTATAGTATACAGTAGAGAATAACTTGACAATTAGAGAAAGAAGTTAGTTCTTGGCTCGTCCTGTAACAGGCAATTGTCTCTTTGTGAGCTCCTGTGTGATAATCTTCCATCGGCCAATTTCCTTTTCATGATCAATGGGAGTCTGCCTCCTGTCAAAGATCTTGACGTTTGGAAGTGAGGCATATTTGCCTTCAGCAATCAGGATATCGGCCAGTTTTTCTGGCTCAGGCTTCGTTGCGGCGGTAAGGAAGTCACAAAGGCGGGAGACTCTGGTCATGGAGCGGAGCTCAGGGTCAGGAATGCGGTATCCAGTGAGCTGGCTGGCGCGTTTTAGGAACTAGAGTTCGGGTTAGTTTAGCAGTAGGGCTGAAAGGGCAAAAGGCATACGCACAGCAAATCGAATTTCTGGGTCATCTAGAGGCAGAAACAAGAACTCTAGCTGCTTTGGTGTTCGAATTTCCGTATCTGTGACTTCAAGATCTGCCAGCCTGCTGGGTGCTGCGGAAGGAGCATCAGTAGCAGCGGCGGGGTCGGCGGTGGCATCGGACTCTTCAACAACCTCAGATACCTTATCTCCCTGCTCCATATCAAAATCACGGAAAAATTCTAGCAACGCCTCTTTCGAAACATCACTAGGAAAGATAAGGGCATCAATGCCTATTTGACTCGACGGTTTAATCTCAACACGATTGATAAGCGCGAGAATCATATCCTCATGCATTAGAACGTTGCAAATATCCTGTAGAGGCTTGTTAAGCCCCTTCATTATGCACAGTTCGACAGCAGTTTGGTGAAGAGCCGTAAGGATCTCGTCTCTGGTCAAAACTTTGGTTTCGGGTATAAACCTATTATTTATAAAATGTTAGATATAATGTTAAAGAAACCGGCACGCGTGACATACGAAGTCCCAAGATCGGCGCTGGAAGGCGGAGACTCCCGCCAGCTGCCCGACGTCCCAACATGTTCCAACCCATCCCAAGTCATTGCCGGAACATATTCTTCCGTCGGAGTAGGTATAGGGGCCTCAGAAGACAGCTCATGTTCCTCAGGAATCACTTCTGGTACAAGATCCGAATCTGGTCGTGTGCCAGCTTTGGCCTCGCGCTTCTCGCGCAATCTCTTTTCAAGAAAGCTCTCGCCGCCATAAGGGTCTTCCAGCCCAGGAGGGTTATCCGTTCCCCAAATTTTTCGGCGAACCTTTTCGGTGAATGGTAGACTCTTGCTGTCGGATGAATTGTGTCGGCGGCTTTGGTAGGCGGTTAGGGGCTGCAACGGGTAGCGCGGGACGAATTGGCGCCTGCAAGTTGAGCAGACATATCGAGCGCTGGCGGACCGGGCGGGCACCGCTTCTAGTGGGGCGAGCAGGCGTGTCCCTGCTGACATTGTTGCTTTGCCGGCTGGCGTGTTGAGATTTAAGAATTTTTGATGATTTTCGAGCTTCAGACAAACGCCAAGCCAACATCACGTGCGACATTGTTGCCTACTTCGTATTGGTTCGTGGACAAGAGAGAAAGTTCGAAGAACGAAGGATTGTAGGGGGTAATGTTCTAGGATTTGACTGTTTGGTTTCGAATATATACAAGACAAGATGGGAATCCAACGATCTAGGGGTATATACACAATCTGTGGCTCACGGTAAAATGGCCTCGACGATCACTCACTCCCTGACAAACAGGGACGCCATTCCCATCCCCGTACCAATGCACATACTCACAACGCCGACCTGCTCTCCCTGTCTCTCCAGCTCTGGGAGCAGAGTAGCCAGCTGCCTTGCCCCAGTCGCGCCGAGAGGGTGACCGATAGCTATAGCGCCGCCTTTTGGATTTACCTTGGCATCATCTATATTCAACTTGCGAACGCAATACAGCGCCTGGCTAGCGAACGCCTCGTTGATTTCCCAAATGCCAACATCGGATGTTTCGAGGCCAGTATGGCTCAGGAGTTTTGGGATAGCAACGGCGGGGCCGATGCCCATCTCATCTGGAGCACATCCGGCAACCTGGGTAGACACCCATTTTCCAATGATGCTGGAGGTCAGGCCCAATTCAGTGGCAGTTGAACGGCGCATGAGGAGAGTAGCAGCGGCACCGTCACTAACTTGTGAACTATTGCCTGCAGTGCTGGACCCGGTCTCAGAGAAGGCCGCCTTCAGAGTAGACAATTTCTCGAAAGACACGGTTGGTCGTATTCCATCATCTTTTGTAACAGTGATTTCTTCCGCTGGGCTGTCAGGTCTGTCTGCAGATATGGACTTTGTTGTAACAGGAACAATCTCTTTGTCAAACAATCCATTTTTCTGTGCTTCAGCCGCCTTCTGATGGGACTGTACCGAAAACATGTCCTGATCCCGTCGGTCAATTCCATATCTCGCGGCGACATTCTCAGAAGTAAGTCCCATGGGCATAATGCAATCCCTAGAGTCCTTCAACGGCGAATTTTTTAACTCTGGCCATAAAACTGTTGGGATAGCCCTCGAACCATAATTCCGCGTCATCGACTCCATTCCGCCCCCGACGCCGATAGATATGGCTCCAACAGAGATGGAATGAGCAATCGACGTGATAGCAGCCAACCCTGAGCTACATTGTCGGTTGATAGTATGGAAAGGCACGGTGTGAGGGAACCCCGCATGGATCTGAGCCATGCGGCCGGCCTTCGCGCCTCCAAGCTCCTGCAATACGCTGCCAATACACACATCTTCGATGAGTGCAGGATCAAGGTTTGGATTGGCGGCTAGCGTCGCGCGGAGGACGTGCGAGAGGAGCTCTTCAGGATAGGCATCTTTGAATCCACCCTTTTTGGCGCGAGTGACTGCTGTACGGAGAGATGACAGGACGACGACGTCGGACGGGGATTTTTGGAGGATCCGCTTGAGACCACGCGGGGCGGACATGGTGGATGCAAACTATAGAGTACAGAGTACGGAGTAGTTACGGAGTATAGTTATAGCGAGCGGCTCGGAGGGCGAGGGGGACGCAACAGCTTCGACGAAAGGTAAATATTGAATGGGACCCTTGAAAAGAGTGAAAGGAAGCAATGTAGGGGGTAGCTCAGCGAGAAGAAGTCGAGGTGCGACGGCGATCCATCGCTGGCTACTCCGAGCCGACCTGCCGGCGAATTTGAAGTGTTTTCGTTCGGCAAAATCCACGGCTAAAAAAGGCTCGGCCGACTAACACCGACGCAAACCAACAGTTTTTCGAAATTTGCATTTCTTTGCATTCTTAGTGTGTGGTACGGAATAGTAGCTATGGGATGCAATTCCTATAAAAACAAAAGTAACAGGGGGCTGTTTCCCCTGAAAGTTCCAACAAACGGCTGCACTCGCGGACGCTATGTGGGATTCGACGTTGCCGGGCTCGCCCTCAAGTAGAGGCGAAAGGCTCAAAATGCCAACCACTCCAAGAACACCGGAATCCCAAGCGCTACTGTTACATGATGTCCCTAAAGACCCCAAACAAGGAAAAATAGAATGAAAAAGAAGGAAAAAGGAGTGATAATGATGATAATGGAAAAAAAATACACGAGTTGCTGACAACATCAGAAGTTAGAACGTCTAGGATGGTAACGGCATCAGGACGATTTGGCTTTTCTTCAGAATGGGATCCGCTAGCTGCGAATTATATGACTGTAGTGGCCCGGGACACGTTGCTGGCATTTCTCGCAGTCTGCCCGGAACCCCATGGCAATGGTCAGTTTCCGAGGCCGCAGCACAGCTGTCGACGCCTCGCTCAACTGGCTCGCCTGGGAGGCTGGGCGAGTGGGCGGTGCGCTCAAATGCTCGTGTTGGACTTGGATATCCCCGAGGGATACGCCCACGTTCGCCTGGTTCCCGATGGCCGATGTCTGCGGCAACGGAGTGAAATAATCAGTTGGGGCATGTAGAGACCCGGAGGCCGACGCCTCATTCCGTACCGGGGTGACTGAGATTCGAATCCCAAATGGATTGTGTGCGCTAGGGAAAGCCTCTGCTTGGTCCCGATGGGGGTTCGCTACTCCTTCCGGGCATTTCGCGTTCGTTGGGCTTTCGTCCTCACTAATGGGGCTTGGAAGCCTCCGGCGTCGCCACCATGCAGTCTCATCTGGAGGTACAGTCGGGGCTGTAGGGGCAACCTGAGGTCCTGTTGAGGACATATTCTCCCCCATCATAGAATCTGTACTCATGTTCGACGTAAAATGACTAAAAATCGGCGTGGCAGTGCGTCCTCCACTTACGTTCAGAGAACGGTTTAGTAGAAAGGACGGAATCGGGGATTCCAGACTACTCTCTGGTCTTGAAGGCCCAGAGCCGGCTGACCAGAGGGGCTGCATGCTTGCGGACCGCGGCTGTGAATCGGCCATTTCAAGATCTGAATCTGACTCTGCGTAGGGCGTCCGCATGGCGTTGAAAGCACCGGAGTAAGGGTCTGTATACCGGGTATGGGTGGTATCCGGGTAGTCTGCCTGCATGGGATCATCGTCGGATGATTCGTTTGGTGTGATGGTCGAGCCAGCATGGAACGAGGGTTCAGGACGGTTGCGAGAATCTGGCCTGGCATGTTTTAAAACGGGAGACGTGCGAAGCGGGAGAGGACGCGGTTTCTATCAGACATCAAAGACAGTCAGCTTGAGGTCGCTGTGGAAGATACAGAGGCACCAGGCATGTTGGTCTCGAGACACGTCCGCAGACGCAGACTGAGGGGGTAAACAAGGGCCCGAGGCAGCTTCACGCACCTTTTTCTGCTGTATCACAGGCTCGTGAGACTCGTTGAGCTCATGCTCGCGTTGCCGTTTGCCAGAAGAATTCAGCATGGTTCCCTCAAACGTAACGCTCAGCGAACGACGAGGGGAGGGGTGTCCGTGCCAACGTGGAAGGGTTATTTAAATGAGATGCCAGGTGTCAAGAGGTTGACGAAATGAGCAGGCGGAGAGGCGGATGGCTTGTGCTGGACGGCCTGACACGGCAGACAGGCGGCCAAACCTGTTTCAGGCTGCACAGGCAGAATCGGCCGGCTTTGAGCTTTCTTAGGGAGACCCGGGCGGGCGGCCAGCTACGCGAGCCCGATGGCCGCGGGGGATCTTTAATGGCAGGAGCTGCGGAGGTTTGGAGACTGTTACAGAGCGTTTCCGAGAACCAGAGGCTGCGGCCTACAACGGTTTCATGTAGAGCGAAGAAGGTTGCTCGGATGGCGCTACAAAGCTTAGCCTGTCTCAAAGCCACACGGCGGGCATGTTTGTGTTCTTCTAGCTGCCTCTACGGGGCAAGCCAGTGGAGGCCAGTGTCATACTGCAACTGCTGGAGACTCTAGGCGGCCATCCTGCCCAGCATTCCCCGGGGAAGTCCATATATAAGAGAGCACATAATGGCAGGCTACTGACGGTCTCGTTACGAGGGCGGCACAGAATATCACTTCTGTGCAAAATGCAGTGCATTAAGATGATGTTCAGCACTCTACAAAGCAGTCAGAATACACAAACCCCCAAGAATGAGGCTTTCTCTGCACATATGAAGCTGAATTGTTGTCTGTTGTATACAAAATGGCCGCCAACGCCCGCCGGTCACGTGCAGCAAAAAGTTAAATAAGCAACGGCTGACCAGCTGAACGCCTCTTCAGCAAGTATTAAACCCCTCGACGCTGTGCTGCCCTCCCGTCAAACACCAGTTCTGCCTGCTGTCCTTGCTACAAAGCCTTTGCAACATCTTCTGCTGTCTGTATTTCACCATCCGCATCCTCTCCGGTTCCGCAACCAATCCCTGTGACTCTGTCGCAACAATGCCTCTCGTCAAAGCCACGGCCGAAGACAACGAGGACAGCAGAGGTAGAAACCCCTCATTCTGACGGCTGTTATCTTCGCCAACTAACTCTTTCCTACAGTCTTGGGCTATGACCCATTGCTGTCGCCCCAGTTCCTCCAGAACGAAGTTCGAGCTGTGAGTCATCACCCCTCGCACCCCTACCATCCTAGATAATATCCCTGACATGGACCCAAACAGCCTTCCCATGCCATCGAGACTGTCCGCTCTGGCCGAAACCAGGCCATCGAAGTAATCGAGCAACGCGACGACCGTCTCCTCGTCATTGTCGGCCCTTGTTCCATCCATGACCCAGATACTGCCTTAGAGTATGCCAGAAGGTTAAAGGCGCTCTCAGATAAGCTCAAGAATGACCTTTGTATCATCATGCGTGCGTATCTAGAGAAGCCTCGGACAACTGTTGGCTGGAAGGGCCTCATCAACGACCCCGATATTGATGGGTCCTTCAACATTAACAAGGGTCTGCGTGTCTCGCGAAAGCTCTACTCCGATCTCAATGGCATGGGCATTCCTATCGCCAGCGAGATGCTCGACACGATCTCCCCGCAATTTTTGGCTGACCTCATTGCGCTGGGCGCCATTGGCGCTCGAACCACTGAGTCACAGCTTCATCGTGAACTTGCCTCAGGCCTTAGTTTCCCTATTGGGTACAAGAACGGAACTGACGGCAACCTGGGTATCGCTATTGATGCAATCGGCGCCGCTGCACACCCTCATCATTTCCTCGGTGTTACCAAGCAAGGCCTGGCAGCAATCACAAAAACCAGTGGTAATGAGCACGGGTTCGTGATTCTCCGCGGAGGCAACAAGGGAACCAATTATGATGCCGAAAGCATTGCCGTGGCCAGACAGGAGCTCCGCAAGAAAAAGCAACGAGAAATTGTGATGGTCGATTGTTCACATGGCAATTCGAAAAAGAACCATCTGAACCAGCCAATCGTAGCCAAGTGTGTTGCTGACCAGCTGCGTAACGGTGAGGACGCCATCATCGGTGTCATGATCGAATCAAACATGTATGAGGGCAATCAAAAAGTTCCTCCCGAAGGTCCGTCCGGTCTGGCAAAGGGTGTCAGTATCACAGATGCCTGCATCAACTGGGAGATGACTGTCGACGTTTTGGAGGATCTGGCCGAGGCAGTCCGTGCCCGCCGGAAGGTCCGAGCCACCAAGGCAAATGGAGTCAACGGCTCGTCCTAACCTGCAAAAATTTGGCAGCCAGAAAAAATAACAGTACAAAAAGGGGGCAAAAGTCACAGGGTTAGATGGGGTATTAATGGCAGTTTTTTCTGTTTGTCAAGTTTCACCGCGCATATTTCCTTCCTAAAGAAATCCCCATTAGTACATTTTCGGGTTTTCGGTAACAACAAAGATGTCTCTGATGATGTGTTGGATAATAATGCTTTAGAGTTTTGTTTTCTGTCTCCTGTTTCGGCATCGCACAGTTTAGCTATTTCTTCGGCCATAGAAATGATGATAGAGATCACCATTCTTTTAACAAAAGCCTGTCATATTAGCATTCGTAGGTAAATTCATGCGACATATGTAGGCCAAATATGGGCAGCATGAATAATGGTGATATGGCAAATAAGGACTGACCCTGAGAATAAACACACAATAGCAGCCTGGCTTCTGGTGCGGCTGATCCTCTTTATACGTGAGGGTAAAATTGCGGATCAAGAGCGCCGCGCCAAGCCCAAACATCCGGGGCCCCGCTTGCTGCCGGCGCTAGCCCGACCGCCGGCTATTTGCCCCAGTGCTGCTTTGGACAGCTGAGTCAGCTATATACTCGCGACACTGACTTTTTGCACAGAGCAAAGCCTTTGCATATTTTTCATACAGTAAGCAAGCCAACAGTCCCACTTCTTAGGACTGGTATTAAAATGATTCAGCAAGATATCACAAGTTGAGTGTCAGTGAGTAGTGGTATATACTCCGTATGGCCTCATGTATGATTGCTTCTCAAACGAGCTACAAAGAAGACCGGCAACCCTACTCCGTTCTGACCTCTTCAATTGAAAGTACTAGGGGTTGTCTATATTTTACACCCACTTTGATGGCCCCAAGTCTTTCATCGCGAGCTACTTCGGATTTAGTAGGTTCGCGGTTGTCTGTGAATATGACAGGGAGCTACGGGCAAGAACGTCATCTCTTTGTCACCAATTACGGATGACGATTTCGATAATGCTATGGTAGCTAGGTAATGCAGCTGATTTTCGCTTGGCGGCCCAGTGTACTGCTACACGCGCGCAGCTATGGACAGCCTTACTCCTTGCAGAGGTCCTCTAGTAAATCTAGCATGCGTTGTCGAAGCACTTGCAGCTCCGAAAGAGATATACTTCCATTCTTATCCGCACCTGCGGAAGATGGATTCTCGGGGGCGCCGCTACCGTCTGGCGCCGAGTTCTGATCGATGATATCATTCCTAATGACAAAAAATGGAATACCTAGTTCTCGTAATTCCACGTCTAGAGCTCGCGACATGTCGGACATCGCTTTGTATACCTTCGCATCGTAGGTTTGTATTTCAGCTGCGTCATCTTCTGGGGTCTGGTATCCATTAGCCTGCCATATCTGCTTAAGATAAGCCCCCTGGAGTATTGATAACGCACATTTATTTCCGGTCCCGTTGTAATTGCACCACCAACCGACCGCCTAGGTAAAAGAAATTGGGGTCAGCGAACAGGGTGCAAGTGTGGCTCTCCTGAGCATACAAGACTTCATCAAGCTTCTTTTTCTTATCTGCCCTACTCGTCTGTTTTGAAATCAATGCTTCCCGTGCCTCCCACCACTTTTTCTCATGGTCATGCTGGCTCCGAATGAGTCGTCTAATCCTAGACTGAAGAGTCTCATTATGCGAGACAGCTTTCATCACATACTTCAAAGCCGTCGGCCATGCCGTAATTGTCCTGGGATCAGGCAAAATATTCTCGGGACCAACGCTAGGCAGGGATCGATCGTAATGTCCCTTGACCAGTCTCGCAGCCGAAGTATCAACCTCGCCAGGCAAGTTCAGCGGCGAAAAATTCAAAGGGTCATAACTATCATCTGGGCTTGGACGGCCGTCAGGCTCGTGTATGGGCGCAGAACTCTGGTCTGCCTGGGGTGGAACAAAATATGAGAGTGTCTGTAGAACGCTCGCGAGATTTGGGACCTGGTCCCTCGAATCCATAAGTGTGAGCTGTAGTTATCACTCTGCAAGACATCTTCCCCGAGATCCAGCAGACGAGGATGCAGCTTATGTAATGTATGATCGTGTCTTGGCTTGCTCCGAAAAAAGTTCGTTTTTCGATAAGCTTGAAGGTCAGTCGCCGACTGATCCTTGGCCGCGAAGAGCCCGTGGAAGAAACTGTCACCCGTTGATCTATCGTGTGGTTGTTGGAGTCTGATTTACAATACCCTAGGTGACTGAGATCATACGCCAAATATGTCCCGCTCTGCCACAGACGCAACCCGATTCACTGCCACCGCGCCCCATGCCTACTCTAAACCTGGACCGTCGTTAAAATGGCCCGGCGCAAAACTGAAGAATGCCCAAAATACGCCCTCGCCAGTGGGTGGCGGCAGCAGCAGCAGCAACAACAACGGTACCCACCAGGAGACTCCTAAGGAAAAAGTTGAGCGGCTTCGTGCAGAAGCCCGCGCGGCTAGGATTGCCAATTCGTCGTCGACAGTGGATAGGGTAATATCACGGGGAAGAGTATGGGTAGATCGACTGCATCGAATCACTGTTTTTTCCCTTATTGCTGCTTCTGGTATGGCAACCCTTTTTTTCGTCTACTTGGGCTTATGCTCTACCGTCCCGGCAGACGCGCAGATGTACTTGTTCTCTCCTCTGTGCTAACAAGCACCCTTTCGGATTCTAGGTGTTGCTGGCCTTCTCACTATATATTCGGTCACATCTTTGATATCCCATAATCGACGACAAAAAGCCCTTTGGATTGACAGAGAATTGCAACGGTTGTTAGATGCTAGGAAGGCTTATGTTGCCGGCAATGCTACAGCTGAACAACTGGCGCTGCTTGAGAATGAAAAGGCTGGTGAAGAAGAAAAAAGGAGAAAGGAAGAACTAAAACAACAAAATCCTTATTACAAAGCTAAAAACTGGCTATTTGGGGGGTTGAAACGGGATGATGACAGTGCGATGACCGAATCATTGGAACGGGGGCCGCCCAAGGTACTGAAGGCAATCAATGCCAAAGCGGCAGCAGATGCCGCAGTTGCAAACCCTACTTCTCAAGAAGCCCCCGGGGACTCGGCTCTAAACGCCGTTCAAGAATCAGCCAACGACTCGAAAAAAAGCTGGAAGAGCTGGATAACAGGTCGATAGACAGAAAAGGAAACCCTTACTTTCCCTCCACTCTCTGACCTTTTTGAGCTCGCTGTTTTGAACATATCTCCGCACACAATGCGCTGTCTTACAAAACTGTTATACCGCTCGGCCTAACTTTACCCGGCTCCGAACCTGCATGACACCTACGCTCACAGTATCTCCATGATCCGGTTTCCCCGTCGGATGAAGCTTTTGTCATTCCTCCGATAATTCATGTACAATATGTCATATCTCCTATATCATTTCCCAGAGACCTGACTGGGGAGTGTTGCAATGAAATGTCCGTTGATAATCGAGACTATCTATCATGTTCTTTTTTGCTAGAGAAGCCTGTCATGTTTGGAGCTTATTTTAGACTCGCAACTCAAATAATACGTCAAGCATGTAGCATAGCAAATCAAGGCGTTTTGCATCAATTACCTAGCAGCCCAAGTGCATTCAACCTATACCCCGGGGCATGCCCTAAGATCCATGCAGCGTGCTTCTAATATGGAGTGAACATCTCTTGTTTACAGTGAATGCCCATTAATATCTTTTTTTACCTTGTTAGATGATAAAGCAGTCAGCGGAGCTTCTATCTGCGATGTCCATCTAAAAAGAGTATGATTGCGCCATTTGGCCACGAGAATTGTTTTACCTCGCTTAGATCAAAAGACTGACCATCACGCAAAGCAGACAGGGATTATATCAAGAGTATGAAGCTTTTAAGACTTCCTATGATTGCGACACACAACTTTATACGCGAGATCAGCTGGCGAAAACGAAGCAGCATAACCAGTTCACTAGCATTATGCTTGAAAAGATGACGTTTAGGACAGACCTGAGGGCGGGCTCAAAAACGGCCTATATAAATATGCAATGGCTCCCAGTCCATCACGCTCAATTTTGACCAAGACTTGCGTCTAATTTTGTTCAGACACGATTCAATTCAAGCACGATGCCTTCTCAATTCGATACTATAGCAGGTCGGTACAATGATGTGAAAAATACACCTATCGGCACAATGCTGCAGGCAACGGTGAATTCGATTGTTGGAGACGTCGAAGGCTGCCGAGTGTTAGATCTTGCTTGTGGAACGGGTCACCACTCCAGAAGACTCCTTGAGCGGGGGGCTAAGGAAGTTGTCGGTCTAGACCAGTCTGAAGGAATGATTGCCAAAGCTCGCGAGCTGTCTGAAGGCGACAAGCGTCTTAGGTTCCGCGTTGCAGACTGCAGAGAGCCTTTTGACGAAGGGGAATTTGATTTGGTCCTCGCCGCACTATTGCTCAATTATGCTAGCAACGAAAAAGAGCTGCTAGGTATGTGGCAGAATATCGCAAATAGCATGAAACCAGGCGGAAGATGCGCCGGGGTGGTCCCAACCCCTAGTGCTAAAGGATACCCTCGCGAATACTCAAAATATGGCATCGACATAAAACAGCTCGAGCCTGTAGAAGGAGGCTTTATATATAAGACATCTTTTATGACCGATCCGCTGAACACATTCGAAACGTATTTCCGGGAAGAGAGCGTTTTTGGACAAGGAGCGGCAAAAGTAGGACTTTGCAACCTGAAATGGCACACCACTACGGATCCCAAGGATCCGCGATTTGATTATCAAGAGTATCAGCAGGCACCGATTTTCAGCGCATTCACGGCGACAAAGCGCCCATCAGACTAGGCAAGGCGTTCTCACGGAGCTTAATGACTGGATTATTCGGTGTGGCTTGCGGGTTATTTTGCAGCGAAATACGCCGCACAGAGTAGACAAGGCGAGACTCCATTATTCGTGCCACTGGCGTTCAACAGCCGGGACAAGGCTTGTTTGTCGGGGGGAGGTGCTTGGTATCGGAGCATTAGTTACCAAACATGGCCTACTTGTTTTGTCCAAAGGTGTGTATATAATTGTGTCAAGTGCTGCCATTAGACAATAAATTTCGGTGGTTCCAAAAGCAAAGAAGCTGAAAATTCGCAACCAGACCACCATAGAAGGCATGGGTTGAAAGGGAGCATATGTAGTCCCAACAGCTGGCCTTGCAAGAACTTTCCATAACCCGTGTATCAACACACCATCAAGGGCCACCGGTCCTAGGATAGCCATAACGGAGATATCGGCAGTTTATTACGCGGGCTCATCATTAGCTAGCGCATCTGTACTTCGTACTCCGTAGGATGATGGCCGATAGGACCCAAGACATGACGCCTTTGGGGGCCCAACAGTGACCAGCCATGCTTTGGATAAACTCCATAGGTACATCCTAGCTATTCTTGACTTGGTCGCTTTGCCTAGCACGGCAGTCATATGCAGTGCACGCATGCTTTTCCCGTTGTAGCCATCCAGTATCCGTTCTGGGGCTATAGAACAAAGCATAGTACGCGAGAAGCTGCGATCAACCTTGCTACTGCTCCGAAGAGGCGCGCCCATGCCGTCAAGCAGGCCCAGTCCCGATAGGCGAGGCGTTGGCAGCGGACAAAGAGACAGCGGACAGGTCACATCACGGCGATGCGCAGCGTGAGTCGGTTACACACGGGCAGGCCGCGGCGTCACAGCAGCGTCTGCCAGATCTCGCATCGCATCGCATCACATCACCTCGAGTCGATGCGTCTCTGCAGGTCTGCCGGCGAGAGTTTGTCGTGCCGCCACCAGCTGTGACGGCGGACGGCTGGACCGCCGCCTCGGGAGGAGGGCGAGATGCAACGTCTGGCGGGCAATCCTTGCGCGCGGCGAGACACAGCAGGCGGGAGGCAGGGAAGCCCTGGGCGACAAAGCGTGCTGGAGGCAGAGAATGCCCCGTGAGCGAGAGAGAAAGCGAGAGAGGCGTGTGGCCGTGGCCAGGCGCCGCGCGAGGTGGGACGCTGGTTAGTAATTTGCATCGCAGGCGCCGTTCGACGATCCACCGAACAGCGTCCAGCCGCCCCGACGAGGCCATGCCTGCTGCTGCGGGCGTCTTTAGCGTGTGCTTCGACCGCCCGCCGGTGTTGAGCTGTTTCTGCTGCTGCGCGCGAAGCCCATCCATAAATACGGCGCGACCAGGACCGCTGCTGCGAGTCTGCTCATCCTTCGCTCGCCAGACCGCCGTCGCCACCACCGCCGCCGCCGATGGCGCTGCCATCACAGTCCGTCATCGAGCCGGACAGCGTGGGATCTGACGAGAACGACGACGACACGATTCTCACGGACTACGCCTCCATTGCCTCTACCATCCCCAACTACATATACCAGAATGGCCGCCGCTATCATTCTCACCAGTCTGACCAATATGTCTGTGCCCCCCTGAGCCTGCTGCCTTCAGCGTATAACTAGCTATTTACTGACATCGAGAATTACATTTAGCTTCTCCCAAACGATGAACGAGAGCAGGAGCGGCTGGACTATATGCACCATATGTTTCTGCTGACGCTCGACGGTGAATTGTGTCATACAAAACTGGAGAATCCCCAGCACATCCTAGATATCGGCACGGGAACTGGAATTGTAATTTCCCCCCTGCATTTCAATGCTATATACACGCCCTTGCAAAGCAGAAGAGGCTAACATAATACTTGTAACAGTGGGCCATTGAAAGCAAGTCCCCTCATTTTGTTGATAGAGATACCTACTAACCCACATGCCCAGTGGCTGAGATATACCCATCTGCAGAGGTCACTGGTACCGATATTTCTCCTATACAAACCAGCTGGTAAGTATGCGTCACTGCAAGCCTCTTTCGAGACTGCAATCTAACCCACGAATCAGGGCTCCACCGAATGTCCAATTTCTTGTTGACGATGCCGTCCAAGAATGGACACTACCTGAGGCCTCCTTTGATTTTGTTCATGTCCGCACATTAGCCGGAAGCATAACAGATTGGCCAGCCTTCATCGAAAGGTGCTACAGGTAAGTAAAGTTTTGCTACTAATGCGCAGGGATCACTTTACTAACCAATACTCAAGGTGCGTTAAACCAGGAGGCCAAATAGAATTATCCGAGTGTCGATTGCAGATGTGTTGTGACGACGACTCCTGGCCTGAAAACTGCCGTACACGCTACTGGAGGGCACGCGCCCCCGAGTTTCCTTGCGTAGAGTATATGACGCTAATCAAGTGCATATAGGATGAGTTCATGAAAATTGCCGAGGAAGCCAAGATAGAGCTTGATCCGTTCCCTCGGTACGCAGACTGGCTGCAGGATGCGGGATTCCAAAATGTCGATCAAGTCGAGAAAGTTGTCCCTATTGGTACCTGGCCTAAGGACAGGGTTTTGAAAACTCGTGGTCGTTATTTTATGGCACAGTTCTTGAACAATGGACTTGAAACGTATACGCTGTCGCTGTTTACTCGTTGTGCGGGCTGGCAGCCGGAGGACGTCCATTCCTTGTTGGGTGGCGTCGTAGAAGAAGTCAGTTCCAACAAGATGCATCTATATACTCACTTGTATGTCTCCTTCAAAACCTGTAGCTGCAATCCCCAAGTACGCGCATACTGACAAGCTTCCCTAGCTCTTTTGTGACGGCGAAAAAACCGGCATAACCGCTGGACTTCGCAATCATTGTCAAATTTCATCTTCGCACGGCGTTTTTTCTCAAGAGAAGAGCGGCATTATTTTTTTGCTATTTAATCTGCGGCGTCTGGGCACGGGGAGTTTCAGATCGGCTTGAACTTTTCTGGAATGAAAGATAGAGCCTGTTACATACATACATTTGTTTTGCAGGTGGGAGGTTGAATCCGGTCGTTTTTGGCGGCGTTCGTATGTCTTCTCACAGAATATAGTACTATGGCGTGTTTTCCTTTTTGTTATTCTTATTTCTGTGCTATTTTGTGCCGTACCCTGCTGCCCCGTCCATTTCATTTTCTTTTTCGGGCCGAACCAATAGCCATGACATATCTCTAGCTATAACTACACTAAATCATAACCAGTGATATATAATTGTATTGAAAGAAAAGACCGCCCCCCCTGCTATTCCACGCATTCGGTGTTCTTCCTTCCGTCTGACATCGAAAACGGCAGGGGTAGGGTTTATCCACTTCAAAGCCCTAACCCTACTTTCTAACCTCCAGCTTGACTGCTGCCGAACTAGCTCGTTGTTTTGACTTGACTGCCAAATGAAGCCCACGGCGAGAACTGGATGCCCTTGGACTTTCCCACACAAACACGTGTATTTGGTTAGCCACGGCAGTGAGCGAAGACTCGACTTCCTGGCTAACAATCTATTATAACTAGATTACGGAGTACGGAACACAGAGTACAAATACTTGGTATTCTGTATATTGCACACATCAGCACCAACCAACAATGATTTCAAGGTGACCTGAGACTAAAAAAACGCCCCGATTCTTCGTACTCCACAAGATACGAGCTATTTAGCGAGTTGAGTGTTGGGCTCTGCGCGAGGGCAAGCTTATCTAGATTCGGAATGTCAGCCTTATTTCGATCCCCTTTTCGAAGCTTCTAACTACAGAAGTTGGAGCTGAGAAAAAAAAAAAAAAAAAATTGAAAACACAATCTTGCAAAATATATCTTTTGATCGCCCTCTCATAGATATTTCCGTACCTTACTGACATGCTTACGATGGAGGCCCAGGTCATCCATGCTGTGAAAATCGCCTTTGAACCAAAAGATATCCCATTTTGCATTGTTAATGAAGCTGCATTGAAATACTACAATGTCCCTTGTGTGCCCAATGTGAGTTACTAGCCCAGAGCGGCGCGGTAGTTCTGGATATTAATGATAGAAAGTCACTGGATATCTGTGTTCCCGAGAATAGCCTTTCCGATGCAGGATCCCAGCTCGCTTCGTACAAGGATATTTTTCGACTACATTCGTGGCTGGCGCAGAATCATGACAAAATCGCCGCCGACTGTCGAAAGCGCTACCTACGGTTTCAAGTATTCATGGAAGGCCGATTCCTTGATATGATAGTATTTTCAGACACGTTCTGTCATCTTGACCCAATTCAAGATAATATCGTCCGACTTAAGCCAAATCCCAAAGATCAGATCAGATTCAGCCGACACTTTGACTATTCAATAGATCCCAATGTTCTTTCGACTATTCCTGTACCACGCCTGGCAGCATTCGTGCAAGGATCAGCTCGGAATTATCTTGAATTACGAGAAGATGCCATGGCTGCTTGTGTGGAAAAATTGGTTGATGGTATGAATTTGGATGAGTCCTGGTGTGTTGACCACCTTGATACCCGTCAAGACAAAGAATTACAATATATTTTGGCGATTGTTGCCACAAAGGCTGCTCGGGCCTCTGAGCTTGGCCCAAATAGAATTACCTGCATTGTTGAGGAAGAGGAAGAAGCAGAGGCTGTACGCATGATACCAGGCTATAATGACATATTTTGCAAGCAAGACCAGCCTCCTCCATCAAAGGACAGTAGGGAAAATTTGCCCAGTCCTGTTCAGAGAATATTTACTTCAATTCAGTCAACGTTCCTCTTCCTCATAAAAAACTTTCGATCAGCAATTTTTGGCCAGACTGCCTTGCACCCAGTAAACTTTCAATTTATATCTGATATCCACTTGGAGCTCAGCCAGAATTATTCAACCTTTGCTGTTGAAAAGGCGGCGCCATACTTGATTCTGGCCGGTGACATTGGGGCATTACGGGACTATGAAAAGTATGTCACATTTCTAGCAGCGCAGTGTGCTCAGTTTGACCGCGTTTTCTTGGTTCTCGGTAACCATGAATTCTATGGCATTTCCCACGAAGAGGGTCTCAAAGCCGCGAAGAAGCTAGAATCAGAGCCGCAGCTACTTGGAAAGCTCTACCTCCTCAATAGAGGCCGCGTTGACATCAACCGAAGAGTAACCATTCTGGGATGCACTCTATGGTCTTCAATTCCAGAGGAATCTCAGCTCTGGGTTAGGATGAAGCTTGCTGATTTCACTGTAATAAATGATTGGTCTGTCGAGAAATATAATGCTGCACATATTGAGGATGTGCAGTGGCTGAAGCAGCAGCTTCACGACATTTCTCTTGAAGATGAGAAACGTGACGTTATTGTTGTCACCCATCATGCACCTACTGTTGAAAAGACTTCTGACCCCAAATCTAAACTAAACCCGTGGTCATGCGCATTTAGCACAAATCTGATTGAAGGCCAAGTCAAATCCTGGCCTGGTTCTAAGAACATTCGCCGTTGGATATTTGGGCACACGCACTGGAATGCTGAATTTAAACGGAAAGGAATAATCATAAGCAGCAACCAGTTAGGCTATTCTGCGAATGAACGTCGAAGACCTCTAAAACGGGGACTCTTCGACTTTAAGCGGCCTCAAGTTCAACAGAAGTTTGTTGTAACGAAGGCTATGAATGTGTAATATATTACATGGACTCTGTGTTATTCACAGGTGCCTCTTATAATTTGGGATCCTTAATACCCTCTGAATATTAGAAACTGGTGGGGACATATATAATGTTGGCCTTGACATGCAAATTTGAGCAAGAAAAAGCATTCTTGGCACAGTGGATGAATCTCTCATCTAATAGGTAAATTGATATTCACTTGTAAGTTCTATCGCTAATAACATAAATATTTTAAAGGAGATCAAATAATGAAATATTCACCTCCTGCATAATGGGAAATTGGCAATGCAGTAGCTAATGGGAAGACAGAGACAAGATTCAGGTATAGACACAGAACCAGGAAGTAGTGAATACTCGGGGGACGAAGACACTACCCTTTGGGGCTTGGTTTTGCTGTGGCTCGTAATATCAACGGTCGTTTCATGTTGACATCTCAGGTGTTGGCAACCGATTCCTCTGGGAAATTTTATATATACCCGGTAATAAAATGTCAGCTGACGTTAATGTAGGCCCACATGTTTTTCCTTGTAATAGCAATATCTAGTCGTAAATCATATCGTGTTTCGTAAAATCGAAGCTATTTGGCATGACCACCTCAACGTAGTTCACTGGAATAATTTAAATATGGACCGCTGTACACGATTCTGGGCCCGGCTCTCTTTGCATTCCGGGCATCGACCAGGTTTGATGGTTTGATCCCGCTTAGCACCGTCACAGTTGTAATCCTGACCTGCTTTAGAGTTGCATGGCACGAATTCGCGAAATTTGATGCAGCAGCATTTCTCGTAGAACCAATGTTTCAAGGTACACATAGTTATACGCGTCGCGTGTCTCTCTCAACGTCTCGATATCAGGTCTCCCTAAATGCTTGACTTTAGTACCAGTGGATATCTCTAGAGAAAAGGTACAAAGAAGCGGTAGCCTCAGCTCACTTCAAAGTAGCAACACTGCTAGATGTGAAAGGCGTGAAACCTCGAGTTCGACCACAACTGCACGTCGTAGAGGTTTGTAAGGAGGACCACTAGGGGGAGGTTATATTTTTGGTGTTGTTTTTTTTTTTTTAATTTTTTCTTCAATAAGCGACACTGAAAAGTAGAAGTGAAAGAAAACACAGCACTTGCCCATCACACACTCCAACATTCCCAGTGGGGAGCATAGCATGTAGCATGGAGACTTCCAGTGGTTGCGATGCACTTTCAGGTCATGTTTGGAAAGTGATGCACGTGACGGGACATGCCAGGCAACATTCACCTGTGGGCAATCCAACTGCAACTATTTGATGTTTGCACACTAGTAAGAAAGAATTCTCTTCTTCCCTTGAATATATCCCAGACAAAGTTCTCGGGCTACCAAGGATGCAGCTAGAATAGCCGAAGAAGCACATGCTGATCTACAAAGAAGATAACACTGTAGATGGTGCACGTTTAAAGGGAAGCAATGAACTTCTGTCTGGACAGAGACAAATATATTTTTTATCTTTCATCTGGGTCACCTCAGACTTTGAGAACTGAGCCGTTGCCGCGTCACCGTTTGGCGCCGGATGGAATGCTAAAGCCACGGGTCATGAAATCACCGTCCTTTACACCCTGGTTCTTTGAGCTAGAAGTGAAAAGGCTCTGAAGCGTCTCATTGTTTTCAATGCGCTTCCTCCGCTTCTGTCTCGCATTTTCCTCCTCTAGAACTCGAGTGGTCAGCATTGCAGTCGCAGCGTTTTTAATTGCGCCAGTGGAGGAAGATAGAGGCGTAGAATTTCTACTAATAGGGTCACCATTCGCTGTAGGACGCTTCGCCCTAGTGGAGGGTTCAGCAAGAGGTGTCCCGTCAGCCAGGGCTGTGTTTGATCCATTCTTCTTTCGCTTCTTTGAGCCAGGAGCCTTCTTAAGTGAGTGGGTTAGGTTTTGACCAGTTAGTTTTTGCATACGAGAATAAAGTCGCTCCTTTTCAGATTCTTTCATAGGTAGTATGGGGATGATGTTTTCAGGGTCATAAGATTCATTACACTAATAAAAGTTAGCACTAATATAAATTAAATGGCAGATGCCAGTTGAAAAACTAACCTGCAGACACTTATCTGATTTCATTTCACGGATCGCTTCTTCAGAAAAAGCATGACCACAGGGCACGAGATAGACGGACTTCACGTTAGGACCCAGCTCTTTGTTTGTGACTGGACAGATGAAGAGTTTCTTATTTTTCTCGTCCGAGTCAGAAACTTCAAATTTTATCTCGACAACATCTCGAAGGCTCTTAATTCTTCCGCATAAGATTTCTTCACAATCTGCCTTGGAGGATATTCCGTCCACATCATCTCCAGGAAGAAGAATGCGTAACACTGTATCTTTATTGTATAAATTCCCGGCCGAATCTGAAACTATTGGTGGGAGTAACTCCTTATGCGATAGCGGACAAATAGTCCAGGAATGCTGAAGCTGTTCTTTCTGAGTCTCTTTAAGCTGCGAGGCGCTGGGTGCTTTGGCGGCTTCTTTGACAAGTTCGCGTCGTGTTGGAATGCTAGAGGGCACGATTAGCGGATAAACACATAGAGAAATGGCCCAGGAAATGCTAACCTCCCGCCGTCGTTGCCCATAGTAACAGTGCAGAGTTGTAAATGAGGTCAAAATTGAGATGAATTGAGAAATGGATGGCGTTTCCTGAAGAATGGAGTTCGCCGCCACTTGCTGGAAGCTCTGCGACCGCGCTATGCCCAATGCGGGTGGCGGCCCAGGCCGGGGTTACCAAGGTATGAATCTGGCCTTAGAAGCACAACGACTGTATGTCCAGGATCTGATTTTGACTGCTGGCAGGCCAATGCTGCCGCCATGACACAGAATAGCAAAGCATATCTTCTCCTCAGCTTAACAGCATGTTTTGCGGGCTTCGCGACCGCAAGCGCTGCCGCCCGGCCTCGAGGTGTTGGACCAGAGTGTATGTCTCCTAAATATAGCCAAAATATTGAGGACTACCTCACCTGTATCTTGGATTCTGTTGCTGACTGAACGCTTGATAATCTGCTCTAGTTGCTAAGTTTTACAAGGATCCTACGACCTTTACGTGTATATCCAACCCTTCTATCAAAATTCCATTCTCTGCCGTGAACGACGACTACTGCGATTGCCCCGATGGTAGTGACGAACCCGGTACTTCAGCTTGCTCATTTATATCAGAGCTTTCGCCGTCTATTTCGTACGACAACGGGGACCAAGCAATTAATCGCACGCCAGCTCTTCCCGGTTTTTATTGCAAAAATAAAGGCCATAGGCCTTCATATGTTCCTTTCCAGCGCGTGAACGACGGTGTTTGCGATCATGACAGTTGCTGCGATGGTAGCGATGAATGGGCCCATCATGGAGGTGTGAAATGCGAAAACAGATGTCAGGAGATCGGCAACGAATGGAGAAAAAGCGAGGAAACCAAGCAGAAATCACTCAATGCAGCAATGAGGAAGCGCAAAGAGCTTGTTACCACTGCGTCTCGGCTAAGAAAGGAAGTTGAAGATAGAATCCTTGACTTGGAAGTTGAGTTCCAGGCTGCAGAGGTCAAAATTAAGGATATGCAAAAGGAGCTCGATGAGGTCCGCGCCAGAGATTTTGGGAAGGTTGTGAAGGGGAAGAAAGGAGGAAAGGTCAACGTGCTTGCTGGACTTGCAAAAGGCCGAGTGGACGAGCTACGAAATTCCCTGATAGACGTGCGGCTACAAAAGGAACAAGCCCAAAACAGACTCGCTGAGTTGGAAGGGTTGCTCATCAAGTTTAAGGAAGAGTACAATCCGAACTTCAACGACGAAGGTGTTAAGCGGGCCGTGCGGAGCTGGGAAGAGTACGTTGCAAAAGGTCACGAGGCTGTTAGTGGAGAGACGTATTCGGATCTTGACGAAATCACCAAGCCTGACGGCCCCGATTCAGGAATTGACTGGGAAAAATGGGAGAATGAACAGGACGAGTCTGAACTTTCTTTCGGTAAGCGTGAACCCTGAAGGCTGGTTCATTTAATATGTGCTAACTGGATCACGCAGTTTACAAAGTGGCTGCTTACCTGCCACCTTCCTTGATTATCTACGTTGAAGATAAGCTTAAGAATTTCAGATCCTTGCTTATCGCTAATGGCATTTTGGCGGAGCAAAACAGCGAAGGCGATGAGTCCAAGGCGGTAAGGGATGCTCGTGATCGATTGAGTAGTGCAGAGTCCTCACTGGAAAGCCTACGAAACTCTCTAAGAGAGCACAAAGAAGACCTCGAAAAGGACTTCGGCCAGGATTCTGTCTTCCGTGCGCTCAAGGGCTCTTGCATATCAAAGGACTCTGGCGAGTACACCTACGAACTCTGCTGGATGCAAACGACCACGCAGAGATCTAAAAAGGGCCGCGGAGATACAATCATGGGCAACTTCAACAAATTTTCCACCGTGACGACAGATGAGGTGACCTCGTCCGGGCAGGTTATCCCTCGGGAAAAGATGGCGCTGGAGTTCACCAATGGCCAGACGTGCTGGAATGGACCAGCGCGGTCAACTAAAGTCATCTTGGACTGCGGTGAGAATGACGAGATTCTCAAGATTACCGAAGACGAGAAATGCGTGTATTCGATGTATGTGACGACGTCAGCAGCGTGTGAGTTGTCGTCCTCATCGGGCGGGCAAGACACGGTGAACAGCGGAAAGGATGAGCTATGATGCCATCATGCTTCTGATCCATCGCGCTTTTTTCCTTTTCTTTTCTTCTTGGAGCCTCGTAATAATGTTGAGACAGCCGAGCTGAACCTTCCTTTTGACCCGCCTCATCGTTCACTTCTTTTTTCCGCGACATATTGTATCAGTTGTTCTAGATCCCACAGTTTCTTTTTACCGGTGTTGTCGCGATCGTCCTCAATCATCTTTGCTCTGCTATACGGAGTATGCATGTACATACAAAGGACAGGCGTCTACATAGATAGTTTGGTGTCGACACGCCAGGAGGCACAAAATGAAAAGCCACCTCAAGGATTCACGGAAATCGTCATGCTTCCTCGGTGCTTACACCGGTTCTTCGCGAGAATGACCAGTCAACAAGGAACCAGGGCGCCACGCTAGCCCTGCATTTCCTCTTCTTCACGACGGCCGCCACATGCCAGGATTCCCCATCCCATGAACATAAAAGTAGAAAGCAATGGTCACTAGGCGAAGGGGAATGCTAAAAAGCAGAGACGCGATTCGTACGGGAAAATCCTCCAGTCACAGAGCTGGCCTCTGCAATTACATCGATATGGTTTGGACTAGCCGGCGCTTCGCCACTTGATATATGGTTTGTTGTCCTTCGTTCCAAGTTTATATCCTGGGATATCCTCCTTCACCCCGGCCAATCAGGCGGGAGGAAAATACAAGAAAGAAAAGCCGAACAACGGAGAAAAAAAGTAAAAAAAAGTCCGGGGTAGAGAACTAAAGAAAAACACGCGAAAAAGCAAAAGTTGAGACCTGCATATCCCGCGATGGCTGGGATGGGATTCTGGGGGAGAGATGCAAGGAGATCTGTGAAGAAAGACACGGCACACATCAGATTGACGGCGTGTTCGGCATGTAACTAGTGGCAGTAGTGGTGTGAGCCATGTGGAGAGAAATAGGCATGTAGACGCGAGGGATTCCGTATATGCAGGGTAGAAGAGCTTCAGGAGCTTTCTGGTTCTGCCAATCTCACCCGGCCCCCTCTGATGGGTAGCTTTTACCACGTTGGAGGGCCCGAGTAAGTCCTGGCCTCGGCGTCTGTACTCGGTAGGAGACCGGCAACAGCTACTACAGTGAGCAAGAAGCTTGGTCGAAGGAAGCTTGGGCCTCCCGGAGAGAGTGCCTGAGAGCTAGGAGTTTTTGGGTTTCCTGGTTCGAAGTGATGGTTGCCAGGAGACGTATCTTTTTCAATGTCATCTTCAGCTGTTAGGAGCTTTGTTCATCAATCCCGGATCCATTCTTTCCGAGCTAGGAATGTCAAGGGTCATCGACGTTGATGTCACAGGTGATCTACATTGGAGAGGAGGAAGAGTGGTTTGCTGGCCATGCAAAGGTTATATTCGTATACGTATCAACAAATGAGAGCATCTCCACCACCCGACCATATTGTCGAAAAAAGCAGATAGACAGAAAGCCATATAGATCGCATCAGAGTCCAGGTATCATCCGTAATTGCCAGTAGCCACCCCTGTTTACACCACGAGGAAAAGTAGTCAATCGAATTCGAATCATCGCGAGGAAATCGTTTGCGGTGGGCTCAAGTCGTGATATTGCATGCGCTCAGGACGAGGAGACGAGTGTCCGAATTCAAGGTCAAGTGGAGTAAGTGATATTGAAGGGGTGGTAGGACGACATGGGTTCACAGGCTGCGAGCCATTTTAGTGCTATGGGGTCTATATCAGCGGAGTGCCCAGCGAGGAGCGTCAGTAGCAGAAAAGCAACTTACGCTGCAGGAGTTGCAGGAGCAGTTGTTGCAGGCGCCGGGGCAGCAGTTGCAGTTGCAGGGATTCATTTTGATTGAGGGTTGGAAACGTAAAACGTTTAAAAAGTAGAGGATCGAAGAGTTGGTATTGCTTGGAGACTGGAGTTGTTTGCGGATGGAGAAGAGAAAAGATGAGGTGGGACGGGGGCGGCACGGCCTTTTATGCGTTTTCGGGCAAGGGAGCTCCCACGGCCGGCCGACGGGATGGATGTCGGCAGACAGAGAAATGCGAGTGCTCGGGATACGGGCAAAGCCAGCCAGCTACCTAGCTACCTAACTAGTTGGCCTGCGGGAGGCCCAAGCCAGGGAGTCCGCGTGTGGGGAAGAGCCGAATCAGCCTTGCGTGCGTGACAGGGAGGCAGCCCAATGGTGAGTCGAAGGGAGGAAAAGAAAACGTACGACCAGGCCAGCATGTGCCAGATCAGGGCGGGAGGAGAACGGCGCCCTCGCTACGGTATCCATCCATCCCGCATGACCGGTAGGCAGACATCTGGCGGGCCGGACAGTGCGCTGTGGCCTGGCGGCGGCTATGGGCAAGCTGAGCTGTTCAAGGGAGGCGCTTGGACATCAGGACTAGCAGTGGTCATATTAGCAGCAGCAGCAGCAGCAGCAGCAGCAGTAGCTAGAGGGGTGCTCCGTACCAAGGCGAACAGCACCAGACACGGCGATCAGACCACGCAGGAGCGCAGTGTAGCGTAGCGTACAGGCGTGCTCGCTCGCTGGCTGGCTGGCGCGGCCGGTGAGTCGTGAGACGACGACGTGGACGCGAAAAAGCAACGCCGACCAGATCGGGATGGCGGGGCTGCTGGGATGCTGGGATGCTGGTGCGCATCCCGGTGTTGCTATTTTGCCGTTTCGGGCCAGGTGGGATGCGGGCCCCATCCCTCGCTGCACTAGCCACTCTCGGCGCGCCAAGCCCGATCCCGACCGTCGCGCGGGGTGCATCACGTGTAGCACGCCCCGCCCCCACCTGACCTGCCCTGTCCGCTTTGGGACGCGAGAGGCGTCGGGAGGAGCAAGGCAGGCACAGAGACGGCTCGCCGTCATATTATTAATAATGCCTGGCGGTTAACTATGTGCCAGGCAGGCAGCAGCCCGACAGGCCCTGGCCACTGCTGACGCCGATTTTACGTTTCCACGACGGAGTAACTACGGAGTCGCTAGCGACTGGTGGGGAGATGGAAGCTGGATCCGGGAATCCAACAATCCAGAAATTCAAAAATGGACCATTTTGATTTGCTCAGAACCCTGACAGACTTGCATACATGCCACCTCTCACACAATGCCCACCGCTCCCAGTCACAGCACAGACAGTGCACTTGGCCTCAACACTCCCCTCGCGAGTAGTAGTCGGTGTTGAGCAGTAACGAAAGACAACGAGCAAGCCGCGGCCGCTCGACATTGGGTTCCGCATCGAACAGCGTGATTTTACAACGGACGGCGGTGGTGGACGGCGCAGCGCCAGACTGCGGCTCCGGACGCATGGTTCATTTATTTCTTTCTAGAAGTCAGCCAACGACGCCCGTCGATCATCCAGACACCTTGGGGGGAAACTTACGCAGTTGCAAGCGCCGGCAGGGCACGAGCAGGAATCACCGCAGGCGCATCCGCATCCACCTAAAAAGCAGCGGCATTAGTCTAGGCTGGCCCGGAGAGAGATGTCGTGCAGCATGGGTCGAAGCAGAACCCCCATGTTCGACACGGGGGACCGCGGTGGCTGCACAAGAATAATCCCAAAAAAGGGCCTAACTATACTTCGGGGGGGAAATGCACAAACGTACCCATGATTGCAAATTTGAGATTTGGTTTGGATTTGGTTTGGTTAGGAATAGTTGATAGCAAGAGTAGTACTCTGGTAGTCGTTTTCTGAGGACGGTGAAAAAAAATTCAGCAGTCAGGCGAAGTGGGTATCGCCTTATTTATATCTACACCACGGCCGCTACGTTTCCATTCGCGCGGTGGCTAAAATAAAAACTGGGATTCCGCGAAAAAGCTTCCTAGTCCCCGCGGGAGTTCGACGAAACCTCGCCTGATGCTTGGCTCGGGTCTCGATATGCAGATTCCACCAATCGTGGCTCCATCGGGGATCCTAGGGTAACGTCTCCGCCCTTAGCTCTTCCTTGCCTCCCTCATTCCGAGTCAGAGCCTTTTTTGTCATCTGATGATGATGATGATGGTAATCGACGCTGGAATTGCATACATACACCTCCTGGGGGTCTAACACTGCCCAAGCTGTGCTTGCATGGAGATCGTGTACTCCATGTAGTGCTGAAGCCGGCCGCGCGCACTGCAGTCTCGCATTACAGCTCCAACCGTCGTATCACTTTGCAGGTTCTGCGAAGGAAAAAGGAAACCGGCCGTACTCCCGCTACAGGCCCTAATCCCAACCAACTCCTCCACTCCCATACAGCCTGCTCCAGTATATCAGCTCCTTTTTGCTCTCACCCCGCACCCGCACCACCCGAAAGCGGACGCTGTAACAAAATACTCGTAATTCCGCCAGCATGTCCACATGCTGTTGATTCAGACATATAGTACAGTAGTATTCGGTGCATATACATACATCCATCAATCCATTTCTATCCTGACCCATGCTCATATAATATGGTGTGCCTGAAACGCTGGATTGGCAGCACCCGTGCATAGACCCAGCTATGGATGCATGCAAACCCTTCGTATCCCCGGCACTTAGACGCCACTGTATTTCCAAACTCTGAAAGCAGCTGAAGCAAGGCTGGTCAGCCGGAATCCTGGCTTACCCGTGGAATTTGTATTCGTCTGTTGCCAACGTGTACGTATCCGGCCAACCAGATTCGATGAGTGATGGTATGTTGATCCGGGTAATCATTATTAATGTGTTGCTCTCTCTGACATGCCTGGTAGCCTACTTGGTATCAAAAAAGCGGCCAAAGCACCATCCTGCGCCCAGATCTCCCCCGTGGCGCCTGCCACTCGTCCAGCTTTCGATCGCAGTTCGACTCCATCAGTCCCAGCAGTTCCGGCAACCAGCAAGGCGCCCGTCCTAGCCGAACATGAGAAATCAAAAGTTTCACGAAATCAACAAGTTGTGCCTAAATTGACCTCAAATTCTCGAACACTTGGACGCTGTGACGTGTTTGCTCGGCAAGCTTTTCCAGAAAGCTTACCGTGTTAGACCAAGTACATACGATCCGGATAAACCCGTTGGCAGCACGGGTCAGGATATATACGTGTTGCACGGAGAAAATACGGGTCCCTTTTGAACCGCAAAGTCAACCTGTCTTCATAGCCCGTGCAACAGACACATCCATCCAATAGTCAATTCTCTGTGACTTTCTGGGTCCCATATTCTACTTCATAGATAGAGAATCGAGTCACTACTCTAGATATGCGGCAAGGAGACCAAAGGCATTGGTTTGGATCACAGGCTAGGTTGATGGTTGAAAAATATAGACTAGTCATCCTTTTATGACGTTGAGGGGCGCCGGTTTCATAGTAGATCGGGGTAGGTAGTTGTACCGCAACAGTCCCAGCCACCACCAGCATATACAAATTAATACGGGAAATATTGGAAAGAAAAGCAATCCTAATAGCTTTAGGATCATGATGGTCACGAGTACGTACCACACTGTCATGCAACTAACCGGGCAGCCCTGCGCCGAGTGATTTTGGGTTGAGAAGGAGTTGGAAAACACGCAAAAAAGCCGCAAAATCACCGGTCATCATCCTCGGCCCATCCGCAAGCCGTGCGTGTCAATCGGTGCATAGCCTAGTTAGTTAGCCCTTTTTTCTTATCGCCCATTTACCACAACCGGACGCGACGAAAGCCAGAAACGGGGTCAGGGATTCGCAAGCGTCGTCGCAGGACTTCAGGGATATCGTGATTTCAAGAAGGCACATGACGCTTATCAATAATCAGGTGATTTAAGTAGCTAAGAATCGACGGTTGCGATATCCCCTTCAACGGCATCAAATCTTCACTATGGTTGGCGATGGATTCACGTTCAAACCAGCGGAATCGCTGAGGCACGATGGTCGCTCGAGTTTCCGCATTGGGAGCAGGTGCGCTATTGCCGCTCGCCACCGCCTGTCGCCTAACGTTTTGGGAAGAACCACCAAAAAATCGCTGTCGCGACGACAGACCTCAATCTACCAAACAACACTGCCAGTGGACAGTGACTATTGGGAACTTAATCGCCTATCGTACTGATGTCCATGGATTCTCTGACTTACACTCGAGCAAGTCGAAGAGATGCCTGCAGCATATGAGTTTCGCGGCAACCGTGATGGCCCAAGGTCGCGTCCCCAACACGAGTTCACATTCCGCTCACGTCAACCTCGAACGGCTGCGCGCCCTTTATTAATGGCTCAGAGAGATGCTTCGCCTGGATTTCTGGGGAACGAAGATGGCGGAAAGCAGCAGCCTAAGTTCATGAACCCTGAAGATCTTACTGATACCGACGAAGAGGAGATGGAAGTATCATCGGCAGATGACGGTGAACCTCCAAAAAAAAGACGAGCTATTGGAAGCCCCAATGCGCCGCCATCCGCCGCTCCAAAATGGTCAAATCCAGATCCCTACACCGTACTTCCGCCACCCGACGAGAGCCTGGGTAAGAAGAAAGATGTCGTGAAGTTAATTCGCAAGGCAAGGATTGTTGCTGCCCAGCCGAAGTCAGAAGAAACAAACGCAATTGTTTCCAATGAAGACTTCATTTCCCTTGATGCAGTGGATTTGACAATGTACCAACCACCAGAGAACGCGCCGCGGGGACCGCGCATGGCTCGAGATGGGGATCCCGCCCTAGGAAATCGTAAACGTACCAGGGACGACGAGATTGTCGGCTCAGCGACAAGACACATTCGATTTGATAAGATAGATGCGCATTTTAACTTGGATGGCACTATCACCGAGGCATGGCGTAGTCGAGCTGGTGATAACTCAACACCGTGGTTTTACAAGGCTCAGCCCTCAGCATTTCATTTGGGAACGATGTGAGTGCTTCTTACGGTAATTCCAGTTTTTCGGTTTCTGATGGTCATCTAGGCTTCATAATGAAATTATTAGTTTCTATCACTGGGTCAAACCACGCCCTTTTGAAGATGTCATCAGAACTGATCTCATCACTCGCCTCGAAAAGCATATGCAAGACAGATTTCCCGGGGCGCAGCTGCATGCATTTGGCTCATACGCTTCGGGGCTATACCTTCCTGTAGCAGATGTTGATCTTGTTCTTCTTTCAAGACAGTTCCTTCGCCAAGGTAGGAAATATTTGTGCCAGAAGACTAGGGATATATTTTCCCTTACAGCATATATTAGAGACCTTGATATCGCAGTCCCTGGTTCAATCGAGACTATTGCTCATGCCCGAGTTCCCATTATAAAGTTTGTGGACCGCCTGACAGGTCTGAAAGTCGATTTATCATTTGACAACAACAGTGGGCTAGCAGCAAATAGAACTTTTCAAAATTGGAAAGCCCAATTTCCTGCGATGCCGCTAATCGTCTCTGTCATAAAGCAATTTCTGCTACTAAGAGGCCTAAATGAAGTTCCATCCGGGGGGTTAGGCGGGTTTTCTATTATCTGCTTGGTGACTAGCCTTCTTCAGCATTTGCCTCAATGTGTGTCTGAACCAAACCTTGGTGGAGTACTGATGGATTTCTTTGATTTTTATGGAAACAAATTCGACTTTTCATCAATTGGGATTGAGTTCAACCCTCCCGGCTATTTTTACAAGGTACACTTAATATTTTCATGGACATATTAATATGGCTGTTACTGACACTTTTACCCAAGCATTCTCGAAATATTTACCAGGCAAGTAGCCGAGATCGATTATCAATAATTGATCCCAACAGGCCCGATAACGACATATCCGGATCAACAAAGGAAATAAGAATGGTTTTTAGGTCTTTTGCTGAAGCTTTTCGCGCACTGAAGCAGAATATATCTGCAGCATCAATATCACCGTCTCGGAATATCAGTCTACTTGCTTCTATTATTGGCGGAAACTATGAATCTTATGATACCCAGCGCGCACACTTGTTTCAACTTTACGCAAATCATCCCCGCTTTATACAATATTACCATCTTGTCCCCTTACCAGCTCCCCCAAAGGAACCAACGCCGCCACCGCCTCCGACATCCCCGGGGCGTCCTTTGATGTCTTCCGAAAAACAGGACTCTAGCGGTGGTAAGACTAGCAAGAAGCGACAGAAATTCGTAGATCGTGCCATCCGGTTGAAAACCCTTCGACCTGACTTGAAGAACATTCCTGAATTTATTACCCACGAGCAGGCTATTAAACTTGGGGGCTACCCTAATGAATCTGTGATGAACCGGGATTTGGCTGCGAGGGAGAAGGTGCTAGAGCAGCTTCGCACTAGCTGAACTGATGATGAACTTTGCAGAATATAAGCCAAGGGGGCTTGTGCATCTCCCTCCTCATAAAATGGAGTTTTCTCTTTTTTTTTTGTCTTTGGTGGAAATACACCGTGTCAGCTTCTCTATTCTCTTTTCTGCCCACTCGCGAGGCTTGTTTGACGTTGTGGCTATTTGATAGCACTTATATGATACCCAATAATATCGGCTGCCAGGAGGAGAGGAAACATCCTGTTATACACATTTTCAAAGATAGGCTTCGTGCATCGATACTTGTGATTCCTTATCTTAAATACATATTTGCCGGGGTGGCCTGTATTTCTAGGTCTCTTCCTTTTTCTCCGGGAGGTTTTATCTTTTTTCTCAAGTTATCGCTCTCTATTCAAAGTCGATCCCTTCTTACCAGCCGAATTGGGTTGACCTCAAGACTACCGTTGTATCTTAACTCTCACGGTTTCCTAAAAGGATTCCTAAGCCAATTTCTGAAGACAGGTGTGCATCCCAATTGAATTGAATCTCGCTAACTGGCTTCACAGGATACGTGGGCGTAGAAAACTTAGCCCTAAACCAACAAAACATATAACGTTAATCTGGTGGTTTCGCCACCCTTCCCGCAGCTGAAAACACGCCAATATCAACATGTTTTTGTGGGAGAGCCATAACCTTGACTTTTCCCATCGCCCCTTCCTCATTACAACCCCCCCTTTTCAACGACATCCATCTTTTCCTTCTCATCATGGGATCTGCTAAATGCTGGTTTATGAAGAGGAGAAACATGCTTGCATTTGTGTCCAGTTCGATCTCACATTCTGAGTTCTCTACTTAGCGCTATGAATAAAACATTATTCCTATCATGAACGATTTACAGATAACGATCTAGCCAACAGTATCTTTGTCGTATCCCGCAGGAGGTGGTTGGTTAACAAACCCCGTATCTGGACTGGGCCACGCATAGTTGACCCATTGCGGGCCTAGAATCTTCTGTATCCCCTCAACAAGGGGAAGAATTCGCTGACGGTTATTTTTGAGGATTTCAGCTTGAGATTTTACCGAGCTGTGCTCGCCTTCCGGGTTTTCCTTGCCAGCTCCCGTATCCAGCCCGTCAATAATCCTCCGCCAGACGCTAAGTGTCTCTTCAAGCTCTTCAACCGTGCTTACTCCCATGACACTGACGCCATGTATAAGGCCAGCAGTATGGTCTGCTTGAGTGGAGGGGGGCCGAGCAGCTACTTCTGGGGCGAGAAGCTCGCCATATGAACCTACAGGCGACCCATCTGTCAACCATGCCACAAGGGCAAACTGGATGGCGATAGATTCGATCTTGTGGCCTTGCGCCTCGGTCCAGTCACTGGCCTTGCTCACCGCCTGTCGCAGCTCCACGGGTGCGGGGTGGAAATCGCCCATGCTGCCAATCGGCACACCGCTGCGCCTCAACAAGCCCATTCCCAACGGCGATGCATTGGGCACAACATCGACGCCCGCTGCTAGAAGGCGAGGGACGCCCTCCGAGACCAGTCTCGTATTCTGCACGGTGAAATTCGCAAAGGACATGACTGCGTCCAGCGGTTCACCTGTTTCTCGTAGAATCATCTCTGCCAGGTCGCAGAGAACGTCGACTGGGTAGCCGGATATCCCGACGTATCGCACTGTGCCTTCGGTGTCTCGAATACGGCGTAACTCTCTCACGGCCACGAGCACTTCGTCTGCTGAGACGAACTCGACATCGTGGCAGTATACCACGTCCAGATACGGGGTTTTCAGCCGTACCAGGCTGCGTGCCAAACTCCGTCTGATCCAGGCGGGCGAGTAATCAAACGATGCAGCGGCGATGCGGCCGACTTTTGTGAGCAGATGATAGGAGCTGCGAGGGTAGTTGTCACGAACGAAGGGCATATCCAGAGCCTGGCCCAGCAGCTCCTCCGCGGGGCCGTAGTATGGCGAAGTGTCGAACGCCCGGACGCCGGCGGCGAGCGCCTTGTGGACGAGACTGGCGGTGGGCAGCGCGTAGGGATCCGGGTTGTACTGCGAGTTGAAGGTCGCGGATCCCATGATCAGTGCGGGCAGACTCGCCGACAGCGGTGCTGCTGGCTTTCCGGGGCTGGCCATCGTGGATTCAGGCCTGGGGTGCGCGGGGTGGAGGCGGAGGGTTGGAGGATGGGAGGGGGCGGGGTGGGATGAAGCCGTTCTTGAGCATCACCATCACGATAGTTATACATATGCATGTAGTTATATGCACCACAACGACAAGCCTCTCTGCGATAACTACACTCCTGCACGCCAACACCCCCCAGGTGCTCCCCAGACGCCTCTGCAATGATCTCGCCGCTCACAAACAGCCTCCAGGAAACGGCTCATCGCGCAGCCCGCCCTTCCAGTCGTTCATCAGCCCGTTCCAATAGCGAACCTTCACGCCGCTCAGATCCAGCTTGCCCTCCTCCTCCGTCTCTCCCTCGTCGCCCACGCTCTGGTCGATCGTGAGTCCGTTGACCGTCAGGAAATCCGCCGCCTTGCCGTCCAGCACGTACGAGCTCTTTGCGAACATCGACACGCCGCACGTCTTGCAGAAGTAGTGGTGCGCGCTCCCCGAGCCGAACGTGTAGTCGCCCAGCTCAGGAGACGTAAACGACGCCGGCTTCAGGAGGGTCACGGTCGACTCGGACGCCTGGAAGATCAGACTGCCCTTCTTGTGGCAAATCGTGCAGTTGCAGCGCCCCCCCTGGAGGTTGGCCCGATCGAGGACCACTTGGTAGCGAACGGCACCACAGTGGCAGCCACCATTGTATGTGTGGGGATCGGTCGGTGGTTGTGCTTCGGCCATGGCTCTGGAATGCAGATGTGAGCTTTGGAGAGAGACCAAGGAGATGAATAGGCTGCTTGAATTCAGCCCGCGGCTCCCAGTTTGATGTGACTTAAAGACCGGTTGCTACGTAGAAGAGCTCTATATACACTTAAACCTAGGGACCACCAGATCTGTATAGAGTATGTGTCACTTTCAGCTGGGCATCTTTTGCCGCCTCGTATCCAGTTCTGGCAGCCCAGCCGGCAATCATTCAAGAGAGATATACCGGATCGTGGGACTTTCTTAAACTCAATTCTGTACAAGATTGCAAGATATCATGGACCTATATAGTCTGGGTACGTACACGCAATGTCATCGCTGGAAATCAGTGTTCAATGGTACAAAGTTGGTCTGCCTAATTCCCAAAACATGTGCGATGTTGCTGACTCGGGGCCGTGATGGGACCCTACATCCTAGGATGGATCCCTTGATAGTGAGTGATAAGGAGCATGCCAGGAACTGAGGTATGGACCCTGGTAATACGGATAATAATATCCATTCTGGTGTCCATGCAAGTGAGAATATTGGTAATTCTGCTGAGGAAGAGCCGGAGCAAAGTGTGGCGGTGGATAGATGACCGATTGCTCTGGCACAACTTGGGCGAAGGGAGCATGTCGGCCAATATCTCTCGTGGGCACGGCTAGCGAGGACAAAAGTTCAGGTAAGAGAGAACCCTCTAGCAAGGGTACTGCATTCCTTAGTACGGGCGAACAGTGCCCAAAGACAATTCCGTGGCTTTCGAATGTTGTTTGCTCGCAGTGTTCACGTATCTCCTCAGGCATTCTCTCTGGCACCTCCTCGGGCAACTTACACACCTCCTCAGATATCCCCTTAGACGTCTCCTCAGATGTCCCCTTAGCCGTCCCCTCAGATGTTCCCTTAGCCGTCCCCCCAGCCATCTTGTCACATGGCTTCTCAGGCATGTTCTCTGGAACCTCCTTGGGTACCTCCTTGGGCATGTCCTTACACACCTCTCCAGACTCCTCAGACATCCCTGCAGGCATTTTCTCAGGTGTCTCCTCAGATCCATCCTTAAGGATATCAAAGCCTATAATTCTGGGTGGTGCGGAAGCACTGCGTTTGTTGCTGTCCGAAAACGGGCCCGGCGACTTGTCGTCCCTAAGAAACGAATACCCCTCTATTAAGGCATTCCTTTGCTCAAGGCGGAAGATCCCATGGTTTATTTCCTGCTGCATGCCCGTCCCTTCCTTTCCCTTCCCCTTCCCCTTCTTCTTCCTAGTCCGCTTTGTTTTGCCCCCCGTCTCGTCGGATGCCCGAGGAGGGTTGTCCGGGTGATGACCCTCAGGAATATTTGCACTCGGATCAGCAGAAACAGAGCCAGGATACCCACGGGGGATGGTAAATGGTCCTGTGCTGCTTGACCCATAGCCGTTGGATCGGAACCAGGACTTCTTTACGTGTCTCATTAATTCGATATCGCGTTCTCCACCTCTCTTGGGGGGTTCGTCGTCGCCCATGTTCAACTGTTGGATCGCCGCCCTTCGCTTGAGCCTGCGAGCCTTGCTCTTGGTAATCGTCGTTAAATCCTCGGGGACGTTAGCTGATGGTTTGTCGTTGTTCTTTTGTTCGTTATCACTGCTGGGGGTGCCGGTGCTGTTGCTTGAATTTTTGTCCGCTCTGCTCATATCTCTCATTCGTATGGAGGCAAGAACGTGTGGTTGAGAAGAAAAGACTATGAGGAAAGAAAGACTGCAAAAAGAATAAGAAGAGTCTGAATGGCAGCAGAGATAGGGAAGCAACGGCGGTTAGGAGTGTGCTGTACGAAAGATCAACGGAATATATAGACAGTGAGGGAGATTTCATCGCCGACCTTGGGGATACGAGAAGTTGGTCTTGCGGGTGGCAGCTAGCAGTGGTAGGGTTCATGGCTCAGTATCAGAGACTGCCAACATTCCACCGGAAGACAGCAAGAAAGCCAAAACATGACCGTGCAGACCAAAAACCTTACACCCAAACCGGACAGATTGTGTCATCACCAGACGACAGCGTTACGGTCAGTGAATGCCACCTACAGGACCATGGAGACCGACAGGCAAAAGATTAGAAGAAGCCAGCTGCAGGGTTTTGCTGAGCTGGAAGAGCAGCACAGGCATGCCTGGGCTTTGTCTGATACTAGGCAGGCGTTGCTCTGTCTCACTCAAATGCCCTTCTTTTTCAGGCGGCAAACAAGAGCAACAAGTCAGTGGAAAGGATGAGAAGCCCCAGCGGGCAGCACTTGCTAGGACTTCTCTCCTACGCCATGATGAGTGAACCTTCCTTATAGTATGTATATGTATTCTCTTGAATTAACTTACACAACGGCTGGCATGCCCACACAACGTGAACTATGCTTCAGCCACAGAGTTAATAATAGACCGTCTAACCAAGGAAACGAAGAGCCCGAGCGAGTGACTTGGTATCTAGGAGGCAATAACACCAGCATGGCTGCTGACATAAAACAAAAGAGAAGAGGCAAAAAAACACGACAAGGCCGCTCTATTCCGTTTTAGAACCAATATTTTGTAACACTGCAGATCATTAATTTGTTCAAGAAGTTTAGGGCGTATTAGACAAGAGGTTTGTCAAGGGTATTATAACATAGGAAAATCATCTCCGGTTGAAAATAAAAATTTGGAGGCAATAAAGAATGAACAAACGGATTTGTTGGTAATAATTTATGGTAAAAAATTGATACATGAAAATGAAGAAGAAGAAAAATAAATAAATAAATGAAGTAAGTCCCGGGAAGAAAACTTGGAGATAGAAGTGAGGCTCCTATACCAGCAGGAACATATACCCGGCTCAGTTGAAACGATACTAGAACATGCCACCTTCCATCGGAACGGGGGGCGTAGCCGGCGTCGGCGGCATAGCAATAGAGCCCGCAAGAATCGCCTGCTGCCGGGCCTTGGCGTTGATATTTCCACCTTCACTCGAGATCTTGCGCAGCCGCTGGCGAGCTCGCAGGGGCTTATCCTCATCCGAAAAAGCACTCTGTTCGTCCGACGGTTTGCTAGACGGCGGCATCGGAGCCAGCTCGCCCTTGTCAGATACCTTGAATGCTCCGAGGATAGTCTGGGTGGCCGTGGGCCGGCGCCGTCTTGGGTTCATGGGCGGCACTGGCGGAGTGGGGCTTCCATTGCTTAAGCTCGCGCCGGGGGGAAGGCCGACGGTGGGAACGTTGGAAGTGGTGGACACGAATTTGGGTTCTGAAATCTGAGATTTGTCGACGAATCTCTTGTGTATGCCCAAGCTCTGGTGCCATTGCATGCTCTGGCTTGGTCCTGACCCGCCAAATCCAGTCGGTGTAGGCAGAGTTGAGCTTGCTGGAGAAGTATCCACCAGCGGCGGCGTGGCATTCGCTGAATAGGGCGTTATAGGTGAAGGTCGAGGAGAAGATCCGATACCCAGGATTTGATTAGTTTGCACTGGGTGTGGAATGCGATTCTCCGGAAAGTTGGGAGGTATTGGCCGACTGTTGCTCCGAAGTCGACCAGCCATGGCCGAACCTGATCTTTCCGACGAATGGCGCTCATGTTCGATAGAAGGGCGGGAAGACGAAGACCCAGAGGGTGGTCCCCGATAGGGTTTGTGTTCTTCAACAGACGGCTTGTACTGTGGACTTTCCATGGGTCTACCAAAAGGGTCTATATCATCCCGATGTCTCGGCCGACTTTTTGATCTCTTTGACGCATCTGAGGTAGATCTGTCTCTCACACCGGGGTGGTGTCGCCAGGATGCATGGGAGGGACCATCGCGAAATATCTCCCGATTTTCATCGTTGCTGCCGCGGGATGGAGGCAGGGCTGGTGGCGGACGCGGCGGGCCATGTCGTGGAGGGCCAATGTGAGCCGATGCCGTTCGGGGAAGCTTGCCGAAATCACGGAGCATTCTCTCCTCCTCCTCTCGCCAATAATCGTTGCTTGAAGTAAGGTTTGGCGTCGATGCATTATGCGACGGACTCTCCATGCCTAGGGCTTTGATCTGCCTGGCATGTGGCATGTCTGGCACACCCCCGATATTGGTCCTGCTAGCTTTGGTTTTCAGCATAGCAAAGGCATTCCCGGGCTTTGAAGGCGTGGTCTCGCGCAATGACCCAGGAGCGGGACTGCTAGATCGACTGGCTTCAATGTCAGCAATACTTCTCAGCTTCTCTTGAACCTTCCTCCGCCGTTCAGCCAACTCATGTGCCAGCTCCTCTCTCTCAACTTGGGTTTCCGAGCTGCCGGTCCGGCGATGGCTTTTCTGAAGCTCCTCCTGCCAGGAAGCATTTGGCGCTGAGGGCGAGATCCGGTCCATCGCGTCTCTGCCATTGGATTCTGCAGGGTGGCCTTTGCCACTCAGGGCCGCGGCCTGATCGAGCATCTGTTTGGCGCGCAACGACATGCCTGAGAAGCCATTTTGCTGCGATTGATCTACCGGGGGCACTGGACGCGGAGGTGAAGGATTCGATCTATCCGATATCAAGGAAGGCTTGCTCCACTCATCCAGCTCCCATGGGTTGCTATGTATGCTGGCTGAATGGTTCGAGGCTCGAGTCGCATTCAGCGAAGGATTCGGAACGCGACTGTTGTCAAAATAGGTAGGAGGTAGTGTTGGTGACGGCGGCGGAAGGATCGATGACATATCGCTATCATGGCGCAAATGCGTTCGGATCAGCCCACTCAAGCCACCAGATTCAGAGGGCCCAAGTGTAGGCGAGTCCTTCGCTTTTTCACTTATAGGAGCGAGCGTCGACCCGGAATTATCATTTTCATTAATGGTTTTTAGGTCAGTGTGGGCTGAGTATGCCAATTTGCTCGATTGGGCATAGAGATATGAGTCGCTGGCTTCCGTATTACTAGCTAATACCGCAGGATTATTGTCTGCCACCGCAGCAGCTGGACCAGAAACAGATTTTTTAGCCGTCATTCCATCAACATCACTCTCGGGTTCGCTTTCGCCAAGATTTGCCAAAAAGGTACCGTGTGCAGCTCGGGGAGGCGATGGCTTGCGGAGGCTTGGGGTAGAGCGCCCACCAGATCCGCTGAATGCGGATGTCGACGACTCGGCTCGGGAAAGATAGCTGGTTGTCGAGAGACCTCGAGGCCGTCCCATTTTCTCGGGTTCAGGAAACCCAGGAGAGGGAGAAGGACGTTGAAGAGGCGGTGTGTTTCGGCCTTCATACATTTGGACCTGGCGCTGTTGGAATTGGTTTTCGTCGTATTTGCTGCAAGGCTTATTGAATAAACCAGTGGCTGTGGCTTTGCCTCGGTCCTCAGGCTGGAGTGCAGCGGCAAGGGGCGATATCTCTCCGTTTTCACTAAGAGGCGGGCTTAGGGGAGCCACGTACGCACAGCTTTGAATGGAAGCAGAGCTGTTCGCAAGGCTCGTTTTCCTACTCAGCTCATTCCCAGAGACGGAGGACGCGGACAGCGGTGGGCTATTGAGGATGAAATCCGACGGCAGATGGATTGGCGAATATTTTTGATATTTTTCGTTCAGATTCGTGGTGCTTTTGGAGAGCGAACGGACCAGCTGCGAGGCGTCTCCCTGAGGTCTGCGAAGGCTTTCAATTCTGTTGAGAGCAGAGGCCTGCTGATTGTGAAGATCAAGTCCCTGTCCATATAAACGTCGCGTTTTGGTCTGGTGTCTCTCCAGTCCCGTAAAATTTGGCTTGATAGGAGTGGAAGATCCTGAGGACAGTGCTGGGGAACGCGGTTGGGAATCGGCAACATGCACTGACGGGGGTCCTGAATCGCCAGGCAATCTGGCAAGAATTTGTTCTTCGATTTCCTTGGCTTCTTTGTGTAGGTCACTCTCCTCCTCTTCATCGTTGCGGCGCGATTGCTCCGCTCCGGTTCTTTGAAAAGTCGAAAAGGGCATGTCGCTCTCATAAATTGCTCTTCCTCCGATCCGAGAGTGCTCTCCTTCCTCCGAATTGCGCGTCGAGTCGTTCGGGGATAGGCCTTTGACAGGGATCTTATAAACTTTTTGACGTCCTCCAAACAAGTTATTACCCTCGACAGGTCTGCGTCGGTTGAGGACGCCGAATGCATCTTCATCCGAGTGCATTCCTTCAGCGGAGGTGTAGGAGGTGCGAGCAATGCTGAGAGACGGCCTTGCGGACGGGCTGATGGAGGAAACTTCGGCAATGTCGGTCAACGGGTTATGCGCGAACAAGTTGAGCCTCGAGGCGCGTCTCGGAAAGAGGACGCTATCGTCGTTTGCCTTGCCGATTTTCGTCGTGGGGTCATCCTGCTCTCGGAGCATGCTAAAGCGCGCAGACAAGTTGGGCATCAAAAGACTCGTTCTGAAGTCGTCGGCCGACGGGAGGGCGGTGGACAGATCGATTTCCGACTTGGACTCGATTTGATTTTTCTTCCCGCGTCTAAAGGACTTTGCACTAAAGGAGGGCAGGACGTGCACCTCGGAGTCTCCATCGTCCCTGGGTTTCTTTTTGTGACGAAACCGGTTCATGGTGAGAGTGTGCAGATTTTATTTAGATCGTTGACGGCAGCTCCTAGATACTCCAAAACATTCCTTCCCGAATTTCCACGATTATTTTCTTGTTCAGCGGGCTGATACCAGGGTTGATGTATGTGGACTACAACCTGAATGAAAAGAACGATACAAAAAGATGAAGACTCTCAGAGGCGACTGGATAAGCCGATGCGGATCAGTTTTTCATGCACCAAAACTGAATATCTAGACGAGCCAAGACAACATACCGAAAGGTAGTTAGTATCGCATAAAAGATGGCGGAAGAAGACCTGGACTTCGTGATTGGTGCCTGGATCCACAAGCAAAAGTCTCGACTATGGGGAAGTGTCCAGCAGGACGAGAGAATTGAACGAAATGGGGGCAGAAATAAGGCGATTGGATCGTATCGAAGTCGTACCAAGCGAATGGCAGCCGCGGACAACGACGGGGGGAGAGGAGAGGTTGATAGACTGGCTTGCACGACGGCAACGTAGTTAAACGCTAACCGTACGAATGGAGAATCACAGCAGTGATAGGGTCAAGGTAATGAACGTAATGCGCAACCAGCGCCGGGAGAGGCGGGAGAGTAGGAAGGGGAAGGGAGCCGGCAGCGGCGACAGTAGTAAAAAAAAAAAAAAGGGGGGGGGGGGTGGGTAAAAATAAGACCGGTCGCACACGATCCGGCAGTATTGGAAGTTCGGAGGCAGAAAGGAAGGGGAGAGGAAAGAATTAAGAAGAATAATGGCAGGCTGAGGGCGAGGAAATAACTAATCGATATGATGGGCTGAGTAAATTTGAACGGGTCAGAGCGCCAGCAGCAGGGGTTGTGTGCAGTCACCACCAATACGAACCCATGTGGAAGTGGGCTCAGGATCTCGAGATCGCAGGACGGGACGGGGGGTGTGTGTGTGACAGCTAGGCGGGCGAGGAGGGAGGATGAAGACGAGGAGGAGACAGAGGTGAAGAAGAAGAAGATGAAGATGAAGAAGCAGAAGAAGCGAGGCAGCGAAGACGCGAGCGCGAGTTGGGACGAAGCTGGGTTGGGTTGGCGTTTGCCCGATTTGGGCGGGCGAGGCCGCCAAGCGTGTTTTGGGACGGTATCGCCGACGTATGTTTCGAACCACCGGGCGGGCGTAATTTACCGCCGTTGAAATTGCAGAACAGAGCGAGAGAGAGGGAGAGAGAAGAGAGAGAGAGAAGAGAGAGAGCAGGCGAGGACGAGCCAGGCCAGGCTCGCGATGGGAGGGGCGGCTGGTGCTCGAGGAAGAGGCGGGTATTGTATGTCCACACTACGGATACTCCATACTGTGCTGGGCGTCGGCGACCGGCGAGCCAGGCAAAAAGCAAGCATGGCGGCCAACCTGATGCTGTGGGAGAGGGCACACGCACCGCACAGCTCTCCCCTGCCCACTCTCTGCTCACTCACACTACTTTTTCTACTCGCAGCTGTCGGTTGGCATCAGCGGCTGTGGGCTTGGCTCGCGCTGAAGGTTCGGCGGCGGCTTGGCTGATACCCTTGCCCGAAACTCTAACGAATAGTTTCCGATCGGCGGCGCGCATCTGAGCCACCTAGAGAATCCTGCTCTTCCTAGACCCTGCCCTACGACGACGACGGCGGCTCCTGCTGGCCGCCACTGCTAGCCATGACCGCGCCGCGCCCACGACCACCGTGCCCTACATGACTATAGACTGCGGCCGTCGATAAGCCGCGCGCCGCTTCTTCGCTCCCCCCCCCCCCGCCCGCGGCTCTTCAGGCTGCCTTCCCAAACGGGACGCATTGGTGTTTCAGGCGGCTTACATGAGCAGCGCGCGATTGGCTGCAGGCCGGGGCACGGCGGCCGGCGCGCGCGTCCCTGGCTAGGCCGCATCGGGGCTAGCGCGACCGCGCGCTGGGCCAGCCTCGTTCCGCCAAAGCGGGCCTGGAATACCGAAACGCGTACGGAAACACACGGCGTATTACGCCAGTACCGATGGGAAGAGGTAAGAATGGTTACCATCACCATCACCATCAGCTCCCGTCCGGCGTGGGGGAGTAACTAGTAGTGGGCAGGCCGGGCGGAGGGGAGGCGGCGGCGGCAGCGCGTGTAGGGAGGGTGTTGGGCCTGCAGCGCGGACGACGGGGGAGGGGGAGCCACGCAGGGAGCAGCGGCTCTCTCCCCCCCGGGGCTCAGATGAAACACACTCGCGCACAGAAGCGAGGCGAGCGGCATTGCGAGGCCCGCCACACGCCCAGCGCATGGCATCACAGAGCATACGGAGTAGCTCGCGATGCTTGCTGCAGGCCCTGCAGCCGGGCGTGTTTCAGCAGGAGTGGCTAGGCGGGCACAGCGCGTTACCTCCGACGGCGTTGTTGACGACGAACACGTCCCAGTCAAAAATCATAACAGAGCCAGAGCCAGAGTCCAGCGCATCACCGAAGCAAAATAATAATAAAATTGGGGCCATCCATCGTCGCATCGCTGTTACATGGGGCCCGGCGCCCACTTCGCGCACAAGCTTCCGCCGCTGGCCAGGGATCCGCTGTAGCTGCGCGCCGGGCTTCCCTGGCGCGCCCAAGACCGACCGCCCGCCGCGCTGGTGCTCGGGCGGCATTGCTGGGCGCATATTATTATTATTGTGATTGTGATTGCAGACATGCACCAAGCACGGAGCAAAGAAGGAATATTACGGAGTATACGGAGTATACGGCGCACGGAAGAGTATCTACACCGCGCTCACCGACCCGGACTCTGCTCGCGTGTTTGCCATGTGCTGCGCTGGGCTGCGCTGCCATCGACGCCGAACCATGGCGCTGGCCATCCGCCGGCGCGGCCATCGGCGCCAATAGTCTAGTTAGGCGGGCACATCCTGCCTCGCTCAACCCGCCGGACCGAAATTGGCCTGCTCGACGTGGCATAGTCAGCGAACAATAATAATATACCACAGCTGACAGCCGCGTTCTCGCCCGCTCCAGGAAAGAAAAAAAGTTCTGGGCTGCGGGCGTGAAACAGCGGAGGCTCGGGACGATCTCGACGAACGCAGCCATCACTTTTTTGATTTGCGTTTCTGTCCGCTGCTCTGCGACGCGACATGGCGCTGCCCTCCGTGGAGTGCGTGCCGGGCGGCGGTGATGCAACCGTCGCGTCCAACCACGCTCGGCTCGCGGCTCAGGCTGGATTTGCCTGGCTCGGAGGCGCCGCCGCCCGAGACCAGCACGCACAGAGGGCGAGAGCCAGCCAGCCAGAGAGAGAGAGAGAGAGACTGACAGAGAGAGAGGCCGTGCTGCGACGCCAGACATATCAAGCTCAATGCCACCGACCGCCAGGCCTGCCGTTGCGCAACAGGGGAGCTCCACGCCGGTTGGGCATGCATGTTATCGTGATGAGCTGAGTTACTCTGCTCCATCCTACCGTCGATCGCGCTGCTCGCCCGCCCCCCAGTCAGGGTCCGCCGGCCGCCAGATCTGGCCCAGCGCGCGCTGAACGGCCTGCCCTCCCCCCCCCCGTCACGCCTCGTCGGTGCGCGAACGAAGACCATCCATAATAATAATCCATATTATTATTATTTCTACTCCGTATCGCTGCTCCAGAATCCTGACACCCACCCACATCCTGGCCCCCTGGCCCTGCTGGCCTGCTGTTGTCCCGTGGGAAAGCGGAGCCTGAACGGTTGAGCAAATTTCACGCAGCGCTGTCGTAGCACTGTACTGTGCTGCACTGCGTTGCGCTGCGAGTGCTGGCTGGTATATCCCCCCGGCTGCCCACTACGACTACGACTACTTAATAATAGGACCTCGAGCCGCTGGCCTGATATCCCTATACTCTCCCAAAAGGGACATTCCACGCCCGCCTGGCCGCCAGAACCCATGCTCGGCGAACACCCTCTCTGCGCGCCCGTCGGGTATTTCGATCCATACGTGTCCCCTTCTCCAGCACACCAGGGATTTCCTCTCTTCGCTCGTTGTCCTAATTTCACTGAAAAAAAAATAAAAATCAAAATAAAAAGAGAGAGAGAGAGAGAGAGAGAGAGAGATAGCCGCTCCCCCCAAATAATAATGTTGATTCACCTTCTTGAAGAAACTCACGCCTCGTGCAGGCCCTGCCCGGCCCTGGCTCCCAGCGCTTCTTCCCAGATTTGAACCTGGGAAACCGCTCATCCCCCGCCCGAACAAGCCCTCCCAAGAGCGGTGGTTGCCCTGCCGCGGGGAGCATGTCCAGCAAATTATTGAGACACCTGCCGCCCTCCCAATCCATGCGCTGTAGACGATTTGTCTCATGCCGTCCACCCCTCGCCGCATCGCCTCGAGCGACGGTGCTCAGATTTCAGTTATAGAGGAGCGGCATAACCGCTTCGAGAAGGTTGTGTTGTTCTGGAACCACGGCGCAAACACCCGTTGCGGCCCTGCCCCGTTTTCTGTTGTTTATGATTTTTATACATCCATCCATACCACCGTAGATCCCTTCTGGAACACCTTTTCTGAGACTGTCCGGCGGCCCCCCGCACGGCACACAGTTAACTATACGCACAGAAGAGTATACACGCAAGCACTCACTCCCGCTCCTATAGCCAACACCCTCCAGCCATATCACCATGTGGCCGTTTGCTCCAGCGTCTCTGGCACCCGAGCTCCATGGTGATTTTGATCTTCACGCGAGGCGCACTTATAACCAAAACAACAGCAGCACAAGATTATGCTCCCGTTCGGCTTCTTCACACGCACGCGCCCAACGACAACAAACCATCCTTGTAGCACCTTATTCTGGCCCCAGCGGTCTGCCTCGCTAAGAAAACAGCACCAGCAGCGTCGGTTGTGCCGAAAAGCCAATTAGCCAATAATAATAACTGAACCAACCTGCGCTTCAGCAACAACTTCATCATCATCATCATCATCACCATCGTCCATCAACGACATCACCCCCCCCCCCCCCCCCCCCCCCCCCCCCCCCCCCCCCCCAATCCCTGTCCCGGTCGGAGAGTAACCGGAGATGAGCCTAGTGAGGGGGAGGTGATAGCGGCCTTGCATATCAACCAACTCCTAATCTGGCTGCAAGCAAACGAGCTGCAGCAGCAGCTCAGGGCCCGGCCCTCGGAGAAGCAGCGCATTATTCCATACTGACTTGCAGCTCCAGATACCACGGTGGCCGCCCCCCTCCCTGGCCCGGGAACGGAGAGGATACCAAATCCTCATCGTTGCCCTGTCCCCCTGCCTGGAACATGAGACAATCTTAATTGAACGGCGTTATTACTCTACCGGTGGTGGTGGGCAATTAAATAACAATTCTTCTTACTTTTTCTTGCTTCTTCACACCAAATTCTTCCTCCCCCCTCCCCTTTCTCTTTTTTTTCTCTCTCCTTTCATCTGCTGTGTCTTTTCTGGAACAAAAAAGAACCAAAAAAAAAAAAAAAAAAAAAAAAAAGCGGTGGCTTGACACCTCCTCCCCCCACCCGTCATTCTCCGAGTCAGATCTGTCACGGAACAAATCAACAAATGATAAAACAACCCTGCTGCGCTCTCCCGCCCTTCCTTCCCCCCCCTCCCCTTCCCCTCCCTTCTGGTTGCTACCACGGCGGTAGGATCTGCAGCGAAGAAATAAGGTAACCCCCCCCACCACGTCTGTCGCCTTGACACACTGGAGGGTGTGTCTGCGAGGTTCTTCGTTGCAGTAATCAAAATACTCAAGTTGAAGAATAATGCAGCTGTAGATATGCAACATAAGGAATCCTTCCATCTCACAGAGAGATTCACTTTCACTTTCCCATGACCATATTTTGTTGCCCGCTGGGGCTCCAAAGGCGTATCTAATAACCCATTACCCAGTAATGCAGTAGATATGCCAAATCCCTTATAACAATAAGAACATGAAAAAAAAAATCCATCGCAGGATGAAGCTGCGCAAAACAATCAAACGGAGACCAAAAAACGCCTCATCAAAAAAGATAAAAAGAATAAATAAAAAAAAAAAAGAAAACAAACCCTCAAGACCTCATTTCAGCACCGCAGCCGGAACCCAGAACAGCGTCGCCTCGAAAAGGAGCACATATCATATCATACAAACTGCGCACGGTCGGCAGGCGAAATGTTGTAGTTGGGTATGTATGTATGTATACGTGGCTAACTCAACCCCATGTGCGCCTCATCTCCCAACCCCCAAGCCCGCTCCACCCGCTCTGCCGCTCCTCCGGGCCTTGTGTCCCACTGATCAACGACGTTTTCCTGCTCTTCCATCTCCTTCTCGCGCACGCTTCGCGCCAGGCTCTCCCGGTCCTCGTCCGTCACGCTGCCGCGTGTCCGGCTGGTCCGCCGTCCTCCTCGCCCGCCGCCGCCGCCGCTGTTGCCGCTTCTTGCACTTAAAGAGGCGCCCATGGGCACGCTCCGCGCGCTGCTGCTGACGCTCGGCGTTTTCTTGTGGCGTTGGGCTGCCTGGCTGCTGCCTTCCTCTGGAGATGACGACAGTAGTGCGCTGGCTGTGTGATCGGGCGGACTGGACGAAGCTCCGTCCGCCGACGGTGCTGGTGGTTTGGCCATGCTACTACTTGTGCTGCCAAACCAGCCGCGCTTCCGCGGCTTTACTCCTTTGTTCTCATTATTGGAGCCTGGTTTGCTCCTCTCCTCGTCTGGCTTCCGGCCGGTAGTTGTGCACGAGGCGGGATCCGTTTCCTCCTTCGGAGTATTCGTGGTGCTTGGTGTGGTCTCAACAAGTTCAGCATCGCGGCACCACTTGCGACGTCTAGTGTATCGATTCCAGCTGTCTTGGCCACGACGACCGTCATTCCACTAAAATTTAGTTAGAATTTTAGAAGAGCAGGAGGGTATTTGCGTAAAGCCAAATATCGAGACCACTCACTTTACTGTCATAATATATCCAGCCACCAGCATCGATATCTTCTTTTCCCTCTCTGGCAGGTGCCTTGCCATTGGAGTCAAACGTTTCCACGTGCCACTCACTGCCCTCAACCCAACGCCATCTTGACGTTCCCGCCTGGGTTTCAGGGAGCTCAAAGTCGTCCTTGGACGGCGCCGAGTTCAAATGCTCATCAGTCCAAGCCGCACGCTCATAGGCAAAGAGCGATGTTGTCCAACCAATGCCGAGCCATCGCCGTTGGTTTTCATACAAGACAAAAGTAAATCGCACGCCCGGTGAGTCAGCCCGTCTTCTCTTGGTATATATCTCGGTCGACTGCTGAGCGCGCTTAGATCGAAATGGGCGGATGGAAAATAGGGAAAGGGGCGCTGAAATTGGAGCCTGCTCGCCCTCATTATTCCGTTTCTCGGAAAATTGAAGCCCTGTAATTATGGAGCATACGCGCCGGATCGTCAGGGAGCGCCAGAGGATGACTCGAAATATCCTTGCTGGCTTTGAGTGCCAGGTTAGGATAATAGTGCCGGCTGATATCACAACTCGGCGGGTGGTAATGACATAGAAAGGTGGGAGCGAAAGGATGATCCATAGCGGCGTGATGAGGATTATACGGGTCAGGAGAGCTGTGAGAGCAGGTCGAGTTGTAGCTGAAGTAGCTGTCCGTTGGGTGGAGAGAAAGTCGGTCCATTCAATCAGAGGCTCCAACATGATGTTACATCTCATCGTTAATTCCCTTAAGGACTCCACAATCTCATCCAATGTCTTATGATTCCGGGAAGCAGCGTCCACGCCTCCCTTCCGAGGCCGGTGTTTCTCCCCGGTCAGCCCGGTCGAGGAGAGAGGCGAGTACCGCCGAGAATACATGCCAAGTATCAGGCCTATCACTACAAGAACTGGACCAGCCCACAGTATTATGGCATCCCCGTAAAGGGTAGCTGCCCAAAAGACGGCCACAAGAAGAAAGCTTTCCCATGGGTCTCCGCTTGTCCATGATATCAATCCGAGTAGGCGATTCAAAGGCAGCAAAAACGGATGAGAGTAGGCCAAAGCGCGAGTAACAGCCGGAGGAGTAGCGACTAAGAGGGGTGATTTTCTGTGAACGATGATGGTAGATCGGTGTTTTGATGTCAATGACGAGCCAGATATGTTCGTCGGCGAGAATGCCGCGACCGTGGGCGGCGTCGGGTCGCTCGGGATCGACGATGGCAGAGCGCCATCATGCTGGGGAAAAGAGCTCGGGGACATGGAATCTATCCACGGTGTTTCTGCTAATGCTGTTAGGGCTCATCTATCTAGGACAGAGGTGTGTCGCGATTGGGAAGGGCAGGGGAGGAGGGCTTGTAGGAAGTACCAAGAGCGGCCATACAACCGAGAGTTAAGCAGTAACCAGCGCTCAGGTGTGCGCATCCTTATGCAGACATATCACACACAGAGCAAACAGAGATGACAGACCCCAGAATCCTCGCGACCAGCCCGTATGACACGATTGCGTGCACGCTGGCGGCTGTCATGCTGGCGGTCGGCCAGCCAAAGGCGGCTGTCACGTGCCAGAAACCTACCGCGGCATGTGATATCATCGCCGCCAAGCCTGGTGCTGTTTTAGCGCGGCTATGCTGACTCAGCGCGCCGAGTTTTTTTTTATCGGAAAAAGTCGAATTCCGATCGTCGTTTTTGCCTCAACACGACCTGCCGTTGATTGCGGAAACCATTCTTGCTGCTGCTGCTGCTGCGTGCGATTTTGGGGACGGCGGACACTGGCAAAACTGCTTGAAATAGTTCCCGTCTTTAGTTTACTAAGATGGTAAGATATCTGCCTCTTTCCTCCCGACCCCATATGTGGAACAAGCTTTTGTCGTTAACAAATTCTTTTTCTAGGCGCACCGAATTGTAACGCAAATTGTTCTCACGGGAACTCGAGTTCTCGGTCGCGCATTCGCAGAGGCTTACAAACAGGCGTCGGCGTCTTCAAAGTACGCCGCCCACGCACAGAAAAACGGCGCATCGGTATCAAACACCTACGCCTCGTCCGGCCTCACTCTCGACGAGGCGTGCAAGATCCTCAACGTCAAGCCTCCCAAAGGCGGCGAGGCCAGCCTGGAAGTCACCGTGGAGAGATTCAAGAAGCTGTTCGACTTGAACGACCCGCAAAAAGGCGGCAGTTTCTACCTGCAGAGCAAGATCCTGCGCGCGCGCGAGCGGATCGAAATGGAGGTGCGAGAGGCGGAACGCAACGCGAAAATGGACAAAGAGCTGCAGGATGGATGGAAGCCGAAAGTCTACAAGGACCGATGATCGACCTGCACTGCGACAAGAGAGCGAATGGCCCCCTTTCCTATTTAACCTGGAGGCCTACGAATAATTTCTACTCGCCTCGCTACAACCCCCCTCCCGATAATCAGATATTCTTCATCGAGGCAGCCGACGTAGCCCGAAGGCTCTTTTATTTGTCTTTTTTGAGCATAGCACTGGCGTTCAGCGTTTGGGAGATGGGTGGGCGCCATCTGGGAAAAAAAACCTACATACATACCTTGATTCAAACAAGAAGCTCTTCATGCAGCCTATACTCCATAGACGGGTTCAAAGCCCCCTCTTTATCTTCTTGAGCCGTTTTACATAGACTGATTACCCTCTTGCCCTGTACATGTGTATTTCTTCGGCTTGTCTCTCATCCTCGGGTCAACACCTTTGCTCTCCGCTCTCCCTTGAATTTGCAGCCCTGCGGGTTGTCTTTTGAGCCGAATTCTTCGCATGTGCGTATCATATTGTACCATACTGTATAGAATCTACCGCTGACGAGCCGTCCTATCTCGCGTTCTATTGTTATACTCAACCGTAAGCCACAGGACGAAGTTCTAGCCAGTATTCATACTCCCTGCCGTCACATTCCTCAGTATCGATTTGCATTAAACTTTTTCGTCTCCCAATAAGTATAGACTCATTACATCCAAACCGGCCCCCAGATACAAGCTTCCAGGGCTGTTGGTTTAGTGGTATAATACCCCCTTAGCATCTTCACTGGAGTTTCGCCAGTCAAAGCTTGGGGGTGGTCCGGAGTTCGATTCTCCGACAGTCCATGTTTTTTTCCGCGCTTGCAACCAGATCTCTTCGGGGCAAGAATTTCTGGTGCCGATCGCAAGAGGATAACCACGCACGGTTTCACACTGAATACTCCAGTTTTCTGCCTTCTCGCAGTCGTTTGATTAACTCGTTTTACTCCGCCATTGCCTAGCTTCGCTTCCAAGCGTATCACAACTCATTAGCACCTCCTACTACACACTAGGATTGGAGTCCCGTCTCCGTGCAGCTCATTTCGGAAGTACTCATTCTACAGTACGCAGTCTCAGCGCCTATATCTGACTTTTATCACCCTGTCTATGAGCGGACTTTTATGCAACGGGGATGGATGCCAATGCACGGATCAGTAGTTCGGCAATACATATCCAGCGGCCAAGTGCTCTCAAAACCCAGTCGACATGTGGCGGCTGCTTCTTAATCCTCACATCTGGGGATTCCAAGAAGAGCAAATTAGGTTTCCGGCGTTAATTGTTTCTTCTCAGGTTGTCTCTGAGAGTTACCATGGCGGAGTTTCCTCGGCTGTTTCCCTATGGATACCCTTCACGGACCCGGGATAGTGTGCTGCAGGGGACTGAGTATCCCTCTTCCACTGTGCTTTGCACTATGGCGGGATCTGTTTCCTCTTTTAGTCGTAAATTTTTGTTTTTGATGTTGTACATGTTACAGAGTGGCTTCCTACCCTTTGCTTAGACGTGTGCTGTGTCCCTTGCTGATCAGGAAGATACCTTGCCGGAGTGGCGCCAAATATGCGTGATCATACGTTCCACGGGCCACAGTCGAGTTCTTTTGGCCTCTCTCTTCCTCTGCTGTGTTTCACCCGGGTATATTCTTTCTAGAGATGTGCCCACAGCGTGCTTCCAGGCGAGATGTCCATCCCAAATAAAGAGGGTCAGCTGACCAGAACCTCAAGTGAAACGATCTCAAGTCTCGAAGATTAACATCAACATCAACGCATTCGAAGCCTCCCATATATACAGCATCTACTAGCTGTTTAGCTTTAATAGATATAAGATCAATTTTCATCCAGAAAACACCAGGAATCCCGCGAAAGAGTCAACAAGACCTATTATGAAACACACCGAACGGACGATTCTATAGCCTGGCATATCGAACGGACTGCAGTTCCAAACTCCACGCCAGAATGACAGTGTACGCGATAGAGAAGTTCAACTCACCCGTTAACGACAGATCTCAATCCAACCGTTTCACAGATGGAACAGAAGCCATCCAGCGGGACGGGAAGCCTTGCCAAATGCAATTTACCGACCTTCTCCATGATCTAGACCAAATCTTCTTATTTGGTACCAAATACCATTGAAACCTGGGTACTTAGTAACAGATTTTTTCATACTTTGACAAGCGCACTGTTTACAGCTCAGAATCGTCTACTCCGTAAGGAGGATCCATACCACGAAAATCCACCCTAGATATGGTACTAAGTCTGAAAGAGATAACTCACCGCCCCTCTGCTGATTGTAGAAGAACTGCTCAAAGAGCCACTGCATGATCATTCTATTCAAGCCAAAACATATGGGTGACAGTGAAAGCAGCCCGGTCGGCAAAGCCGTACCATCCGGAGAGCCAAAGTGACAGGATTCCCAACATTTCAGATCTCAAAACTAGCCAGACCAGCGGTGAGAAAGTTTCACAGGGAGAGACACATTGCTAACTCGGAAATCGGCTATCCTACCCATGGGCCTGTGATGCCATGCGCATCTGGAGCTGCTCACGGAAGGATAAGTACTTTGTTCTGTGTCGTGTCGCGCGAAGCCGCAATTCAGAGCTGTCTGAAAATATTACTAGTTATTTCTTTCTCGTGTCGCACGGCTTTTCTTTCCTTTTTTTTTTCCTGCAGGGCAGATGCGGCAGCGCACATCACTCTAGTCGTTGGCAGGACGGGAAGCACGGCCTAGTGCTGACGGCCGAGTGCTTCCGATACGCAGATGGCGAGCAGCACCGACACCAGCACCCGCATTCCAGGACTCAAATGCACGCCCAGCCCGTGACATCCGGAATAAGGCCTGAAAACCAACAGCGCGGGAGGGGAGGGGCAGGCAGGCTGCATGTTAGGCGGCGGGCACGAGATTACTACGGAGTATATGTAAGTCATTCGCTAGTCCGGCTCGGATTTAAATACGGGCTGCGTGGGTTGCGGCCCTGCCACGAACCGGCCGTTGAGGGATAGTTTGGGCTGCAGCTGCGATTCTTCAGCGGGCGTACTTCGGCGAAAAGGGATGGACTGCGGCAGCGGGCGTGCTGTGTGTGAGAGTATGTGGTGACTGAGAAGCAACGCGCACATCCGTCGTCGTCGTCTTTGTCATCTCTGGGCTTTTAACGAGCTGCAGCAGCGACAAGAGTGCCTGCCGTGAGACCAGTGGGTGGGGTGATCAAGTGATGGAGACCGCGACGGGCCGCGAGTACAGTACAAAGAAGACAGACGGTACTTATAGAGCTGCCGTCCGCTGCAGTCGAGGCGTTTTCTTATCTCGCAGCAGGCATCGCAGTGAGAGTCGGATTGTAGTTAACTAACTAGCTGACGAACATTATCACCCATCCCCCATGATCACAATCACAGACACCCGCTTTACGCTGAATACCGGCGCCGAAATCCCGGCCCTGGGGCTAGGTGAGTGCTCTCAAGCTGTGATTATTGGTTTTATCTCCCTGCTCTGTCGAAGAAGAGGATACTGACGCCCACGCCCAGGCACCTGGCAGTCTCCACCTGGCAAGGTCGAGGCCGCCGTCTACCACGCGCTCAAGGTTGGGTACAGACATATCGATGCGGCGCTCTGCTACCAGAACGAACAGGAGGTCGGCAAGGGCATCGCGCAGGCAATCCGGGACAACATCGTGCGGCGCGAGGAGATCTTCGTGACGACCAAGCTCTGGAACACCTACCACCGCCGGGTGGAGGAGGGCCTGGACGCCAGCCTAAAGAATCTAGGGCTGGCGTATGTCGACCTGTTCCTGATGCACTGGCCCGTGGCGATGAACCGGAACGGTACGGGATGGATTATCTATACCCAGCTGCTTTTTGATTGATCTGGCCCGCTCCATCCCCGGATTTTCGTTATTAACGCTCCGCTCACAGGTAACCACCCGCTCTTCCCCACGCTGCCGGACGGCTCGCGTGACCTCGACCGCCCGCGCTCACACGTCGACACCTACCGGGATATGGAGAAGCTGCCGCGCACGGGCAAGACGCGGGCCATCGGTGTGTCCAACTACAGTGTGAAGTACCTGCAGGAGCTGCTGGCGCGCGTCGCGACCGTGCCCGCCGTCAACCAGATCGAGAACCACCCACTGCTACCGCAGCAAGAGATCGTCGACTTCTGCCGCGCCCGCGGCATCGTGGTCACCGCATACAGCCCGCTGGGCAGCACGGGCGGGCCGCTGATGAGCAACGAGTCCGTCGTCGAGGTGGCGAAGCGCAAAGGTGTCGCGGCGGCGACAGTATTGTTGAGCTGGCATGGTAGGAGATCCTAAATATTCTGGTCAGCTGTCCTACAAGTTCGCTCCTGACAAGTCACTTTTTTTACAGCGGCCCGTGGGTCGTGCGTTCTGCCGAAATCCGTCACGCCGGCGCGCATCGAGGCGAATCTCCGGTTGGTCCAGTTGGACGATGAGGACATGGCCACCATTGCGAAATTCACCAAGCAGTCTGTGTCGCGCAACGGGTATACGCGATATGTGTATCCGTCGTTTGGCGTTGACTTCGGCTTCCCCGACAAAGTTATCAAGAGGAGCTGACCGGCCTGGTGCAGGGGTGGCTCGCGGTAACTAGAGAGACGCTGAGAGGGAGGGAGCTATCTGGGCGTTACTGGAATACAAAAAAGTCGATCATTGTTTTTTCTTATTTCTCCCATTTGTTCCATTTGTTTCCGATCAGTCTATATTCCCTTATCCATGTATTTTTCTAGACACAGAATGGTTAATTTCAAGGCCCTCGCATCCTTTAACTACCCAGCCGGCCGGCTCCAGTTCGCAGACCGAAAGTACAAACAGCACCTCAACAATCCACCACCAGGGATGCACCGCTTCCCGCCTCCCCATCGCCAACAAACTGTGCGCGCCACGGGCCACGGCTGCTTCCGCTGCGGGATAACGGGATCGTGGGCGATCAGGCGACGGCGGGTTGGGTGGGCCAGCAGGCTTGGGAGCGGTTGGGCCGCCAAAGAGAACCTTCTCGTCAGGAAGTCTATTTCGCCCTGCCGGCCATTCGAGATGCTGCTCATGACTCTGCGGGTTTGCTCGCCACATCGGACCTGTCAGTGTGTGAGGCACATCTCTGCCGCTTCGCTGGCCCGAACGTTCTTCTCTCGCTCTGACAGGCGGGGGAAATCAGGCACAACAACGGCCTGACGGGACGCCGGCTAGGGGACAGGCCTTTTTGCTCATGCACATACTTCGTACTGCAGGTCAACTAACTAGTTAACCAACAAGTAGTTAGTTAGTTAGTCAATGCACCTGGGTGGTTTCCAGGGGTCGACCAAATCAAAAACGCCCAGCGCGCAAAATTGAAGACAACTAATCCGTGAAGGGCTGAAAGCCGCCGCTTCCCGAGAGCTTCTCAGGTTTGTCCTTGTTTCCCGAGAAACTCTCTCGAAGCTGCGTTGTCCAACCACACACGCGCCCGGAAAAGCCTTTTTGAACTTGGCTGCTGGTGCTGTTGCTATTGCTGTTGCTACTGTGCCTGTCATTTCATCCCTTTTGAGCTCAGGCATCCCCCTAGAGGAACCACACTGCCCCCGGAAGTTTCTAGAGCAGCCAATAGTTAGAGCATCCACGGCTTTTCCCCCCCCTCTACCTTGATACCCTCTAACAACACCAGGAACCTGATCGACAGGCCGAAAAAAAAAATAAAAATAAAAATAAATAAGCCAGTCTCGTGAGCGGAAGTGGGCGACTTTAAAAAACCTCCCAGTTGCATCTCTCCGTGTACCGGCCGGGGGTTTGAGCCGTTCCAGGCGTCTTACTTTTGTTATTTTTGGCTTTTGATTTGTATATTTATATTTTTCGGTTAATTGCCGAATAGCGACCTCTGTTTTGTCCCATGTGCCTTTACTCTCTCGCGTGGGCCGGTCTCCTCTGTACGTACATCTGAGGTCTCCTCAGGGAGCATAGGTAGGTGCACATACATACATACATACAACCTCGTCCTCCCTTTCATCACAGGTGGGCCGTACGGCTGTGGCCTGGCTAGACATCCCAAATCAAGCAGTGCAAAAAGGAATATACATGGAGCTTGGTGATGGTGGCGAGAGAAGGCTCCTGAGCGCAGGGGACTTCCAGGAAGGTTCGTATGGCACCATTTCCCATTCCATTGCTTGCATCTATCCATCGACGGAAACATAGGAAACAGAACAATAGAAAAACATGACTCACGCAAATAGGGCTCGAGAAGCTTGACGTGGAGATGGGTAAGGACCCCATCCTGGCAGCGTTCGCGCCGATCCAACTGATCGCAGCGGGCGGGTTCGTGGCGGTGTGGTACCTAAAGAGCCGCGCGAGCACGGACGACCTTGACTACCTGCTGGAACCAGAGTGGGCGTACGACGAGGACATCAAGCGACCCCTACGGCGGGCGATGGTGACGGTGGCGCGGGCGCTGCGGCTGCACCGGCACTGGATCAACGAGGACATGGCGCTGTTCGTGACGCGGCGGGCCCGCGAGCAGCTGTTCCGCCGCGCCGATGAGCAGGATATCGTGTTGTGGCGCGGCAACTATCTGTGCGTCAAGGCCGTACCCATGGAGTGGGCGCTGGAGAGCAAGCTGCGCCGCATCCACCATGCCGACCGCGGCCACGACTTGGAAGACGCGGTGGCCATCCTAAAGCACCTGCGTGACCGGCACGGCGGGCCGCTGGACAAGAAGTACATTGCCGGTATGAACCTGAACACGTTCGACGTGCTGCCGGATGATACGACGATGAGCCGCGTAGATGCGGAGTACCGCAAGGCCTACAGCGAGGCGATATTCAAGTGATGGGAGAGAGTATCGGAGGGCCTCTTATTCTGCCGTCCATTCACTGATATCATGGTTTGGCCCACAATACTGCAATTTTAAGAATAGGCCAAAGGGTTTCAACTGGTTTCATTCTGATCTTGCTGGGTATAGTACTAGGTGTAGCGTTATATTCTGCCTATCTTTCAGCATCTTGGGTATTGAGCCTGTCTGCACTCCGTGTATTCAGTATGATGCTTAGACAGCAGTACCATACGTGTTTTTAGTATCCAAGTTTTTTTCGTGGTAACACATGCAATGATCATTCCGTGACTTGCTTAGCACATTCATCTCTCAATCCCCAGCCCGACAGGCGAGGGATGGGCGGTTAGCAGGGGTGTCGCAGCTGTGGCTGCCGGGGCATTGACTTGCTGGGACGAGACCGAAGCATCTTGGGAGATAAAGAAACCTACCACGCAGGGCAAGCTGAGGCTGTAGCGACATGAAGCCGGGTGACAGGTCATATCGACAGGTAGAGATAGAAAGCGAGAGAGATAAGGCGGACGGCCATATCTGCATTCAAGGCTTGTTTGGAGGGGTTTCTGGAATAGTCATCTCACCTTCCACTCCACAACAATACTATCAGACACAAGGGCTATATGGTGCGCAGCCAGCCGATGTTGGTGACGATGAAGTCGTCCTTGAGTCATGGGTCAGCCGGTCACGGGGTCGAAGGGAAGAAGTTACTCAGGTCTGATATTGATACCCTTGGGCTTTGAACTGCGACTAGAACTTATATCGGCGTCAGAAGAACTAGTATTAGAGGATATAAAAGACGGTAAATACATTAAATTTATACTCGCCATGTAGCCAATGTGAACGTGTACTCCGTACATACAGAAATAGCCACTTGCTAGCAACCTGTGAGCACGGACAAGGAGAATAAGTAGAAAACAAACCAGACCAATTTCACCCACTTACTCCGTAGCCTTCCGGCTCTTCTTTTTCGTCCGTGGCTCCGCCAGATCCACAAAGCCGTCACCACGGATCCACGCCATCGCCTTGCGGAATCCGGATCCCGTCATCGAGCCCGGGTTATTCTCCAGCACCGCACCCATCACCGCCCATGACACCGCCAGCACCCATAGCTCCCCGCCCGTCCACCCGCGCCATAGCCCGCGCTTGACCCCCGCCCGCCACGCCGAGCTCACCGCCAGCCGGAAGAAGTATAGGAAGTGCGACCGTGCCCCCGGCGCCCCGGAGAACATGAACGGCACGCCCGCCAGTGCCCCGCTGAGGTAGAACCGCTGCGTGCGGAGCATGGACCGCGGTAGGATGCTGTTGAAGAAGCAGATGCTGCCCCACGCAGCGCCTAGTGAGGCAGTGAGGACCGCCGTCACCGAGAGGATCTTGCGGCTGAGCACGTTGATTGAGGAGAGCGGGTGAAGTAATAACGTTTTGAACCCGAACAAAGACAGCGCGAGAAGGACTTTGCTAACCGTGCGCGCGATTGGGGGAATCGAGAGGAGGTTCTGCTGTAGAAAGGCCGTGAGGCAGGAGGGTGTTTTGGGGTGGAGCAGCGCGCACGATAGTGATGCCACAGCTGGGTGTGCTGGAGAGGTGATGGGCGATATGCTCTGGAGAGCGGTGGGGAGTGTGGCTGGGTTTTGTGGATGGAGGATGGGCGAGAGAAAGACACTGTAACTCATTAGACACGAGAGAAACAATCAAGAGGAGAAATTTGTGACTTACGGCCATTTCAATTCTGCAATTTTCGCCAAAGCGTCCACGGATTCATACCCGTCGGGCCAGTGTAGATCAGCCGGGAACCCATCCGGACATTGCTGGATATACCCCTGTGAGTATTTGGTGATGAACGTCCCGAGCCACTGCCATATCCCATCACAGGTCAGCCAAACCACTCCACACAAATGAACCTTTCAAATTTCTAGAACATACCCCGGGAACAGTCTCCCTATCAAACACAAACGCATGAAAAAGCTGCGCGAACGATAGCGGCATCAGCAACCAGCTCCCAAACCACCATGGTTTGTTCTGGAACCACCCTTTGGCGCAGAGCGCGTTATACAGAAACTCCATGCTCCTCGTCGATGCATAGATCGCCATCGTCGTGCGGACGGAGGGAATGGGGAACAGTCCCAACACAAAGCACGCGAGACTGGCGCCGATGGCCGGCGTATACTTAGACGCCAGCGCGGCGGCGATGTGCGGATTGCGCCTACAGAACGGGCGTGCGTTCTCAGAGCGCAGCGTCGCGCGTAGCCTCGAGAAGAAGCGGTACAAGAGCCGCTGGGCCAGCAAAAACAGCGACAGGCTGGTGGCTATGCGCAGAATGAAGCCCTTGGGTACATTTTTGCTAAGCAATCACAAAGAAAACATACATCAGCATTAATTTCCCTTCACAATTTCTTTCTCAAATAAAAGGCCTTACAGGTCCTTCAGAAAAAATCCGCCCAGCGCCTCCGCGAGCTTGCCAGCGCCAGCGGTGACCAGGAACACACGCAGCGACGCTCGCGCCGCTTCCGTGGTATACTGCGGGTGTGCACCGGCAATTGCGGTAAACGTCTCGGGCGCGAGGGCGCGGTTTTTGAGCCGTGGCGGCAACCGTGTGATCAGCCGCTCGTGCAGCAGCTTGTATTCAGATGCGGAGAGCGAGAGCGAGAGTGCGTGGCTCAGCAGGGGGGGTACGGGGCGGCCGGGGGGAGAGCCGGCTGGGGGCTCAGACGGATCCATTGTGGAGGGCGCGAGGGCATTGGAGGAAGCCAGTGAGGGCTGGCGCCAGCAGAAGCAGCAACAAGCGATGGGCGAGTTGGATGCTGTCAGCCGATCTGGCGTGGGTGTTTGGAGGAGTTGGAATTGACATAACAAGCCTCGGCCAGGCGGCTTCTTGGCGTCAGGTGAAGTTTCGAGGAAAGAGAGTATTAAAGGTCTATAGACTACCAGATTGTGTACATAGCGAAGCAGCTAGCTGGTCCGCTCAAAAAGCGCTATATGGGCAGATGGCGGTCTATACTAGAAGAAATATCAATCCCAATGTCGTCACGTCATGCCCTGGCCTGCTGGAAAACCCCCAAACGCCATCCATCATCACCACCGCTCCTCATTCCGTCTACCAGAAGCTGCACCAGCCGATATAATGCTGACATAGGTTCTCCACGCTTGTCGCCTGTACTAAGAGCTTATCTACCTGATCGCTGACGCTCAGTTCTTCGTGTGTCTTGAAGTCTCTACCGGTTAATTTCTCTCTGACACGGGCTAGAACTTGTAGCGCTCGCGCATTCTGCACATCTCTAGCCTCGTTGGGGATGCCTTGCTGCGCGTCAAGAATGCCGCCCTCTAAGATTGACGGCCGGCGACGAGAAAAGTTTCCGGGTTGCAGTGGAAGGTCAAGGCTGAGCTCGCCGGCTTGATGGCGGTCCGCGAAAGAGGGTTGGGCGGGAGATTCACGCGCACCCAGTCGCCAGTTAATCAAGGGATCGTGAATGAACTAATGGGCGCAATCAGTATCAAAAGTATAGTCAAGGAAGTAAGGACGAAACTTACAGCTTCTTGTACCGCCATCAACGATTCCTTGTTTTCACGAAGGACGCGCATGACGGCCTCACAGGTGATGTGGTAGCTGCCTTCAATGTTGCTGACCTCCATTGCGAATGTGAGCATGCGGGTTAATCGGAAAGGGACCTTCTCAGGGTACTTTTCGCGGTGCATGGCTACTTCAAAACAATCGCCGAAGTCAATGTGTACGATTTTACCCGTGATTCTATCCAACAACAGGTTCGAGGGGTGCCGATCGCCTAGACCAAGAATATATCCAACCATCGACATAACACCTAACGACCGAGTGTAGTTGGTCCTCCTTTCAAGCCAGGCCTCCGAGCTCTTGCTCTTAAGCCATAAAACTCTGTAAAGATCTTTCCCGGTTGTGTTATCCATGGCATAGCCAAATACTTCAACCTTCTGCATCAGTGTCAAGCTGTCATAGTCTGGAGCCATCTGTAACATGATGCGATGCTCAATGTTGAGTAAGATTCGCCGGCTTTCCCGATACTCCTTGATCAGTGTATGGAGTGTGTCGGTGTTGGTAACCCAGCCTAGCAAGCCAGAATTCTGAGATAAAGGTATGGCAGGGAACCGTTGGATTGTCAAGTGTCGTTTGTAGCATTCACTGTCTTTCTCCAAAAGTGTATTGACTAGGCCAAAAAGCTGCATAACTCTCTCATCTTGACGAATGTCCTCGTGACCTTTGAGCGCATACATATAAGAGTTACCGTCACTGCCCTTGACAATCATCTTTCGTGGCTTTTTCTTAGTTATAACCGCGATCAACACGGGATCAAATGTTAGTATCCGGATCACTGGCCGCCCGCTTTGATAGGTGCCTGGCATAGCAAGATTCAAATCCACCGCGTCCTTGAGTTTCGGGGAAACATATTTTAGATCAAGGGTCTTCATCTGCCGGACCTGCCGGTCGATCTTTTTGAACACTGTATAGTAAAGATCCCATGCTTGATTAAGGTCCCCAATTTCTTGAGATTCACGATAGAGAAGGCAGAAGTGTCGCGCTTCTGCGAGGTCACGGCCAAAGGCCTGCGCAAAGGATACCTCCCTTAAAGTCTCTGCGCCCTTGTCTAGCATATCGTGTAAAGGTGCCAACGTCTGGAACATGCCATCGACATTATTGTTTGCAAAGTATAGTCGAGATGCTTCCTCTAAGCCATCGTACCAGAGCTCGTGCCAAAGAACAGCAACCCGCACTAGCTCATGACTAACAACTTCCGCTTGCTCAACAAGTTTGGGGCTATGCTGTCGCAAACTGTCCATTATGTGAATGGCGGATTGTGAACGACGAGCAACCATGGACTTTGTTGCAACAGTCAAGGGGTAGACGAGGGCTTGAGGGTGAGCCTTGCCTAGTTCCGCAAGCAACCGATGGACAGAAGCACGCACCCTGGCGTTAGGCTGGTTAATACGTGCAATGAGCTGGGGAGTCACTTCAAGCCACGTATCAATACTGACGGACGAAAACCCGTCGGTCACAACGTTGCAAACTTCTGCATCTCCACCATGATTAAACCAAAGCGTCAGCAGCCTTAGTGTGTCCTGTAAAGCACTTGAGGATGATAAAGCGATAGATTGGAAGAAACCCCGGATAGCAGGTATGACATGCTCGGTGACTATATGGTGAGGTATTGATACCGTCTCGCTGCTGGATTGGGGACTTAAAGCAGTTAAGACCTCAAAATTTGCCAGAGCCCAAGCATGCCAGGCTTTGTAGGATTCCCTGTTATACTGTGTAGCCGCAGAATAGGCATTGAGAACATCTCGAACGCCATCAGACGTCCAGTCTCCTTTTTGCAGGGCAGTTTGCCATTCCCCTTGTTTGAGATGACTCTTAGCCAGAAGACGGCGGAACTTCGTAATATCACCGAGGTTCTGTCGAGCTGAAGCGATCTCTGTGTCTCTATGTTCGACTTGTCCATTGGCTAGATGATTTCCTTCGGTAGTAGCTTGCTGTTGTCTCTGTACTGAATTGACGAGAGAGTTGTATTTTGAATATTCATCTGCCAGTGAGCTTGCAAATTCCTTTAGTGCTTGGAGAGCCTCTTGTTGGTGACCAGCAGCCCAGTCGAATTTGAGGCGGGCATATGTGACTTCAGGAGGAACCCCAGCTTCGGGAGACTCTGTAGTTTCAAGGGAACTAAGAGAGCGCTCTGCAAGACCCATGCGGTTGGATTTGCGACAAAGATTCGCAAATTTAATCCACATATCTAGATTTTCCTGTGGCGAAATCACCAGGGCCCTAACTTTGAGCATTCTTTGCCAGACTTCAACATTCTGTTGACATCCTAAAAGACGTTTGTTCCACGTTTGCCTCATGGCGTCTTGTCTCTCAGCATCACCAACACATTGCTTGTACGTTATTATCTCTTCAAGCTCAGCAAGCATCTGAACACGAACAACGACATTATAAGCACGGTTATAGGATTCACCTAGCAAGGCTGAAAGCTCGGTGTCGAGGCCATTGCGGGCTTTCTCTATGTAATCGGCGGCTTCTTTGAATTGATTTCGATGTAGGGAAAGAATAGCGCCAAAGAATGAACGGTCAGGAGACTGGTCTTTCATAACGCCAATGTAAGAATCCATGAGCTCCCATTGACCACGGCCCCAAGCAGCCGCAGCAGCAAGAGGAGCAATCGCGATGCGGTGGTCGTTGGATGCTTGATTCCATTTCTCCTGGGCTAAATCTGACAGCATCTTCCACTCTCCAAGAGCATGCAAACACCGCATTTTCCCCATAGTGACTTCGAATGAATTGGGATCGGTCAACTCTCGTCGTTTATAGGCAGCCAAAGCTTCCTCCCAACGCTGAAGCTTTACAAACCATGTCTCCTTCAACTCAACATCCCGGTAGGCCTGGGCTTTGCGGAGAATGCCAATGGCCGCATCAAACTGCTGTAGTTGGTTATTGATGCTTATCAATGCTTCAACAGCGCCAGAATTTTGATCTTGCTCAAACTCTAGTTCCTTATAATGCAGGGCCTTGGCAAAGGCGTGGCATTTACCTGCGTATTTTCCGAGGGTGCGGATATCAATCGGAAGGGCCTTGTCGTCGTGTTCCATAAACTCTGCCAGATTCAAGAGAATTTGAAGAATTTCTGGGGGGATATTTCGGGCTGTAAGTGCAAGATCGATAGAGTGAACCAGCTCTTCCTGGTAAGTGTGGTAAAGCTCCGTCCAGCATGATACAAAAGCGGCATTGAATAGATCTTTTGCTAGGGGCTGGTAGATGCCTGCCAGGCTAGCACAAGCTCGAAGAGCATGAGACGGGGATTCTTTAAGCAGTTCTACGCTAAAACGCCGCATCCATTCTTGCCAGTCTTCGGAAGTTGACTTTTGGGTTGCGTCCCAGGCATTCTTTAGATGCTGCTGATTCACAAGGATCTTTCTTTGACCGACTTCTCCGAAGGACTGGTCGTCGCCAAAAGAACCGTATTGTTCATCCGGGTTGAGATCCTGCGGTAAGGGTTCACCTTTCTGTAGCTTCGTCACGAGAATACGATAATTGTGATGATGGATTTGATTATTCTTAAGCACCTGCTACCTGTCAGAGCAGAGTACACTAATACAAAGAAGAGGATGAGTCGTACCTTATTGACTAGAGGAATATAATTGGTAAAATCTTGCCCAAGCTGGAATATTAAAGTGCAAATGCAATCCAAAGCAGTCTGTCTTAGCGTGCGATCGGACCCGCCAATGACTCGTGCCAAAGGATGAACCATAAAGGACGCAAAATCGGAAACATTGACCTGGCGGGATAGCTTTGCTAGGGTCTCAATGGCGGATTTCCTAATGCTCTGGGGTGCCTGCGGCTTATCAAAGGATCCGACGATCGCTGGTACAATTCTGTGCATATACTCTTCTGCACTAGATCCAAATACCAGGAAGCTATGCAAAATTCTCTCTGATGGTTGGCGCCTAGGGGTATTATCTTTCTCAATAGTATTCAGCATTAAGGGGATAAGTGAAGCTAGGTATTTCTTGAATTCGCCTTCAAGGGACTTGGAAATCGCCTCCACAAGGGAGAGAATTGTGGCTTGAACTTGAAAGGAAGCATCCCAGTACTCACGAATTATTCCGATTATATCCGGTAGAAATGCTCGGATATGCTGCCGAACAATGGCAACTAAGATCGCAAGTTGATTGAAATATGTCTCCAAACGGCTTGTTGGTGTGCTTTTAATCACAGAAATGAAAGCTGGAATAATTTGACCAAGAAATGGAACGCATTTCAGACCTAAGGTTTTAAAAATTGTGACGATAGCATCAATGACAGCAGAATGGTATTGTGCAAGGGAGGCTTCATTTAGGATATTGTGGAGAAGAGTATTTATCACCACGGTAGGATAGTATTCTTCATTTGATGGGGTTAGCCCCTGCATAATTAGTGATACATCAGATACAGCTTGGACTTCATTAATGTGATGAACATCCGGAGTGTCATGGCTTAATTGCTATTGAGGAATTAGTATGAGATTTAAGGCCAGTAGGTAGTCCCATCTTACCTGATATCTATAAGGATCTAGAGCTCCCAATGTGCCGATGAGTTTGATCGTTTCCTTTCGTAAAGTTCCAGCCGGCTCTGTTTTAACAATATTAATCAAGACAGCAAGCAATTGTGGGTATTCTTTGTAAGGTTCAATAACATATCCAGCATTGCTAGCAAGCTGACCCAGGGTCCGCAAAGCCGCCTCTCTTTTTGGTGGAGATGAAAGATCTTGCAGTGCTTCCAAAATAATTGGCATAATTTGTGGCAAATACTGTTTCATGTCATCACCACCAATTGTTGCAAGCTCCCCAATTGCCTTAATTGTGGTGGCAGAAACAGCAGGATTTACATCCGTTGTTTTTGGTAACAGAGTTGTGACCATTGGATCAACATAAGAGCGCACTAGTTTAGTAGCATTGGAAACAAATAGACTGATCAATTGAGCACTTTCCTCCTTTTGCCTAGGTGTAGTAGCAAAACTGAGTCCTGTCAGAAGGTTGACGAGCAATTTTCGTAGTGGTGGGAAGACATAAGCAGGGTTGACATTCGAGAGGCGGCCAATAATGCTAATTGCTGCTTCACGGACGGCAAATACCTCATCATTGACAGCAAGAAAAAGACACCGGACATTTTCAGGTTTCGCTAAGTGGCGGTCAAATTTTCGATCAAGAGATTGCAATACGGTGCACCGGATTTCCGGCTCAGGGTCTCCAACACCCACGGACAAGAGCTTGTCAATGACCTGGCTAACAACTTGAAGTGAATGGCTGCTTGTCTGGTTCAAAATAGGGTCATGGACAAATAATTGGCAGCAAGTAAGGGCAGAGGCTTTGCGAATTTCAGGGTTATCATTTTCAACGTATTTTATGGCCACATCACGGACAAATTCGTTTAATATGTGACCTATAGCTATTAGAAAAGAGGCTTTCAAAGGAAGAGTTTACATACCAGAAAAGTCGAAGCTGCCCAGAGTGAGTAGGGCGAGTGTAATTTCAGTATCCGTAGCCTCTTGTGGCTGTGGTGCTGAGTCTTTGACAAAAGATGGCATTGGCAAGAGACGATTGTCGGGACAGCCGAGTGGTAAGAACGGCCGTCCGCATAACACCAAGCTCAGCATGTCGAGTAGCTTTTCTTGTATTGTAGCGCGCACAGGCGGAATATAATGTGCCATATCCACGAGGGCTTGAGTAAGAGCCTTGCTCAGACCGCAAGCAAAAATAGGGTCAAGTAGAGATTCCATATACTTGCTCAATGTTTGGCCTACAGCCAAACTGAGCATGCTTAAGCATTCTAGCATAGGAGCCTCATTCACCGCCGCGCGATTACGCCTAAGAAACGATTAGCGGCGTAAAGAACGGGATACCTACGTGTCACTTACGCCTTCAGAGTCAAACCCTCGCGAATATACACAATAATCCCATCAAGGAACTGGCCGATAGCATTTCCTACGGCGCTCGAAATCTGACCAATAGCAATAAAAGCTGCATTTCGCTCCTTGTCCCGTTTCAATTGGGCTTGCAAATATATCATGAATCGGTTAAGGTACGTATTGGTGAAGTCTAGGGGAGCATAGGAAGCAAGAACTGGAATTGTGGCGACAACTTGCATTCGAATTTTGGTATCGCGGTGATCTTTTAATCGAATCACTATTTCACAAGCAGCGCGGTAATGCTCGTTCATAAACATTGCTCCCTTGTGAAGCAACTCTCGAAGAGCGAGGAGAGAGCCATGAATCCAATCATTATTGTTTGACCTAAGACCAAGCAATGTCTGGTCGTAAATTCCCGCAAACCACTGATGTCGAACCTGGCTTTCACGAGCAGAAATAATCTCAAAGCACTCACTGATAGCGTCAGCGGCCGTCTCTCGAATAAGAACCTTCGGATCTCGAAGAGCTACCCAGACAAGTTCCAATATTTGTGCAACAAATCCGTAAAGCAGCGTTGGAGAGCCTTTGGCGAGTTCCCTGATGATAAGCACAGCAGCAAAGCGTCTATTTTCCTGTCTCTCTGATTGTAATGACTCCAGAGCCGACTGTATTTCACTCTCCACTAATTCAGCAGTCAATGCGCCGCCCGGTTTCGCCAAACGGCCCAAAGATGTCGCCGCATAAAGTAGGACCGTGTTATCATTGCTTCTCAACGCACTCCGCAGGTAGCCGGAAAACCGGGTGGTCTTTAGGGCGGCATCAACACCATCAAAATCAATTAGCCTGTCAAGCGCGAGTAGTCCGCCGATTTTCTCGTTGGCGTCACTGCCTGTGACAACAAGTTGTGCTATTCGAGAGCTGACAGTGTTGTAATACTCCAAAAATTTGTCCTGCGGGAGCTCTAATAACCGGGTTAGCTAGTTTTAGTGAGCTGAATCGACAGAAAATTTAGTTCTACCTCTAGAAGCAGAAACAATATTGTCGTATAGTTCGAGTGCCGCTCGGTGTCTTATCTCCTCGTTCTTGGATTTGAGGTCGGTAAAGGGTTTCTGTGTCGCATCAGTCGCTGAGGATACTTGTGACATGGTTGGAGACTACCCCCCAATACTGGCAGCGCATCTGCCAGTGGGGAGATAAACATTGATTATCGCATTCAAGCTAGGAGAGAATGTTGTGTTGAGTTGTCTTATCTGAAGTAGTATGTTCAAGGAAATCAAGCTCGATGATACGCTCAAGTCCCAGCTGGCGATCCAGGTTCGGTCCCGTGACTGGGGTTGGGGCCAGGCAGTACTCCGTACAAATTAACTGCTTTGTCAGCAATTCTGGTTAGTAAGACGAGGAAATTCATTCGCCGCGTATGGAGCATCTTATTCCATATAATAGTACTTCTTTTATCCAAAGATTCAGAGGTTTATGCAATGACGGACTGCCCCCTGCTGTATATAGTAGAGGTAGGCCTATGCTACTCCGTACAGCTTCCATAAAGAATGCCAAGATCTAGTTTAACTAGTTCGTTATTGAGCGCTAGTAAACCTTTGCAAACAAATCTCTGGGTCGCTTCTCAATCATTGCCAGTGACAATCGCAACCCCAGGGTGGATTGAGGGACAATGACGGGAAGACTATCGCCCGCGGCGAATTTACTTCGAAACTCACGGCTTTTTGCTCTACCTCCTCCCCTTTCCGCGCCGGCGCCCCGCATCTCACCTTCGAGCGTCGCTGAGTCGGACACCGCAACCCTTCCTCATCCAGTACGTCCTTCTATTATATCACCGCCGTCGTCCTTAGCAAGAGGTGATTGGGGCCTTAAGCGATCGTTACCGAAGAAATCTACGTCTGATAGTGCTTTATTCCCGGTTGTACGAATCAACCAACTGGATACCTATGAGCATATCACAGATTTCGATTCAGCCAACGACCATACAATTTCTTTGAAAAAATGGCAGGAGCTTTCTCTTCCACTGTCAACTGTATTGGACACTGGTATTTCTGCGTCTACCGGTGGTGGACGACATTCAAGTGTTTTCGAGTCAACCGCTGATAACACGTATGAGACCAAGTTATCCGATGATGCCCATTCCAAAAGATTCAGATTTAAGGGGCCATGGCTTGCAGGTCAAACTGAAATCGAGTTCAATGCTTTTTTAAAAACCGTTAGGCGGCAAAAGCCGGAATTTTTGAGGCAACTACGCCAGATCCTCACAGAGAGGAAAGCTCTAGAAATGCGGAAAGCATCACTAGACCGCGGTGAGCCTATCGAGGACAATAAATTACCTCATGAGTTAAATGACGAGGAGTTCGAATTGGCATTACGGTTGTTACGCTCGAAGCCGGAAGTTCTCGGCCCCGAAATCTATAAGTTTCTCGACTTAGCTACCCCGCCTAGCATCCCTAACCGGTACCTGAAGGAACACTACTGGGCTGCAGGGCCATCAAATATATCCTCGGTTGAGTATGCGACATCCGGCCCTCCGATGACACACCCGTCAGCAGGCCTGTCATATCTCCGCACGAAGGCACATATGGATAATCACCCGGTTGTGGGCCCGCTACAAGACCCCAAACCTGTCCAGGCCCGTGTTTTAAGTGTTAAGAGGACTTTTAAACTCCGGACATTCGTCGGCGTTGGTGGATTCGTTACAGAAGACTCTAAATCACAGGGTCTTAGACAAGGAAAGGGCTTAATGGCGTTTGATCCTGATGCCATAGGAGGTATGAAGTACTGGGTTAAGGCTGAAAGAGCTTGTATTCGACCGGATGGAAGACTAGAACTCAGATTGGTACGAGCCACTGAGACTTCAAAAGCACTTTTTGGGGCAAACGAGCCAGAACCGTCCGTGTCTCTTCCCGAGAATCTTTTCCCACTCAGCAAAACCGTCCCTACACTTGACCATTGAGAATCAAGTGTATGTATTTGTACGAACAATCCACATATATCATAGCCTTTAGCATTGTGCGCACCGCCCAAATTGTATCTTGTAGCCTCTATCGACTCGAAACCTCACGTGACTTTAGTTTAGGGTTTTATCACGTGTGGGTAGTTAACCAATGTCCTAAGCGAGGACCACAGAAACTAATTTGAATTGCTGAACATCGCAAACGAGCCACCGACCACAACGAGTTCCGCCATCAGCAAAACACCGCCAACATGGGTCGCGTTAGGACGAAGGTACAGCATTACCACTTATTTATGCTCATCTCTCCATACAATTCGGTGCTGATTTGAAATTCAGACAGTCAAGAAGTCCGCCAAGGTCATCATTGAGCGTTACTATCCTAAGCTCACCCTCGATTTTGAGACCAACAAGCGCATTTGCGATGAAATCGCCATCATTGCTTCCAAGCGCCTTCGCAACAAGGTAAACATGGCGACTACATATATGACTAAAACCGAACCGCGCACGAGGGAATATTTGTGCTAATATAAAATCTTTTTAGATTGCTGGCTACACTACCCATCTGATGAAGCGTATTCAACGGGGCCCAGTTCGCGGCATCTCCTTCAAACTTCAAGAGGAGGAGCGTGAACGTAAAGATCAGTACGTTCCAGAGATCTCCGCTTTGGATATTTCCCAGACGGAAACTGGCCAGCTTGAGATTGATACCGATACCAAAGACCTCCTCAAAAGCCTTGGCGTAAGTACTCTAGTCTCTGCTCACCTATCATGTCGTTTAGATTTTATTCATTGACTTATCTGGCTCTGAATAGTTCGATTCCCTCAAGGTCAACGTTGTCGCTGTCGGCCAAACCCAGCCATCAGAACGACCACGTCGTTTCAGATAAACGAACTTTGATTCACTCGATGGCGTTGACGCGGCTAAAATGTCTTTTTTGTTCTGCAGCGATTTATAGGTATTAGCTGTCAGATGAAATACAATGACTTTGAACGAATTAAGGTGTCGCGGATTCCCATTGGGATGATGCTTGATTGCCAATATATTTCCTCCCTTATTCCTTTGAACACTACAATACTGTTCTCTAAGATGAAAAGTCTTGGACCTTGACAAGATCGGTAAGTAATGTGAGTTCATTATGGCCCGTATAAACAATGACTATTTAAAAACAAATTCCGAGAAATACGTAGTATTTATATCAAATAATACCCTCCCTCTTATGATATTATCCCAAACGACAAATATGCCATATGTGATATTGTCTCACAAAAACTACCACCTTCATGAGGATTAGAACCGCATCACATCGTCATTAGGAGCTTGATCATTAAGTTCAGCATCCTGTCTTGAATAGTTATGATTCTCAGGCCTGAACCCTTCAATGGAGCCACCTTGCATACTGTTTAGCTGTAGGGTAGGCGCCGAAGCGGCTGTTGGGTCATTCTCAATAATCCGTATCGGAAGTCTTCCCTCGGAGGCAATTATTGGCGAATCGCCTCGCTCCAGTGCTAGCTGTTTGGAGTCGTCTTCATCGTTGAATTTATTTAACCGGGGATTAAGAGAAACGTGCTTTTCTGTAACCGATGGCCTGATGGAGAGCTTTCGCAGATTTTCTTCCACGATCGGCATACTTAGAGAAGGCCGTTTTCTTTTTTTATCTAGATGACAACCCTGCCACTCTTCCATCAATAAAATATTCACGTTCTTTTTATTGATCCTTTCCCAGGCTGGCTCCTCATTCAACTGAACCCGAACATAGAGGGCCCGTTCGGCACAATACTCAGAGCACCATTTCTCAAGCTGGTTTGCAGGTACTATTTTCATCGTCCTCCCACGACCATACGGGCCACTCCCTTTCGGACCCCATAGAATGCGAAATTTAGTCTTCGGATCCTCTTTTCTGTGATTTTTAGGACACAAAGCATATCCGCATCGTCCGTCAATGTTTCGCTCTAAAATCAGATTATCGTAGTCCGACGGCTGGAAAGGAATCAAGGAGGATGTAAAAATAGATGCGTCCGTCTCGGAAGGAGCAGCCGGGTCCGCATCAGCCGTACTAGGAAGCGCCATCAAATGCTCAATGTGAGAGAGGATAATTGCTTCGGTGTCTTTGCGAGCTTGGATGTTTCGTGCATGGTGAAGAGCAATCGCTAAGTGGCGGGGATTTGGCGAGCTTCCCGGGGGTGGAGTGTAACTCATATCGCTCGGGGCTGGGCTAGAGGAAGCGTGAACAGCAGGGACAGAGGTCTTAAGAACTGAGGACGGAATATCCATAGCTGGTTAGAGAGTAGTAAAAGGCTAGAGCAGGTGGCTGGGCACAGATGCCATGAGTGTAAAACTGAGGCAGGTCGCCTAGTGAAATGAATGCAGGTGACCAGTGAATTCCAAGCAAGAGGAGAAGAAAACAGTTTGAGAAGAAAATTCGCGGTTTCGGCTTGACGTAGTTGGGGGCGTAGTGGCGTTGTTAGTTAAAGCGGAGGGGTGGGCGTAAGCCGCCAGCGATTGGCAGTAGTTAAACTAACTGAGCGAACGGCCTGACACCTCAACCTCCACCCACCCAGGCAACACTGCTACCGCTTTGCCAGAACATCACTTGCGGTGTGCTCTCAGGCAGGTCAGCTCGTTGACAGTACTGCACATTTATGTTGCTTCCGCCACTGGACTATCTCTAAAGAGTGAGTGATCAAGACTGACACTGGCTTTCATCTTTTGATGTTGAGCTGACTTCCAAGTGCGCTCAGGACGTATGACTTTATGATTCCTACGTGTTCCCCATAATTTGTTTGTTAGATCGTGCCCTGCAACTAGCTTCTGTGTTGCTTGAACCCCGGGTTATTCTCACTGATAGCCGCATCCGGACCCCTCCAAGCTGTGTGACCCTCAGCTTGTTTACTGTTATCGCAATATCTGCAGCCCCAAATGCCCGCCACTCCATTCACTGTCAAGGCTATCTTTGAATATACCTCTGACCATGAAGACGATCTTGCATTTTCAATTGGGCAAATCATTACAGTGACGGCAGAGGAGGACGAAGAATGGTATTATGGGGAATATACTGCTGACAACGGAACACGGAAGGAGGGCATCTTTCCAAGGAATTTCGTTGAAAAATATGAGCCGCCAGCGCCACCACGGCCTTCAAGGCCAAACAGGCTCAAGAAGGACGCTGAACCGACTATTCCTGTAGAGGCGGTCCCCCCACCACCTCCGCCTGCCAGCAACCCCACTCCCACAAGCCCAGAGTCCCCAACCCAGCACTTTGACAGTAGTCAAGAGACAGGCCCAAAACCTCAGGCTGTTCGGCCACCAACCGCAGATGCGCCGCAACCAACGGCTTTTCAGCAAGCGGCACCGCCTCTGCCTTCGGTAGCCGCAGTACCTAAACCAGAGCCAAAGGCCCCACCCCCTTCTGTCGCAGACAAGCCGACTTCAACATCTTTTAAGGACAGGATTGCGGCATTTAACAAGGCTGCTGCGGCACCAATAACACCTTTCAACCCCGCTGGAACGTCTTCGAATACCAACGCTTTCATCAAAAAACCATTTGTTGCACCGCCGCCAAGCAAGAATGCCTTCGTGCCAATGCCGGTTGAAGCCCCGGCGCAGAAGGTCTACAAGCGCGATGAAGATCCGGAAATCTTAGAACAGAACCAGGAGCGGCTTGCAGATCGGTCTCCACCACCACCGCCGTCTGCTGCTGCGGAAGACGGGCAACCAAAACCCACATCTTTGAAGGAAAGAATTGCTCTCTTACAGAAACAACAGCTTGAGCAAGCGGCTCGACATGCGGACGCTGCCCAGAAGAAAGAAAAGCCAAAGAAGCCGCCGCAAAAAAAACATGTAGAGATCCAAGATCCCGTTGACCATACGGATCTCATGCAGGGTGCAGGTTTAGAAAAGGCTCCCACTTCCGAAACTGCAAAGGAATCGAAAACAAGTGACGATACCCATGATGTATCTACCCAGCATCAACACCGAACTCCCGTTGTGCCTCATGTGGCTAGCCCGTTGCAGCCACATCACGATATTACCAGTGATGCAAATGATGCTGACTATTCCGGTGCTGGCGACACTGAAGAAGCCGAGGAAACATCAACCAGCAAAGAAGATATTGATGTTAAGCCCACGAAATCAAGCACGAGCAAATTGAATGCTGAAGAAAGTCACCCTCGCAGTCAGGAAATGGTGAATGAAGGAGCCGTCGAAAAGGAGGAGGAGGAGGAAGAAGAAGAAGAAGAGGAAGAAGTCGACTCAGAGATCAAGAGGAGAATGGAGCTTCGAGACCGCATGGCGAAAATGAGCGGTGGGATGGGCATGATGGGTATGTTCGGCCCGCCTCCAGGGCTACCAGGTACTTCCTCTGGGGGATACAAAAAGCCAAAGCCCGACGTGATCGCCAGATCTCAAGATGAAGAGCGCTTACCCGCGACGGCACATGCCCCACCCGTTCCCGTTATGGTCATTCCAGGGATGCAACCACGCAAACAGGAATCTTTCTTGTCCCCCACCGAGTCCAAAAAGGACGGGCTTGAGGCGAATGTCCCAGCCGCAACCCAGGCGCCCAAAGAAGAGCCGGCTGATACCACAAATTCCGGACGTTCCGTTGCAGACAACCCACCCTTGCTTCCACGATCTACTGGTAAGACTTAACACCTTACATCAAAGTTGAATGGCAATCTAACAGCATTGATAGAACACACTGCACCTCCGCCCAGTCATCCCCGGCCTATTCCTCCACCTGTGCCAGGAGATCGGCCAACTGAGTCTTCTCCCCCTCCTGAATGTAAGTCGACTGATTATGCAGATACAAGATTTTTTTTACTAATTGAGCCAAATCATCAGCGCGACCTGCGCCCATTCTGCCTGCAAGGGGCCTAACATCACCAAGTCTGGGCGAGGAATCCGACGACGAGCTTTCCATCACACCTGGAAACGTACAGGTAGAAAGCCAATCCAGCGACAGCTGTCCAACGGTGCTTCCTACAAGTATCGAGGAAGACTCGTCAATGCCTTCGAGACCTCCGACACTTTCCGCTGACAAACGCTCAAGCCAACCCCCCCCTGTTCCTCATGCTCCACCTCTGATGCCATCTGCTCAAGTTCGGCCGCCTCCGCCGCCTCCACCGTTCCCTGTCAGTCGCAAGTCAACCAATGATAGTCCAATGAGTGCACGAACTCAAACGGGTCTTAAAGGACATGATACAGAAGAGGAAGTCACTGAGTATGAAGGCGACTATGACACTGATATTGCTCCCGGTGCTACACATAAGGATGCCCTTAAATCACACGGCCGCGATTCCAGTATTGATGAAGGTACTATCACAGATGAGTTCAACAGTCAATCTCCCAGAACCTCTCATGATATCCATCCGCCACTGCCTCCTCCCAATGCGGCCCCTCGTGCAGCTCCTCCACCTCCTCCAACTCAGCCGCCAAAGTCGGTACGGCAGTCGGTCGACATGCCGAGAACAGCTCCGCCTCCCATTCCGACAACTAAGGAGCACGTACTAGAAGATGATGATGAATATGACCCATACCGATACGACGCTTCGCTTCCTCCACCTCCCCCACCCCACAGCCCACCAGCCAGAGCGCCAAAGCACCCTGCAGGGGCTGTTGAGGACGACTTCTTCCCTGAATCTCCACCAAGGCGTTCCGTCCATTCCCCTCCTCTACCGCCTAGCCAGCCTCCTCCACAGGCAACTTCTCGCACCCATTCGTCTCGCCAATCAGCCGATCTTCTTCGTACACAATCCAATCCCCGCCGATCTATGGATATTTCTAGGCCGTCTATGGAGAGCTACTTTGCAAGTGATGTTGATCTTGGCGAGAGTAGCTTCTGGTGGACCCAACCCAAAACACCTCCTCCGATCTTTCAACATAAAAAGGACATATTGTATGAGATTGAAGAGTCAACCTCAACTAACAGAGGTGGAAAAACCACCATTGCTAAGGACGTCTACATTTTATTTATGGACTATTCTCAGACTATTGTGACAGTGCGGTTTGATTCGAAGAATCCAGGTGACGTTATTCTGGAACAACGCCATGAGGCTCCTCCAGCGCGACTGCGACAAGACCAGCTGGAAGACTCACACACTCGCTTTGGGGCTCGTCTCGCAGAAACTGCCGCTTCGAAGCAAAACACCACTGTCGGTGATGGAACTCCTCATGCCTTGATCAAGGCCCTTGTCACCCCCCTGTCCGGTGCCCTTCTTCCCGTTGGTGTACGTGCGTATGGAGCTATTGTGTACTCAAACCTGGCCAATGCTTCTGTTCAGCAGTATGATGAAATCCGTGCTGGTGACGTTGTAACTTTTCGTAATGCCCGGTTTCAAGGCCACCGAGGTACGATGCATCAGAAATATAACATCGAAGTCGGGAAGCCAGATCACGCCGGCATTGTGTTGGACTGGGATGGGACCAAGAAAAAGATTCGAGCCTGGGAACAGGGTCGAGAGAGCAAAAAGGTTAAGATTGAGAGCTTCAAGCTGGGCGATTTAAAGAGCGGAGAGTGCTTGGTCTGGAGAGTCATGCCACGTGGTTGGGTTGGCTGGGAAGAGGAAAACAAGTCATAGTTGAAAAGTTTGCCAAGTGGCCATTGGTGCAGGCCTTTGGATTTGACGGGAAAGAAGGATAAATGGCTGAAATTGAAGGTATCTACCTGACTATTCTACTGTTTGTGCTTGGTCTTCACATGTTAGCAGCATCTTCCATTTTCCTATCAGGCACAAGTTTAGTGTATTTAATCAGCCCTTGTGTTACTGTTTGATTTCCCCCATACATGTCAATAGTATGTTGGTTATATTCTGTGTACTATCTGAGCCGAAAACTGGACTCTGACTGCACCTGCTTTGCACATAATATCATAGACAGATCAAGGGCTATGTTTATGGAACAGATCTTGATGGACAACCACTGAGAGAGCATTGCATTTATAAAAAACAACCAGTCACTCCTAGCTCCAATCTCCCATGCATATACTGATTGACAGACAGCACATATATTTACACAACTGGCACTTGTTTCACTATCCAAATCCGTACAAAAAGCTAATATAGTACCTAAATGAGCAACAGTTCCCCAGTTGCAGCACCTCCTATTTCCTGCGGTTGATATGCGTGTTGTCCACTCTGATTGACAATATACTGCGGTTGCTGGCCGCTCAGGCCACCATGTGTAGCGCCACCACCATTCAAACTCATGGCAGACAACTGCTGACTGCCTAACCCAGCAAAATACATATCTGCAGTGTTCACAGCTGCAGACATATCACCCTTTGCTGCTCCAGCTTCAACACCAGCATTAGAATTTGACTGGTTTCCCGTGGCAAGAAGGGTGGATATCGGTATTGAAAAGGGTGTATCGGCAGCTTCATCCGTGGTCGACTTTTGTAGCGCCGGACTCTGACCCAGACGCTTTGGCCTCGCGCTTCGGAACACTTGTTGTACAGGTTTCAAGTACACTGTCGCGAGAGTACCCACGTTTAAACATAGCTCTTCGAGGGTACGAGGATCCAAACGCTCACTTTCGGCCGTAATAGGCGGTTTCTCTCCCATTACAACCGATTTCGCAGCAGCAGGGTCTGTGGAAAGGAGACGCCAGTACATGAACCCTCTATCACGAAGATCCGGATCATCTGTCTCTTCTGTGCACCATTTTAGCACTTGGGGGACTAACTGCTGTCCCTTAGTTGGTCGTTGTATAAAGAGCTTCACAGTTGCTGTAAGAAGCGCTAGTTGAACATCGACAGGCTCATCATGAAATGTAGCTAAAAAGTCCTGCAAAAAGACATCGGAGTTTTCTATCCGATCCGCGTATTGTCCGATAATCCAAATAATAGCTGCTTTAGCTTCCGGCTCATCAAGTTCATCAATATGTTTCATCACAGCACCTATTATACCCTCATACTGATTTGGATACTTCCGGAATATGTTCCGGATAACAACGGTTGCTTCTTGAACAATGTAGGGGACTTTGGCACTGACAAGATCCAACAATGTCTCTATGCATTGGCTCGATGCAGATTCGATTTTAATAGCTAGTTTGCCAATCGCCCGTACTGCCTTCCGCACAAAATGGACATCGATTTCTGTAGCATACCTATGATGGCGTTAAATCTAGCAATAGATAACGGTTTTATTATAGGACTTACTCTCTCAACTCTGTTAACACGATGGAAATATTTTCTTTGGTCGCTAGCATGAAAATCAACTCAAGTTTCGTAACCTTGACATAAATTGGGTCATTGTATTTGCAGAAGAAGACGCGGATATCATTTCTCAGCACTTCCGGCTGTTTTTGTAGGATTAAAATTGCGTTTCGAAGGGCCAAGTATTGAACTTCAGGCCCTTTTGATAGAAGGGTAACTAGTGGCGGTGAAAGTTTACGTGCTAGGGAGGTAATTTGCTTTTGATCGGCGATGTAGTTCATTAGGTAGAGTATCACACGAATACAGGTTAAGACAACCGAAGAATTCGAGTGGGAGAGGCGCGGTGCAATTCTTTCGGCCAAAAGCAGGGCTTCCGATGTTTCTCGGGGTACGTATGACATCAATGCCTCGAGGATATATGTCTGACCCCATCTACATTCAGCCAAGTCAGCTCACTCTACCGCTAGAGAGACATAGAATGAAGGAGAGAACGTACTCAGAGCAATCTGGGAGGATAGATATCATTTTTGATGCGCTTGTGTAGTCAATTGTAAGCGTGATAGCCTCGCTTCTTTCCCAGATATCCATTAATGCGGCCAGCGCACTGGATACAACCGTCGGATTATCATCTTTTAGCATGGCATTTAATTTTTCAATTAAATCTGATGCTTCAACCAGCTTTTTATCGTGGTCATAGAGTTTGGCAACGGCAAAACAAGCAGTCTTGCGGACGTAAGGGTCGCCGTCGTTGAGTAACCGTTTTAAAGGTTGAACAGTGGCCTCAACAAAATCGCGTACATGTATATAGGAGATGGTACGTAAGGCAAGAGCGCGGATAAGGGGATTCGTATCATTCATATCCTGTCAAAGCATTAGCGATTTGGGATTACAGAGATATATTCTATTGGCGGTATGCATACATCTATTAAAAGCGGTAGCGCTTTCATCGCTACATCCGGTTTCGTTCTTGAATAATTAACAAGGAATAGAAAGCACCTGGATTGTATACGAGTTAGCAGCGGTGTACCATATCAACTCCCTCCAGTAACCGCATTCCTTACATTTTCTTGATTTCTAGACTCGATATAGTCATGCATTCAATAACATCCGGAAAGAGCGCAATCATATCGTTATTGCTCATCGTCATATTCGCCACAATCTTCTTCAGCGTAATCTTCTTTGCGGAGTGATTCTTGTCCTTCTTTCCGCCGCTATGCAACTCGATGCGGAGTTCATTGACCTTGCCCTGTTTTGTGTGAGAAATCCATAGTGAGCTTGATGCATGAGGCAGCATAAACATTCTGACGTGCGATGTGAGGGTAAAATCATAAAGGGGACCAGTGGTAAGAAGGGCATGAAAAGCGCAGCATGCACCGCATCTCCTTAAGGGTCTGACAGTTGTGTACCACTTGGGCGATAAAATAGAGAGCAAGGGCGGTTGAAAAGGGGGGGGGGGGGGGGGGGGGGGGGGGGGGGGGGGGGGGGGGGGGGGTAGATGACCTACCCGCGCGAAGAGCTTCGCATCTCCCCCGCTCGAGCTCATCCCGATGGCTGCTGGCTAACTGCGGAGAAAGCTCTTGAGGATTGGTCGAGGTAGCAGTGACAAGGGAGAGGCCACAGGGCTAGTTGCTTCGGGACTGCGTTGACGACAAGCACATGGAGCGGCGGGCGCAGAGGGGGCCTGAAATACTATAGGATTCTCTCATTCCCTCCCGGATCAGATGGGGATTCTGTTTCGGTTGAATTGTGCGTAGACTGATGGGGGGCGCGTGTTGAGAGCTGCGTTGATGGTTCTGGGGCGCCAGATTGAGTTCGACCAAACGATACGGAGTAACTACATATGTATGTATCGTCACCACCAACAATCTGGACAAACATAACCTACTTGTTTGCTCTTGCAAGCTGCGCAGTAAACTCCACCGGCTCGCTCGGTGTTACTGGCTTCTTGCACTTGGCTCTCATCAAATTTACGATGGCCTCGATCGAGCCTCTTCCCAAATGGGCCATCGATATGAACACTCCGCCTCCGCGGCCTTCAAAAGCGAACATTCCCGATCCTCCAGGCTACTCACCCCCATCCAAAGCAAGCACAAAACAAGTGAGCACCAAAGCATCTATGCTCAAAATAAAGTCTAATCCATACCCGTATCAAAAGCAGAAACCCTCTCAGCTAGCGGCCTCCGCAGCGGCTTCAGCACGCAAGTCCTCCGAAACAGATGCGCTGAAGCTCAAAAAGGCTTGGGAAATCGCCTTTGCTCCCGCCAAACAGATACCCATGAACGCGATAATGATGTATATGTCTGGAAATAGCTTGCAGATTTTTAGCATCATGATGGTGTTCATGTTGTTCAAAGGCCCAATTCAAGGCTTGGTTGCAACAAACTCTACATTTGTGAAGTTTGAGACAGAAGGGATCAAGACCCAATTAATTGGCGTAAAAATAGTTTATATTTTGATGCAGTTTTTGCTTTTGGCGCTGGGAGTATGGAAGGTTAATGGAATGGGATTATTACCGTACGTGGGGCCCTGGTATTTTGTATATGAGCTTCGCTAACGAATACTTCCTAGAACTACGAGGTCGGACTGGCTTGCTTGGGAGGTAGAAAGGGTGCCCTTGGAGCGGGCGTACTTTGCATTTAGATAATTGATGTCAATGGCTAAAGCTACTGCTTTTCAAGTAATATGAGCGGCTTACGATTTCTCGACTCCCACCTATTTGACTCTGATATACTTTCTACAATTCTGCAGCGATCTAGACGCCTTTCTATGCACTGTCGACTTGCTGCGTCTATGTATAATCAGGTATTAAGTGTGCATATTTTTGGTCAGCCAAACTTTATCTACAAGTTGAAGATTGTGCTGTGATGAAAACGCTACTCGGAAATGAAACCTTTGCAAACAAGGGTTCGCTAAAAGAGTATATAATGGTAACCTTTTTATAGTCTATACTGATATCTAACGCTCTAAGATGTCGTACATACATCCATCAGGGCTTTAGCAGACACTAGTAGCCATGCCTCAGATGGTTATTTCACGCAGCCTTGCGGCAGGCATCAAAGAATATGTGAACAAAATCCCACACATCGGTGAAGGTGTTGTACAATGGAGCGGGTGCGACACGGATCACATCCGGCTTCCTTTCATCAAGAATAACACCGTTGTCAAGTAAATGAGCAAATACGGTGTCAAGAAGTCCCGGTTTCAATAGCACGCTGAGCTGAGCACCTCGTGCGCTAGGATCCAGCGGGGTAATGATCGTGAATGGTTCGTCAGTGGGGCGAACATCGTCGGGAGAATTGAGCAGCAAGTGCTCGAGATATGCAGTAAGCGCCAGTGACTTCTTTCGGAGAGCGCACATAGTAGCTCTATCGAAGAGATCTAGTGAAGCCAAGACAGCACTCATGTCCAACACAGAAGGATTCGAGATCTGGAATCCACCGGCACCCGAACGAGGAACAAAGTCTTGTAAAAAAAAAACGTTAGATAATGTGAATCTTACACTCTCTGCAGTTGAAAGGCACATACTGTTTTCCATAAGGAATCTAAGTCCCTTATCTCCACCCCACCATCCTGACAGACGATGTCTGTAGGGATTTTCCTGGTTTTTCATATCAACCTTACCATGCTTTTCATGCACAAACAATGCTCCCATAGAACCAGGTCCAGAATTCATGTATTTATATGTGCACCAAGCTCCGAAATCCACATCCCATTCATGAAGCTTGAGTTCTACATTTCCAGCAGCGTGCGCACAATCCCACCCAATAATAAGCCCTTTAGAGTGGGCGTGGGCCGTGATTGTTGGGATATCAAGATATTGACCGCTATAGTACTGAATACCCGGGAGTAAGATAAGGGCAGTGCTAGAAGCATGCTCATCGATGATCTTTAATATTTTCTCAGTTGGAAGAAACGGGAGTTTCGGATCATCTGGTTCAATGAGCACCATGGCATCCCTCGGATCAAAGCCATGTAGCTGAACTTGGGACTCCACCGCATACTAGAGTAAATAGTTAGCCACTCAGGACGGTAACCATACTAGGAGAAGCAAGGAATACATACATGATCGCTAGGAAAGGCCTTTCCCTCAATAATAATCTTATACTTCTCTTTGGTAGGTCGGTAAAAGCTAGCCATAAGCAGATGCAGGTTTCCCGTCAGAGTGTTCATGACAGCGACTTCGCTTGGAAGTGCGCCAACGACATCAGCCATAAGTTTAGCCGCAGTATCATCGAACTCCATATACGGTGGGAAAGGCGAGTCCTCGAGTCTCACAAAATGCCCAAGAACGCCCTTGGTTGCCCATGTCTGTAGAAGACGGTCAACGTAGGTGCGAGTGTTCTTGGGCTGGATACCCAAAGAGTTTCCACAGAGATATATGCAGTCCTCAGACGGGCTCTCTAAACATGATGTTAGTCACTGTACTGCGTATGCTATCGCTTTGCGGGCAATGCGGGTCATACCTCCTTCCGGGATGGCGAGCGTCTCTCTCTTCAGGTCTGCTTTCGACGGGATAATGAACTCGTCTCTGAAGGTGCGAAGCGCGTCTTGAGCATCCAAAGATTGGGCGTATTCCCTGGTAAAAGAGCGGTCATCGCCTCGGTAAGAGTGGGTGGTCCCGTTGGACATGGCGATTGCGAGATAAGTAAATGAGATATTATTACACCCTGCTATAACTAGTTAGGTCTATCAAGCGTGGCTCAAAGATTGCGCAGGCGCTCTTCGAATGCTTAACTATCCTAAACTCCAGCTGCAGGGCAGGGAAGGCGAATGGCGGGCACTCTTTATCCCTCTGTCCCCCTCATCCGCTGCCCGGCGTTCCAGCTGCTTGCCCTGCATGTCGCCGGTGCGCGGCCCGCACACTTTGGCGTCTGTGATGCTCCGGTGGCGCAAAGCTTGCATGAAATAGCCGTATCCAGCCGGGGTTGAAATCTCTGGGGTGCGGAGTATAATCCAACGAAGCATCCTCAAAGATTTGGAGATATTTTCAGTCAAGTCCAGTTCGTTCTTTGCCATCAGCTACTTAGTATCTAGTAGGTTGTAACCACGGAGTACTGCGGGCTGCATCTTCCATAAAACTAAGCCCTGCGAAATACTCCGTACGCGATTCTACAAAATACTTCTACTAAAATGCCAGTTTGGCGCCAACCGACGACGGGACCAAACGGCCTGGCATTTGCTGCTCGATTTCGTGCTTCACTCTCCAGCCGGAACAGTGGCCTGGAAGCAACATTTTCGGCTCCAAAGCTTTGAGGTCCATCACGGTTGCGCGGATCTGAGCCGCCTCACTGCCTGCGAGATGATAGCCACCAAAAATTGCGTAGACAGGCACGTCTTTTCCAATCAAATCGACTGCGTGTCTCGATGTGTTTACAACACCGGCATGGCTGCAGCCAGTGAATATAACAACACCCTTGCCTAGAGACCTTGTTAGTGCATGTCAGAGTCAATTCGCCAAGTGATTCTCGAAAGTGATCTTAAGCGCAGTGGTAGCCTCGCACCCTTACCTTTTACGCTGCAGGCAAGAAAGCGCTCGTCGGCTATCATTTCGTCCTTGTTCCATTTCCCAGCTGACTTATCAAACCGGACGGCGTTCTTCAACCCAACCTCGTACTCTGTCCGCCGCGGAATTTCGCCCGAAATTAGAAACATATCGTCCAGGACAGTGTGCGGGGAAGTGCTTTTCTCAACTTGAGCGCCCGCATCTTCGATCTCCTCAAAAGTGGGGTCCGCTTCAAGCGAGAATATTTCGGTTCCCATTGTAAACCCCCGATAATCGGGCCTTGACTCGTGCAAGTCGACCACAAGATGCTGGTTACTATCACCTTTCGCGAGTCGAGCCTCCCTGATCATTCGAATGGCACGAAGCATACCGCCTAGCCATTTCCATGTAGGCATTTAGGGGTGGAATTTCTAGCAGGTCTTAGGAAACAAGTCATACCTGAATGATCTCGATGCCAGTGTGATAGATGAATCAGCTCAATTGTTGAAATATCGGCTCGTAGTCGGTTTGCATTGCGCTCCCAGACCTCTTCTTCTGGCCCAGTATCGAATAATATTGTATGTTTGATGTCGCCCTTTGTTGCTGTCTAGATGCGGAACATATTAACTACTGCCCACGGCGGCTGCCGTTGTCATGCTTACAATCATCGCTGAAAGCCCATGGGCAGAGCAGCAAATGTTGCTCATACGAAGCTCTTTTGATGCATCTCCGCGGTTGCATAGAGTGTAGGGGGACTCCATCGCTATGTTGCCTAACAAGCCAGTTGCCTGAACTGTGTTAGGCGCCGGCGGGGACATGACATCCAATTCATTGTCGACGATAACTGTGATTTCAAGAGAGTCGATTTCAACAAGTGAAGTCATCTCGAGGACTCTATGACTCTATTTTGTAAATGGAGAGCTTGTCGTGGCTGATTGACTATGCTTCAATGCATGGTCGTTAGCTGGTGGGGCCAGCCGTGAACCCAGAAACGCAAGTCTATGCGAAGCACCGAAGTGTTTCCAAGACAATTCCTCGTTTCTACAGGCTACGCTGATATATGTTATACAGGCTACCTACCACAGCAGCCTTCGGTACAAGAGTAGCAGTCCGTAGGTTTATGATTATTCAGTTATCTATAACAAGCATACTTCCGTCTTACTTGCGCACCAGGTAACAAGTTTCCAGAGATTTGAAAAACGCCCCAGGAATGACGTTGATGAGAGACCGTCTTCGAATCCTACCAATGACTGCCAGCTTTCCAGAGACTCGTTTGTCTACTAACTCCAGCTCAATTAGCTTATATATATAGCCCCGCCATCTTGCCAGGTGGGGGTTTGGGAGTCTCTGAAATTGCTCGGGTACTACAAGAAACTGCTTAAAAACCAAAAGGTACCTCACATACAAATATTACAAGCCATCGATATAGATCAATTGCCAAGATGAGTCGTATTTCCGATGTGATCAAAAAGGACCAGCAGGAGATGCGAAACAATTACCAGCACATCATTGAAGCGCAGGACAATGAAACCAAGGAGCGCTGGGGAAACCAGGTAATGAAATGTCCAAGTTGCATAAAACTTCTTGCGCTGAAAGAATGAGGATAGTTCGTTTGGGAACTAGCCCGTTATACAGTGGCGGAAGAGCTCATTGTATACCCGGCCCTTGAATCCCATATGGATCACGGCAAGATCATAGCGGACAAAGATCGCAATGAAAACAGACAGGTATCTTCTAGACTTGCATTTCTCCCCCAGGAATAGAACAGAAATAAACTGACGAGTGGCCGTGATAAACGAAGATCAAGGAGATGCTGGCCCAATTCCAGGAAATGTCTCCAAGTGATCCACGATATAGACCAACGTTGGACTCCATTATGACAAAGCTCAACAAACATATCGACGAGGAGCAGGAAGAAGATCTTCCGTCCCTCGAGTCCGTTCTAGACCCTCCTGAGTCTCAACAGATCTCGAGGAGATTCGAGCGTACTAAGATCTTGATGCCAACTCGGGCACACCCGAACGCACCAACTCAGCCGTACTTTGAGACTGCAGCGGCCTTCATGCAGGCACCAATGGATCGCATTGCCGACATCATGTGGAGAGAATTCCCCGAGTACTAGGGCTGTTCAAAACATAACGAGAAGCACTTTTAACTCTTGCAATTGATGCGGATAAGAACAAGGTGCAGAAATGTTTTTGGGTTCAAGTATTTGAATAATGTACGGAGTACACCGTAGTAGCAGTTAATCTTCCCCCTGCGAACGAATCGATGCCGTAATTTTTATGATATTTCTTGTTAAGTCTTTGACTCATATTGGGCCTCAGGCGGAGAATGAGCCGGGCCAATAGTAAATCCGAGAGTAGGTATTTAACTAGGCGGTGTGGTGAGCTTCCAATCGGCGGAGTCCTAATTGCCGCCGCTTCAGACGGCGGCGATTACTAATTCGCCTCCGCCGCAGGAAAGGCCGAAAAAGCATCCAAACTGCCCAAGACCCTTTGCTGAATGCCAGCTGCTTTGTTGTGGTGGAATATCCCTAAATTATAGCCCTGTGTTTATCCAATGTCACAGCGGGCGCTCGTTACTGCAGGCCGCCGTGCCACCAAAGTTCATAGCTCTGCGCCTCAGTCTCAACCATCACGATGCCTATTCTCATCGAGTCCGAAAACCAAATTTAATTCCCCCAGATTCTTCTTTCGAGCACAAGATGCGCCGTTGGTCTCGTCTCTAGTCCCTGAACCCTGGTTATCGCAACTTAGTCGAACGCAAACACATAACCGAACCTCATCAAATCGCCGACTGCGCTTTTCAACCACAGCTACGAGGCTCGCTACAACAGCATCTTTGAACCCGAGGGTGGACGATGATGGAAGCCCCATGACGATTGAAATTTCCTCTCGTGCTGAAAAGGTATGCCAGAATTGTTTTGTGGGAGCGCGCAGTGGCCCTTCATTCGCGGAATGGTGCTCCAAGGAAATATGAGGCCCACTATTTTGATCGCAAGAGAATCCTTGGTCCCCATCATAGTGCGTGTTGTTTAATACTCCTAGCACATACGACCATAGGAAGTGGAATACAGGGCTTCCCGTCCGCTCAGCCGTACTTAAGCCACTTGCCGGCCGGCTAGTAGTTGGGTGGGTGACCACCAGCGAATCCCGGCTGTTGTATGTTTTTTTTTCGGGGGAATCTTGTTTGTATCTTTTTTCACTATGGGTATTTTGTGGATTACCCAAAATATGGATTTGCTAACATATACTTTGCCAGCGTCTTCGAGAACTAACAAATCCTGTAACCTCCAAACCATCCCTAACTTCAAATTCCGAACCCTACGACCATCTCCGCGTCACCGTCACCAGCGGCGGCTGCCACGGATTCCAATATCTCATGTCCCTGGACCCAGCTTCGAAAATCGATTCTGAAGACGACACTGTTTTTGAAGCAACTGCTGAAGATGAATCCACACCACCCGCTGGACAGGCAAAAGTTGTTATGGATCTTGCCTCGCTGGAACTGCTGAGGGGCAGTACAATCGATTACACAATCGAGCTGATAGGAAGTCAGTTCAAAGTTGTGAATAATCCAAGGGCTACAAGCAGTTGTGGATGTGGAACAAGCTTCGATGTTCCAGAGTGACGGAGAAAATATAAAATACAGATCCCTCAAAAATAATTTTGGCGAGCCCTCACTGTTTACAAGAGACATCAGGATGTTTTGTAATCCAACTCTATCTATCCTTCTTGGCCCCGCCTGTATAGTACACAACATAGGTATTGTATACCACAGAATCACCCTTGCTTCTTAGCCCTTAGCATGAAAGTAGGAGGGTACAATAGGAAAACTTCATTAGCATAGCGATTTAAGATTTTAGTGGCCATCAGCGCCGAACATGAGAAGAAAATTTCTGTATTTGCTGGAAACGAAAAAAAAATTTGAGTTAGAAGTTATTGGACAAAAACCAACACTGACTCCATACCCCCAATAGTTAGCCGTTAGACACACTTGTTTTTCATGGGACATGATATTAAACCACCGTTCATCATAGCATTTTCTATTTCGTCATGGAGCACCTAGTAAGTCCGGGCAAGGTTACGCAAATACCAGTCCACCAATCTTCTTCCAGCTTTAGCTTCGCTGATATGTATCAAATCCCCTTCAATAGCGTAGTCCAGATCGCTGGAATTGACAATTTCACCCTCCAAAAGACCGCCTTCGGACCATCTGACTTGCCGGCTGCGAAGCTTGTTGACGAGGAGCCACGAGCGAAGCTGTTCGGGTTCAATGTCGAGGAAACCAGCAAGTTTCTTCAAATCCATGGTTGTATAGAGCTTAAGGTATGATTTGACGGTTGGGTTGCACAGGGTGTTACGGACTTCATCCATAAAGATAGCTGTGTAGTGATCGACAGGGTCGACGTTGAGAGATGGATTGTCAAAATCTGGGGGAGTGGGGCTGATAAATTTCGGGCAAGCAGAGCGGAATAATTCCTCGAAAAGAGGGAGGGCATCCGGGCCTCCACGTTGTAGACGGATGAACTGATCGCCATACTTTTCACGCAGGGCGGAATGGATGGTATCGTCCAGCCGGGTAGGGTGGAAACCGACACAGATGGCCACGAGCGCAAGAATTTGGTCATTCTTCTTGGCAATCGCATCGAAGCTCTCTCGGCCCTTTTGAAAATTCTTGGTTCTCGAGACGTAGACCAAGATGTGGCTGAAGGTGCGGATGGCGTCCGCATAGCGGCGCATCATCATGTAGGAGAAACCAACATAGTAATACGTGGTAAAATGGGCAGCCATAACCCGGGCAAACATGGCTTTTTTGTTCATTTCAATGTCATCCAGGGTCTTGAGCGCGAGGCTGAAATCGCCCAACAAGCAGTGGACACGTAGAAGCCCGATGATTGAGAAGTACCCCAGCATACGATAGAGGGGGCGAGAGCCATAATCTCCAGCAACGGTCATTGGGTCCTCGTTGGCCTTGATAGCGGCGAGCTGCTCATTAATCTGAGAGCGCTGGATAAGCGAGTAGAGGACATTGAGTACAGAGTAGCAGCCCCATGTGTTTGGGTTTTCTCGCAAGAGCTGTGCTTCCTCTTCATTCGACCCGGTTCGCGCAACCCGATTCCGGTAACGGCAGAAGGATTCAAATTGGTAGATGAACTCATCAATCACATCCCATGCCCAGTAATACTAACAGTATATAAAAATTAGCGTCGCAGCCTTCCTAGTACAGGAATGACATCAAATAGCAGCAGGACAGCCTACCGAAGGCACCTCTAAATCCACCGGCCCGTCCGAATTCAAAATATAGTGAAACAGACTGCAATAGTTATCGTAACTCGCAAATTTCGTTTCGAGGGTCGCCTGGAATTCCAACGGGGTGGCCGCAGCCGCCAGCTGGGCCTGAATCCCTTGCGATTGTGAAGTAGCTCCTAGCGACGTAGTGTGCTCCAACTCGCTCATTCCATCGTCGAAGTGTACCTGCTCTTTATAGTTGTTTACCAGGGCCTCTTCTTCGACATCGGATTCATCCTGCAAGTTGGCAGGTTGCCGGCTTGCTGGGTACGCTGAGTGGACGTCGACGGACATTCTCGTGGTAGCGAAGACAATACCTTGAGTATTGAGCTTAAACGCGGCGTGCGTAAGGTGTCTCGCCCGCGTGGACGTTGGGGTTGCTTCGAACGTAGATTTTTGTGGTGGAATTGGCGGATTTCGAAACCTAGGTAGTTAGTTAACTAATCAATCATGTGACCGATCTCGCCTAGCCAGCTCTGACGGCAAAAACCCTAGGCCCACAATCCATTAACAACTTCTCGTCAACCATTTTTCAACAACCAGCCTATTCTATCACCATGGTATGTGAATATTCTATCCAAGCTAGCATACATGACTAAAGAATAATCCATAGTCAACTGCAAAGGTGAAGACTGGACAACTCTGGGGCAAGAGCAAGGATGAACTCGTCAAACAATTAGATGAGCTTAAAACTGAATTAGGCCAGCTACGTGTTCAAAAGATTGCTGGAGGTGCTGCATCTAAGCTCACCAGAATGTAAGTGAGAGTTATTTTTGACTTCGAGTTTTGAAGATTTAAAAGGCTGATAAAGACCTGTCATTGACAATAATAGTCATGATCTTCGCAAATCTGTCGCGCGAGTCCTCACAGTTATCAATGCAAATCAACGAGCACAACTTCGTCTCTTCTACAAGAACAAAAAATATCTTCCACTTGACCTTCGACCAAAACGAACTCGTGCCATCCGCAGACAACTCACAAAGCATGAAGCCTCACGTATCACAGAGAAACAGCAAAAGAAACGAACACATTTTCCCCAGCGAAAATATGCTGTAAAGGTATAATAACTTCACTTATGCATATCTTGCGATTATGATCACTAATCTTGTTTCTACCTAGGCTTGAATACAAGGGGGGCATACACTATTTTTCTCTATTTCTGTTTCGCTTCAGTTGCTGAGTGCTTTGTGCTTATCGTATCTAAGCGGTAGTTTGTCACGTCATGGATATGTACAAATCGACATAGGAGATATAGATGCGTATAGAGCACTCAGACTACTCCGTACTACTAGAAGTGAAGCTAAATGATTATTTACGCATGTTGTTCATGCTAGATAGTTGAGCGGCAAAGGTATGGTTTGATGCGGACAGCTCAACGCTACCAATATTAAAAAGGCAGAGAATGACGGAATGCATCATAAAACTCTGACTATAGAAAATCCCTTCCCCTTCAAACCGAGCAAGATGCAATGATATAGGGTATCTAACAAGAAGAAATATGATAAGTAAAAAGTGGCCTGATTTCCACAACCCTAAGACCTTGCTTGTAACAGATAAAAAAGGTGAGAGATGCTTCCAATGAGACATGCATGCACACCGAACGCTACGCAATGCAGAAAAATAGGCTTCGATGTAAAAGATAGTAGGAAAGATGGCCAATTTTCCATAGTTCAGGCAAAGGGAAATTTCAAACAGTGATGGCTATATCGGACCATCTGGCACCCTGTGGCACAGAATCATAGATTTTAAGTCGGTCCAATCCATCGGAATCATCATCACTTTCGTCTAAATGGAGTATTTCGAACCGATTGGCCATTGGATTCAATTTTTTTGCCTGTGGAGAGGCTTCTTTCCTTCGTAATGGTGGAGATCTTCGCAACGATCCAGCACACTCATCGGGGTAGAATTCGATTCTCATCATCTTATACGGCATTCGGGACCTCATGCAATTGCGAGCGTACGATGCTTTTTGGACGGAATTGGTAGAGATATATGCGTTTCTTTGGGAAAAGGTAACAGATATTATGACTAAATTGTGAATATGCTTCATGTCCTCTCGGATCTGGGCCTCAGTCACATTTGGGTGGACGCCGCGAATCAAAATATTTCTCGATGCACCGTTGGAAATTTGTGTGGCAATGTATTGCGATAGAATGAATGGGCGATCGGCCCAAGAGACGTCGACCTACAATTCCTTTGTCAGTGAATGGTAATACCTCACCAAAACGTTGACCAACGTACCGGTTTATCAAGTATATAAAAACGATATCGTTTAGTATGGGCCATAAATTGTTGAGCCGCTGTGCTTTCAGCAAAAGAGATACTAGCCATATGATCCCTAGATCGAAAAAATATATCCAAGACACGCCCTCCACGAATGGCTCCGATGACATCAGCGTAGGTAGCCCGATCGGGAATTCCCTTCAGGGTGACAGTGCGGTTATCGGGACCATTCCCGCGGTATTTGACTGGCCCCTCAGCGGAATAAGGAGAATCCAGCTTTCCATCACTAGGAACCGAAATATCATCGGGGTCGACTGAGCTATGGCGCACGGGTGTTCTTATTACGGGGGTTTTAGGACAATGGTAGGACGGGCGGTACGGGCCAACGGTCAAGTGTCCAGGGTCATCATACTTCTCATGCACGGACGGTTTCAACTGAGCATCGGAATTCAGCGTTGGAGAAGTGTCTTCTTGTGGTACCCCAAAAGAATTTTCTGAGCTATAGATCAAGGTCTTACAGAGGTGTAAGTAGGGTAGTCTCAACGAACGTCAAGACAAGAGCTCTCACGTCAAGTGACGACTGGGGAATTCCGCCTTGGATCAGAGCGTGCTTCAATGTCTCTAGCCACCACAAAAAATATCTATTTAGAAACTGTCCAGTGAATGGTCGACCAGGTACAACACACCGTACTCGCGGGACCTGCGAAGCTGCCCAAGAAGTCATTAGCAAATTCGCTCAAAGTATGAAGAGAACAAGGCTCACTAGAGTGTCATATTCGGATTTGAGAATGGTTACAGACATAGCGTTCGGCGGGTTCGAAGTTCGGGATACACTTCGCTAGCAGGAAGCTTCGATTAGGGGAGAGTCTTGGTAAAGGGCTCAAGAAGGGTATTGTTACGCCGAAAAGCCTACTACTAGTATGACGAAGTATTTTTTTATTAGCCAAGAGGTTGGTGTTCAAAGCCAGATGAGAACGACAGCAACAAGGGGACGGAAACGAGTAGAATGTAAACTCCATACCTTGAAACAGATCGGTCAAAGAAATCGCCGTCAGGTCGAGTAGGATAAGTCATTTGTTGAATTTGCATCGATTGCGCTAGAATAACTCGCATAGAGCGCTCACGATAAGTCAGCCAGACACCTACCAGAGAGGGAGAGCCACGGCCTCAACACAACAGCGGATTCCAAACCCAGCTGCAGCAATGGAGGCCCAAGCGGCAAGTACGCATGTGCTCTACAGCCATAGGCCGGATGCCGGGGAAGCAGAAGCAATAGACTTGCTGGGAAGCACCAAGCACACTCTGGCGAGCTCTACGGAGTAGTCTTGCGTGCTCAGGGGTGACGGCCAGGAGATACGGAGTACATACACCAAGCTTGGGCGAGCTTTCCCCTGGGCGCTGAGCTTAGCGGGCGCTACATAACTTAGTTAGGTAGCGGGCGGCGCGGAACATCAGACGCCATTTATTATTGTGCGGTTCGCCCCCGCGCGCACGCGCCTAGCCAGCAACCAGCCAGCAGCGGGCGGCGTTTAAAACGGCGACATTCGCACGGGGCGCCACTCTTGAACGGTTTACGGTCAAGGCCATTTGTCTTTGCATGCCCGTGCTGCAGCTCATCCTGGCCTTGTGTTATTATTCTTTGGTAGCCTTTTGCTCCTTGTGGATTCCATCAGGAGCCCTAAAAAAACACCTAGCGCTCTCGACGCCGAAAAACGCCACCGCCCAAAAAGAATCAGTCGAATTTAATCCGCCAAACAGATACTTTTGCACTCTAAACCGACCACAGTATTTTTAGGACTTATAAGGCTCTGAGATGGGGGCTACTAACGATCCTTCGCCCCTGTGGGATGCGAGCTGGTAGGCCTGGCAAGAACATCCTAGGTTTGAAACATGGTGAAGGGATTCAAGTGCCTGAGGCAAATTTCAGTTCATGCCGTGTTTCTGCGAATGGGATGTGTGATGAGACTAATCAGAATTTGGCAGACACTCGCCTATGATCGCAACTGAAACAGGCTGTGATGTACCCTGCAACAGAGAGCATTATTGGCTCCCCATGCGAAATCTCGTGCCCCCAGGGTTACCGAACCAAATGTGAGCTTGTTTTGGCAGGCGATTTACGTTTCAATTCGAAATGTTGCCCAGGCATGCATGGCCCATGTCAGCGTGTCATCAACGTTTTGTTTTTTAGGATTCGATAATAATTTGAAACTCAAGCCATTTCATCAACTGACTACCATGATATAACGACAGAATAAGCAATCGAAATCAACTGTAGATGGCTCCCTAAAAAGCAGGTTATACCTGCAAATTGTGGCACAAAACACAGAGCACAGGAAGACATACATAGCTAAAAAGAAAAAAAAAAAGATTTAAGGGTATCATTACAAGCTTGGCATTCGTCTCAACCACTTCAATTGGTTTGGGTCGCAAGCACCTTGAGCTCCTCGCTTCTGACATTCACCTTATTCTGGGGCCGCATGGTTTTAATCAAAATAAAACCGGTGTAGACGAACGCAATGAGAGCCGAGAAAACAGCATACGCAATGGCGCCCGGTCTAGCCACACCAGGTTGGCCGAGCCCGCTGTATTTGAAACCAAGTCCGCCATTCACAATTCCCAAAACAAGGAAAATACGGCCACCCCAGCGGTGGAAGATGCCGAAGGTGCTCCGTCCACCGGTTTTTCTAAAGTGCAGATGTTGTAGCAAGCCAAGTGCCGGCTGGAAAAGCACTAAAAAAGCAACTACGACTATCCCGATGATGGGGTGATAGCCATTCAAGGAGTTGTTGTCGATTGCAAGCGAGACACCAATGCCGAAACCAACAATAGCGAGACACAAAGCGATCATCTGAAGAGGGGCGTGGATAAACGGAACAGTCTTGGGCGAGGGAACGGCATAGAGGCTGAGAGCCAAGAGCGGGAAAAGAGCCACAAAGGTGGTGGACATGAGTACTGCATGCGAGGTTCGTTTGATGGAAGCCGCGGACTGCTGAGGCCGGCCGGTCGGGTTCGGTCGACCGCTCGGGCTGGGTGAAGAGCTGAGGCCCTGGAAGGGGTTATTGGAAGAACCACCAACAGCTCTGGTGAGATCTAAGTTGAAAGTTCCCAGCGAGTCGTGTCGCCTGATGCGCTCGTTGATACTGGTGGACTGGAGAGGACTGCCACTCTTCATAGCCCAGATCCATGAGCTAGCGGAATCCGTCGGACGCATGTTCCCTCCTTCCCATGTCAGGCAGTTGTCACATCTGATATTGGCGGTCATCTTGCCGTTCGAGATACCAGTGCCGTCGACCAGCGAGAACCTGGTAGCAGTGTTCACCGGTGGCTCAAAGCGGCCTGTTGCCAGTCTCGGTGAGACGGTGACATTGTTCGAGGATGCTCCGTAGACCAAAAAGATATTAGCATTTCTCATGCTGCTACCCTGGCCTATGCCGACCCATTGAATATTGCTCGGAGCCTCCACCTGGATAAAAATGGGGCCATTCCCGGACGAAGCAGTGTTTGAAGGGACATTGACGCGGAATTGTACTCCCTGGGCACTCGAGGGCGCATGCTGAACGGTCTGACCTACGGCGCCTGACGCTGAGGAAGCTGTTAGGAGTTGGTTTGTAGCGCGGCATTATGGCTGCAACTCACCCAGGGCCAGTGTGGCCACGGAAAAGGCTGAAGAGAGCCGCATTTTCAGACAAGTGATACCGAAGGTTGTAATAATAAGTGGTAGCAGAGGTAAACAAACGGAGGCGAAGGGAACTGGGACCGTCTTTATAATTGCTGCGCTGTGACTGGAGGCCGCAGAGACTTTGACGGCGATCCAGGGGAAACCCGCATGGGTCAAGCCAGAATCTTATTAATATTTATTATGATTCTGGCAGCGACTGGACAGGGTCCTGGCCATGTTTGACATGGATCTGAGGCGTGAGTGCATTTCCACTCTGGGGAACTCCGCCGCGTAAAACCTTCAGCGGCTTGGGGGAGGCGTACAGGGCCGCTCAGCCCCAGGCGTAATCACAGGCAGCCAATTGGCCGGGCAGGATTTGCTGGTTCGAGCCTTAGCTGGGCCGTGAAACCGTCGGCCAAGGGCGAGAGGACGCAGAGCGTCTCTGGGTGCATGGCCAGCCGGTCTGGCAAGCGGGTTTGCGGTGCGCCAGAGCTGGTGAGCGAGTTTCGCTCGTCGCGGCGGCTCTCCCAGTCGGCGCGCCAAGAGCGCGCCCAAGCCGCCGCACGGCTGGTGGCGCTTAGTAAGGCTCGCGCAAGCATGACTGGCCCAGGAACACGGCGCCGATTGCAAATTACTTGGTTTGAGACTCCTCCCCGCAGGCCATGGCACGTCTGAATAATCATAAATAATACGGAGTACGGAGTACTGATTTATTCAAGCAGACTCTGTGGGGAGGGGCGCATGCATGTAACCGAACTCCACCTGCCGTGCTGACGCAACCTCGTCCAGCACCAACCAACACCCAGGCTTGGATGACTCGCACCGAGATACGATTCCGGCAAGATTAGGTTGCCCCAGCCGAATCGCTGTACCTGGACAGCCGGCCGCCAGAATATTTTTCTTCCTCATCATTATCATCATCTTCTTCTAAGTTGAGACGCTCGCGGCTGGATGCACAGCCGCCAGCCTCGGTGCGACCCAAAAATACTTGCTACGAAGGATCAAGCTCCAGCGCCATTAATTGCGGGTACGGAGTATATGGAGCTCGACTAGCGAATAGTTATTCGCCTGATTCCATTCCCAGCAGCCAAATTCCCACCGGCATCCACTGCTCTACTGCTGTGCCGGTTTTTGCGGTGAACCGATAGAATCTGGTGGCCGACGTCTCCACGCTCTAGCGGCCCTGCATCTTGTTTTTTTTTTTTTTTTTCCTTTGGGCGGACGTGCAGCTCTTGTCGCTTTTTCTACATTCAGTTGGATGGGGGCTCAAAATCCCCCCAATTTTGGGTTTTGATACTTGGTGTCGGTTCTTCTAGAAAGGATTCCTAAAATATAGATAATGAGACTAATACTGCTATTGAGCCTATAAATAGCGGCGGGTCGGATATATATCTCAGTACAACAGCATATCGGGGCGACTAAACAGAAATAAACGGCCCGAAACGCGAATGAAGGAGTGCAAAAATACTCTGCATTCGCTGGAATGGACACCGAAGTACCCTCAGCGGACCCGGTTTCCTTAGATGGCGATTCCGGTAATTTAATATGGCAGAAGGAAGCTAGGGTGGCCGATTCGGATTGTGGCACCGCAGGCAGTGCAACACACCTTTATAGGAACACTATGGCGTGCTTGATCCTATTGGTAGCGACACGTTGGGCTTCTCTGTCTTGTCTAGAATAGTCTTGATCATCTCATTTCCAACCCTCACAGCTTCAGGAAATCGTGGTGCGAAATAGCTTTGAATTCGCTCGAATCGATCGCGGTAGGACTCAAAGTCACCAAAGGAGACGCAGTCCGACCATGCCTAGAAAATGGCGGCATCAGTGGGCGCTCAGAGGCGTAACTATAACTACAACGGAAGCTTCTACCAAAAGGCCCACTTACACGAGCAGCGAATGTAAACTCGAGATCATCTGAGCGGAATGTATTATCATCAAGAGCAATGTCAAGAACCTCATCAAGAAGTTCTTCTTTTCGAAATAGATACTCAGTTACCCCTAGCCACAGACGGAAAAGCTATGACACGCGTCAGAGAATTGAGGGGGAAATAGTCCAAAAAGGAAACTCACTGGGGTTGAGCAAATCATATGGTCGTATGGCACAATGCCTAACTTCCACCAACAATCAACAATCGCCAACAGGCTGAGATGGTTGTTTGGCATCTTCTCCGTTAGCCCTCTTGACAGGGAAAATCGGTCAAGCATTTCATCTTCAAGCAGGAGGTTCTGCTTCTCTGCATCCGACTTGAACACAGCTGCCCTGGCAGCCTTGACCCTATCTTTAAGCTCTTCTCTATGGCCCCCTAACATCAACTTATACAATTCTGTGACAGACTCTGCATACTGGCGGATTTGCTTTCGGGCAGCTGGGTTAAGGATTGCAAGCCCAGCATAAACGTGCCATTTGTTGGAATAAACACGCAAAGTGATGTTGATTTTCACATTTTCAATGCCACCTACATAACGAGGAATCTCCCAAGGAAACTGATTGTTAGCATGCCACGCCGTACCCATGCTGAGAAAGGCGGCATGAGTTACAGCTTGTGTGTCGGCAGTGATTCGATCATGTCTCTCTCCACTGAGATGAACGTATTTGGACTCGAAAGAGGAGAATACTCGTTCAACAAACCTAAGACTCTCTTCTGAGGCTCTATGCTGGACCAGGACCTAAACGCCGCTGTTACTCTTTTGCTGGCTAGAATACAATGATGAAATTTGCAATCTTGATGCATACCAGTGGTTGTCCTTTCGGATTCACGTTGGGGCCATGCAATGAATGAACAGATATGATTTCAACATCGTCTGGGAGGTACTTTTCAAAGGCAGCCAGCTCAGGGGCTTTGCAGGATGTTTGACCGCCAACAATCGCGCCAACCTTGGTTGCTTTTATAAATGTTAGATAACTCAACCGGTTGACCATGCGCTGATTCCAAAGTTGCATACATGGACCGTACTCTGCCACAATCTTTTCAATGGCTTCTGCCTCTACACTGTAGATAATGTAGTCGCTAATTCTCGAGACCAAATGCCCGTTGGGCAATATATTGATATTTTTCTACACCAAAAGAAATAATAATTAAACATCAATATCAATTGATGGCAACAGTCAACATACATCAGCCCTAAACTCGTCCCTCAATGTGTCATAATTGGACGGCTTATCGCAGGCATTGATGCTAATATACTTATGTTAGTAGTTATGTGTCGAAGGGTAGTCCGAAAATCTATGATATCGCTCGTCATTAGCAACTGGACACTCCCAATATTTGCATTCCAAAGAGTAAACAAGGATAATAAAAAGTCAGACAAAATATAAGTTTAGGTAGCTAGCATTTACATCAGTGACGGAAGGATATCTTCCACTAGACCAGAATAGTATAGCGGTCAATATCCCAACCATGCTCGAGCCAAATGCGCTCTAGTCATCATGCAAAAGGGCGTCAAAGCAAAATAGAAACAAGAATTTACTCACCATGTATTGGGGAAGCAGCATGTTATAGCTTAATAATGAGATGAAGCTCAATGCAAGGGAGTTTACCTCCAGCCCGCCGTGCTCAACCGCTGGGCATACATCTTGCCCATGTCGCCCATGCCGATGATCCCAATGGATTTTCGAAAAGAAATTGGCTGCGCCATTGAAAAGAATGTATAATTATATCTTTCAGGGTCCAAATAAGTTCAAAAATAAAGAAGGCTTGAAAAGCAAGATAGCTATGATCAGGCCAGCATACCAGAAAACATCACGAGAGTAGAAACAGCTTTTGGAAAGAGATGTTTCCAACACTGCTATATATAAGCGGACCACCACTAAAAACACATTCACTGGTCGTTTCGATCACTCGAAATGATTGTAACCGTAGGCTAGTTAATCGTCCACAGACAGAGTGAAGAGGAAAAGAAAAACAAAATGAAAAATTGTTGCTTTTTGATGCTCGGCTTGATTAGTCATCTGGCTTCACCGTTCCGTCTTAAGGGCCGATTAGGGCACACGCGGAGAAGCCCTAGCGCCAACCACCAGAAGAAATCGATATCGCGAGATGGTTTGATGAACTTCTTCTTTTTCTCCATCCACAGCATCCTCCACCCATCGCAGTGAAAATGGCCCCCAAGAAGAAGACCGACAAACCCGCCACCACCGAGAACGTCTCTCTCGGACCTCTGTCCGGAGATGGTAAGAAATTGCTCCAGCATTGACTTTTCCCATGACTGAGATGGCTGATTTCGATGTAGGCAAGCTCGTTTTCGGTGTTGCCCGCATTTTCGCTTCCTTCAACGATACCTTCGTCCACGTTACCGATCTCAGGTCCGTTCTCATACTTAAACCTCCTTGACCAACTCTCAGCTATGAAGTAGTAGAATGATATGAGGACTAACAGCTTTGCAGTGGTCGCGAAACCATTTGCCGTGTTACGGGCGGTATGAAGGTCAAGGCTGATCGTGACGAGTCCTCTCCTTACGCTGCCATGTTGGCTGCGCAGGATGTGGCTGCCCGCTGCAAGGAACTCGGCATTAACGCTCTTCACATCAAGATCCGTGCCACTGGAGGTATGTCAGAATTCCAACGTGCATTGCCGTCCATGCCTTTCCACATCTTTGCGCAATTGGTGTGCTAAAACTTGCTCGTCCATAGGTAACGGTACCAAGACTCCCGGCCCTGGTGCTCAGTCCGCTCTCCGTGCTTTGGCTCGTTCCGGAATGAGAATTGGCAGAATTGAGGACGTCACTCCCACCCCCTCCGACTCCACTCGTCGCAAGGGCGGTCGCCGCGGTCGTCGTCTGTGAGCGAGTTACGTTACTTTCTACAGCTGTGCTACGAATGTGTTGCGGCTGGAGCGAAGGATGGAATGCATGGATATTCCGAATATCATTTTGCAATCACGTGGATGGAATAACGCGAAGAACGGCGTTTCTGCCTGGTCTTCTTTCTTTTCCAGAGTTTTCTTTTGCTTGCCTCCGATGTATGAGTTAGCGCTCTCATATACTTGAATCGAATCTAAGCAATCCAAAACTTTCCAATTGTCTCTCCTTTAGACTTTTCTCAGTGCTCCGCTTTTTCTGTGGAATGCGTGTAGACTATGTAGTATGACTCAAATTTTAGGGCTATTATTCCACACCTCGCAATGTTAACCCAACTACTCTGTACTGGCAAGCTTACCCCTCTATGCTAGACAAAGAGTTTGTTCATGCCTGTATAGGGAGCATTCTGTACTCTTATGCGATAATTTGTACTTGTATAGGCCCGCGAAAGTTAATTCAGACCCCGCAATCAACCCCTTTCTTATAGCCACTTCATTTGATTCCACCGCAAACACCGCAAACTCTTGCAATCAATGTCAGGATCTCCGCGGCCAAGTCCTACGCTGGTTATTAGCGAACTTCCTTCCAAAACCCTGGTGGGTATTGACCTCTTTTCCTTTACATCAACGCCCAATTTCTATGGAGTGAAAGATCTGCCTGAAGGGTCCCACTTTTTATATACCGGCGCAACAGAGAGCTTTTCGCTTAGATGTGGTGAATGGCTTGTTGTTCGTAACAATGGTGATATTGGCAATCCACGGCAGCTAAGCCATGAAATTGACATCGGCATTAGGCTCAGAAAATGGGACAAAGCGGTTGAGAATATTGTGCCTCTAGACGAGAATAATGATTTGGGAAGACAAGAAGCTATGAAAATAAGAGCTAATCTGGGGGTAATCTGGGCCTCTGGTGGCTTGCTTTCATACCAGTCACAATTAAATAAGGAGCGAAACCAGATCAGGGATGATGGAGATGGACGAAGGTTTCATAGCACCGAGCACAGTCCTTCCCGAATAGATTGGCAAGAGCTGTCATGTTATATCACTCCGATGGTGCTCAATCGTATCCTAGGAGAAGCGGATTTCTCTAACCCCCACGTTGAAGAACGTTGGACGATTTCCTCTGGAAGCTCCGCTGCAAAAGATGCCGACCATATTCCCGGCCTGTCCAAAATAGACACCGCCAATACGATAGGAATTGCGAGTGAACACGGAAAAGAGTTGATGTTTCTTCCTATTGATCTGAAGCGTACATGGCGAGAGGGAGCTATAGGGCGCGAACGTACAGAGGCGGCTCAAGACCGCTCGTGGGCACTTGGAGATATCATTAGGCATGTTAGCTCGATATCTCAATTATCTTACGCTGATAAGGACACGACAGGGGAAGAGCAGCTACTTGGTGAACTACAGTTTACTTTTCTGATGGTTCTTACTCTCATGAATTTCTCCTGTATGGAACAGTGGAAGCGACTGCTCAGCCTGGTATTGACGTGCAGAAGTGCGATAACGGAGCGAGAACCGTTTTTCGTCGAAGTCTTACAGCTTTTAAGGCTCCAGATGAGGCATTTTGATGATGTTGAAGGCGGGTTGTTTGAGATGGACGGTGATGATAGTGGAATTCTACTCAGGAAACTTCTTACCACTTTCAAACAGTCTGTAAAAGATATACAAAGCGGTTATGGGACAAAGGTTAAGGAAGAGCTTGCTTGTATGGAGGCTTGGGTAAACTCTCAATACGGATGGGAACTATCGAGGGACTCCATTGTGCGTCGTGGCTTAGTGGAGCTAGAAGATGGAGAACAAATTGAAATGGAGCTGAATGGGGCGGAGGCGGAAGATGAGACGGGTGAATATGCTCCTGTTATTGTTGAACTTGAAGAAGGCTCCGAAGAGTCCTCAAAACCTGACATGGACATGCAGATGTGATACCTTAAATCATATGTACCTCCATTATAATATAATGGGATTTCCATATTTATGATTCACTACAAGTCGAAACGACCTCTTGCTGAGAGTACTCCGTATATCATAATCAACACTCCATCAACATTTCTTTTTTCGAAAATTTAAATGCTATTTCTGCCAGCTATATGGCAAGGAGAGAAGAATGTCTCTTACCCTTGAGTATCAAGAGGTAGTACTATCCATCTCAATGCGTCAATGTTACAAAAGGTGTATGGTTCTACAGGGTTGACTCAATGTTGTAATCCAAGACGTGCCTAGATGAACAAGTATCCTGAATGATCGAGGCCAGGAAAATGAATGGTTCAAGGACCCTAGGCAAATATCGTGGAACCATCTGTCGAACAAACTTCTTGATAATTTTAATAGAAGGTTGTGCCATTTGCGCAGATAGCATTATTTCGTTCCTCTTTTTTTCATACAAAGGAACAAAACGTAAATATTTGGAACATGACATTTCCATCCCGTCCGTCCCAGCGCCAGCAGTCCGTCCCCCGGCACTCCTCCAACCGTCGCTGTCCACGACGCGCCCAGAAAAGCATCGCAAAAGTAAATATCGGTTTAACGGTAGGATTTCTGGAAACGAGCGCGAGCACCTGGACCACCGAATTTCTTGGGCTCCGCCCGTCTGTTATCGGCAACGAGGAGAGTTCGGTCAAATTGCACGAAGGCTTGCTTGAGCTGGTTCTTGGAGTGCTCATCAACGAATTTTTGGTAGTAGGCGACTAAGGATTTTGCGATGGCTTGTCTAATGGCATAGATCTGGGAGGTATGGCCACCACCGGTAACACGGACTCGGATATCGACGTTGGCGAACTTGTCAAGGCCAACGATGAGGAGGGGTTCGTAAACCTATAGGTCCAAAAAAAAGCCATAGGGTCAGAACGAATTCGATGTTAAGCCGCAGGGTCCAAAATATAATCTTGTAATAGTCGTTTCGGCCTCATGTTTCCTACTGTTTTGGGCCTTCCTCTCCACTTTAGGATAACTGCGTACCTTGAATCTGAGAATTTCAGGCTGGACCAGAGAGATTGGCTGTCCGTTGACCTTAATGAGACCTTTGCCTTGCTGTTTGAATATCTTAGCACATGTTCCACCCGTTCCATCTGGAAGCCCAGCTCGATCGATAATTTGTTCGTACCTTGCAGTGAGCGACAGCGGTAGCTAAACGTAAAAGACATGCCTGTTAGCCAAAGTCCAACTTTCTTCCAGCCAAGATGAAGCAAAAGGTGTAGGGAACAAAAATGTCCGTACCTGTCTTCTTCTTGCCGAAGCATTGCACGCTTGGAGCAGCAGCCATGATTGTAAATTGATGGGCAGATGGCGATAGTCGGCGTGCAGAAATCGAGGGTTGCCGTCGGGGGTGTCGTTGCCGTCGCGCTGCTGATGAGCCCTTCAATCGATATTCAAAAAGTCGAATTGGTGGGTTTGTTCGCTTAGTGTGCGCCTAGGGTAGCTTACCTAAGCCACCCAAAATATTTCAACTCTGTATGGAGTCCACTAGTTATATCACGTGCAATGGTGAGGAACCTTTTTGCGGTCAGAAGAATCGATGGCCTGCCCGTTCGAAATCGACGTTCGCAGTATCCACGGCCAAATTTGTCAATTTGGCAAAGCTATCTACCGAGCGCCACATTTTTCTCCTTTTTGTTCTCTATGAATTGACAGTGACGCTTAACCCAACATGTCACAAAGCGTCGGACGAGTACGTTTAACCAGCTGCTAAATAGTATCTATGTTGCTGACCTATATTCGATTTCCAGACCCGGCTCGCTTATTCTCGTACATGGCATCACATAGATGTGGGCTCTGACCCACGAAGTCTAGGGCGCGTAGCCTCTTCCATTGCCCTATTTCTTATGGGCAAGAATAAACCCATTTACGACCCTTCCACAGACTGTGGTGACTATGTCGTGGCAGTAGGCTGCCAGAAGATTCACACGACAGGTAAAAAGCGGTTTCAGAAGCTGTATTATACGCATTCAACGAGACCAGGAGGACTTAAGTCCATGTCAATGGATAAAATGTTTGAGAAGTGGGGCGGCGCGGAAGTCCTAAGAAGAGCAGTGAAGGGGATGTTACCAAAAAATAAATTAAGAGAAGTAAGGATGGCAAGGTTGAAAGGTATGTAAATTTTGTCTAGCTGTTAGGAGGATTGCGCGCACACTTAAGATACTAAAAGGCTGCTTAGCTTTCGAGGGTAAATCACACCCATACAGAGCAAATATTGTCAAATATGGCGGCAAAAGCGTGTTGGGCGAGCTCCCGGACGTCTGCAAGGCTTTTCAACGAACCAGAGAGTCGCCTACTGTGCGATAAATTCATTTTGAACCCTTTGCATTACGTGAGGAGTATTCGGCAGCGGTGATTTATGTATTTCTACTACTATGGTGATTTCTGGATTAGATTTTGATATGGGTTTTGTATGATATATATCAGCCCTGACGAAACCTAGAGCAGCCAAAAGCCGCCACATACACAGCGGATTTATCAGATTCTCCAAGAGGTGTTTTAAGAAACATATTTGATAGTGCCTGGCTATAGGTTTGACTTTTCGTGACAGCGATTGTCTCGTGCCACGGTACATTGAATAAGGCCATTTGGCGCAAGGCTAGGCACATATACTTCGGCATCTTTTCCTTTATTTTTCAAATTTTTATGCCAACTCAAATCTGTACCGCATTTGTTAGTGGAGCCGATGCAGAAAAGTGTCCCCGCTGTGGAAGGCTCACCTAATTCGAAGTAATGTTTGTTAGGTAGTGAGTACGAAACGGTATTCAGCAACGTCTCCATGTTCACTACCTCTCTGGCCATTTTATACATTGTGTTCTGCACGCTTGCGCTGTCATCTTGGGCAAAGAGGCGTAGGCTGATGTCCCGGGCCGATGCGAAGACTTGGTCAAAGCGGGGCACGGCTGCTTTCACCTGATTTAGGTCTTTAAACGCTAGCCAGGTCCAATTTGCATCGATTTCCGTGCTCAGAATTCGATCCCATGTCTCAGGCAGAGTAGTGAATTCGTCGCGAACAAAGCCATGAAACTGCGACCCTGTACTCTTGAGCAGAAGTAGGCCAGAGATTGCAGATTTGATGTCAATGCCTTTTCCTTCCACGACATCGACATCTGTAATTCGCACATCAGTACCGTCACGCGAGAATGAGTGTGGATGTGGTTTTCCATCGACGGTCATTCTCGTCCACCGGTGGGTTACAATGTGAACATGAGCGGCATGAATGTGCTTGTAAGTTTCAATGAAATGGGTGCCGACGATAGCGGCGAAGAGCTCAGGGGGGGTTACAGGGTGTTGTTTGGCCAGGATATAGATGGTGTTTTTGATAGAATCGGTCGCAACGATGACACTATTGTCTGCGGCTGTATACCTGTTCTGCGATTAGTAGCCGTGAAATACCAAATTGGACCAGGACAACATACGATGTTTCAATGTCACCCTCAAGCAACACGGACACCGTCATTTCGACGACAGTGTGTGTGCCGGACTTAGCGTCACGGTGAACTTTGCACACCTTGACATTGTCCTTGCCATAGCGGGAGGAGCTCAACATTACCATGGCTAAGAAAGAGTACCTTTGGCGTAATAAGTAGCTAGAAATTGGGGGAAATTCTTCGTCAAGGGAACTGTAGTTGTTAGGTGGGTAGGCAACGACGCATCCTTTCGGCCTGGCGATGCGGGCCTTATATATGTAGAAGCGCCGGGCTGAATAATCTCGTCTTTCCTCGCCGTCATGCAAAGCTAAGGAGAGTTGCAGTGAAACAAAGCCCGCATCCCACGAATAAAAGCCGGGCTCTAGGAGCCGTAGTTGCTTGCCGCTGGCATCAGCTGCTGGTCGCCGTTGACCAGTCGTCGGAGAGCTCCGATGGCCGCCTGTTGGCGCTGGGGGCTGGGCTCGGCGAATGCGCCCCAGAATGATCGCCGCCGGGTCTCCGTCCATCTAGGGTCAAACAAGGTTGGCGCTTGCGGCCACTACATACAGTTGTCTACTCACGCACCTACTCAACACTCACCTTAGGAAGAATAATGTGAATCATTGCGAGACATGCTGATGGAGACGAGCAGAGACAACAATTATTCATAACCATGCATAACATTTCTCATTCCCATAGGCTTCAGGCATCACAGTATTCCCCATCCGTTGATCATTCCGCGCTGCACCCGCCGCAAAAAAGTATCCAACGCCAGCCGCTGAAACGTGGTATATAGAAATTCATAGATCAAAAGGCCTCTCCCATCCCGTACGTTGCCGTTGAGATAAAACAACCACTAGAAAGAGTAAAAGTATTCATAACGCCGCATATTGACCGGACCACAGATGAGAACAGGAAAAATGGCGTAAAGAAAAATGAAGAAAAGCAACAAGATTACTCGGAAGCAAGGCTATCGGAGTCTACTTCCGATTCGTCCTCCAGAACGATTCGCCTCATCGTACTTTTATCGAAGAGGTCAAGAGCAAACCGACGAGCAGCGAGGCGGAAGTGGTGGCTCTCAAGGATAACTAAAGCGTTTCGAAAAAGTTGGATCTGCCGAAAATGTTCAGGGTATCTTGTCTTAATGCTATTTGAAAGTGGGTCAGTGTCTATACCAGCTAAGGTTTTAAAGCGGATAGCTTAACGTACTGTTGGAGATCTGCGGCCGCCTTCTTTGAAAGCACCGTGTTGCCCATGTCAACTAGCAGCTTCAAAATCCTCTGATTAACCGGATCCGGATCAGTTACAGCTGTTTTATATTTTTCCAATGATGTTTCATTCACTCTGGACTTCGGTTCAATTTGGTCGAAGCGAATCTGTAGTGTGTTAATAATATCGCTATCTTGACATTTTTGGTGGCATCAGCCATACCTTGAATATCTTCTTCAGATCAACAGGCATACAAGATCCAAGAGACTGGCCCTTGAAATCCACCGCGGCGTCCCAACCAGCTTCCACCAACATTTCAAGGCCATGCCGACTGGTCGAAATAAGACCCAGTACGAATATCGCAGTGCCTCTCATGGTTAATACGGCTGCCTCCTCCGCAATTTGGATAATTCGATCGAACACTGGGCTACCTTCAAAGAACTGGGCACTAAGTTCCATAGATCCGAGATGTCCAACTGCCCATAGAGCACCCTTAACTCTTTGAAGCACTTCAGGGTCTTCTTCCTGAAGATTATAATCCTCAATCGTAGCAACAAACTCATCAAACTGTCCAGAGTCAGCCAGAAGCCTGCAGCCTTCCTTAGTACGAGCCAGCTCTCTATAAAAATGTGGCGGCGCCCTGCCGATGTGATGCTCGTCAACGAGATCTTCAATAGCCAAGCTGTTTCGGCGGGGCTGATCAAGATATGCTCGATACAATGATGCTTCAACCAAACCGACGTAGGCATCATTCCTGCCAAGAAACCAGTCATCCATCTCCTGGTGTACAAAATCGAGCCCGTCTAGATAGTGATAACCAACTGAAGAAGAGAGGAATCGCAGAAGCAAAGATGCTCCAATCTCGCCAAGATGATCAAGGGACGGGCGGCACCGGACCACATACTCAAGCAAATCCCTTTGATTACAAGCTTCTTCCAGAACTTTCATTGCAAGTTGGCAAACGGCGACGTCCGGATCATAGAGCTGGCCTACTAGAAGCCGGATGATAGATTCCACTGCTGGGGTAAGTTCAACACCACCAACCACGTACTTACGCAGTACCTTCGTCGAAAATATGCGAATTTCTTTTGTCCCTACCGTCAAAGCCTTGACTAATATCAAACGAAGCTGGCTATCCAGGGTAAAGTCCATATTGCCGAGAATTGCCTGGACTAGATCATTTCGGTCATTTAGTTCGACTATATGGTAGAACATATTGAGCATATGCCATCTTTCCATCATATGAAGCCCGTTAGGATCACTACTCAGGGTGCCCAAAAGCGAGAAGTAACCCCAGCTTAGGGTATCAGTCATCTGAGTTGGCGAGAAAACCGGGGAAGAGGATGTTATTCCACTTGTTCGATCCACCTGGGCAAGGCATTCCGCAATTTGTCGTAACAGTTTGTTCTCAGCAAGGTACTTCGACCCTTCTGGGGTCTGTATGAGCGTTCGAATTAGAGCACATCCCGTCCGTACATAGCGGTGATTTGGTTTGGTGGTTCGAATCATTGAAAACCTATATTTAAAGGGGCGATAGAACCCTAAGAGACGCTTCATGAATTTAGACCCCTTGATAGCCTCATCAAGTCGCTTTGGATTGGTTAGAGGTCCTTCAATAATGTTATGAATCAAATCCCATTTCCATTTTATAAAGTTGGCAGAGTTCAAAACGTGAGTTTCCATGATCGCAGTTCTAAACTGGGTTTCGTCTATAGTGGGGCTTAGCTTCGGTTTTCCTTGCTCTGTGTGAAGAAAAGAGATAGGAATATTCCCCGCCAAGTCGTATTTTCTGGAACCTGAGGTCATCCAAGTAGATCTCATCATAGTACGATTTATGCTCTCTATTTGGTAAATAGTTGAGGCCGATACACGGTGAATGTTTAGATCACAATCTCTTGTTCTGGGGACATTGTCCGGGAGAATTTGAAGGCCAGAGGATATTGATTGAGGTAAAGAGCGGTACGCGCGTTTCAGAACTTCTGCTAGAAGTAGAATGCCTTTTCTCTTTAACGCAATGTCTGTTTCGTTTTCAACAAGAACTGTCAGAGCCTATGGGCAGCAAAATTAGCTTGCTAGGGAAATAGAAGTCGAGACATTTGATGTTTACCTTTACCAAGCCAGCTTCAATCAGTACCGCCAGAACAAGTAGAGCGAAATGAGTAGTGAGGTCAAATACCCCGTCCTCCGGCTCATAAAACGTTTGAAATTGTCCTTGATTCCGATCGCAATTTGCGATACTGGCGGCATTGCCTCTTCCGTAAGTAGTAAGCCGTCGACCAGCAAGAAAAGATGAAGACCAAGAAGGAGTCTTGATCCGCAAAGCATCGAAGAGAAGTTCTAGTATCAAATCTCTTGTCGGCGCTTCAGGGTATTCCAATGATTCCATCATTGATTGTAGTGGCTTGAATTTATTTTGAGCCAGCGTCAACAACCCAGGCCAAGTTTTCAACATTGTTGATATCGCTTTTGCAGAAGCCTTGAGTCGCACAAGCTTGTCGCTCTCTGGTATTGGCTCCGTAAATGTAGAGAAAACTCCATCCAGCTCCGACCCTGATTTAAGGTACATCCTGGTGCTGGGGGCGTCTAGTACATGCAAGAAACTGGCAGCCAAGCTATCCGAGGCTGCAAAGCTCCCTTCATACAAGGCATCATTTAACACTCCAATTCCGCCGGCTGAAGCTAGAAGCCCTGGATCTTTCACCAAAATTTCTGCAAGTGTCATAACACATATACTCCGGAGGCGGTCCTCTCTTTGCTCTGCAATTGATACTAGAGTACGAACCACAGCACAAGATATTTCATAGATACCGTCTTTAACATCCAAGAAAGCCCGAATAAACTTCAATGCTTGTTCGCGCTCCATGGTTGCTTTGGATTCCTTAACGAGGGAAAGTATGACTAGTTCATCGGTGTGAAAGGATCGTATAATCTGTATGGAATTTCGGTCTGCAATCGCATAGCGCGTTAGTCTATAGCCAGCAGCTACAACCTGACGGCTATCGTTTAGTAGCATTACTTGAACCCGTAAGCCGAATACAGTCCACTTCAAGTCGTACTTCAATGTGGGGTGGCGTTTGAAGAGATCGACAAGATTATTTGCCCTCTCGACATAATACCCTGGTGACAGTCCTTCAACCTCTAGCTCCTGTAATGTTTCGGCAAGGACAAAGGTGGGCGACTCCGTTTCGCTAGCATCATCAACATCATCGTCGTCATCGTCATCTTCAAAGGTATCGCCAGTTCCTTGTGTTGCTCTTGAAGGAGACCGGCCTGCGGATACTCCAAAAAGACCAGATGGAGGAGGGAAAGATATTGGCTCGGGGACATGAGCACGCTGTAGTTCTTCTTCAAGTTCGAGCTGAAGTTGAGCGATTTTGCGGTTCGATGAGCTAAGTTCGGATTCCACCAGTAGTCTTTGTTCTTTCGATTGCTTCAAATTTTTCGCCAGTAGTGCCTCAAGCATATTTTCTGTTCCGTCTCTAATCTTCATTTCTTTCTCCAGTTTCCCTCGAATAGCGGCTTGTCGCTGTTCTGAAGTCTGTATCTCATCATCATCGATTGCCCCATTGCTCCGAATCTGAAATATAGACTCCGGCTTCGGAGTTGCACATCGTGATAGGTTCGGTATTTTTAATTCTGAACCGAAACTGCCGGGATGAATGCCTAGGGGCGCAAGTGACACTTGGGGCGCACTTGTCGTGCTTCCAATGGACCGGGGTTGGTCGAACCGATTAGATCCAGATACTCTACCATGCCAGCTCCCATTTGCAGAACCATTTTCTGGGCCAGAAGAGGGTTGTCCATTACTCAAAGCACGGTTCTGAGTGGGGGTTGCCGAGGAAGCACGATCGTACGTTGCCGCCATGGGTTTCCATGCGGAAACCCCAGTATCGCGTTTATTTGGTCAGAGCAGTATGGCGTTGCATCAGGGCCACCTAAATCAGGATAAAAAAATTAATCGAGTGTGGTGCAGGATGATAATGGTTCCGCGCAGTGAAATATGATGTGAGGGGAAGGATGATATAGGCAATAGAAAAGAGAACAATGATATAACTATGAATTCACAAGGCTGTGCAGAGGATGATCTGGAATTAAAGAATAGCAGTGAGATACAAAATCAGTACAGAGATATTTCCTTCTTGGTTGAAGGAGAACTGACAATGTTGGCTCTCTCGACCTACTGACTGTATGGGAAGCCCCCACGTGATCAAATAACTAGTTAACTGGGTTGTGGAGGCTTAACTAGTATTTACTACCAAGCACCCATAGAGTCACTTGAGGTGAAACATATCAGGGGCTCGTGCTGCATTGATCTTTTCTAAATATCCACGACAGCTAATATTAGCTAATACTGACTGGTGGAAGATCTGTCTTCCCTCTTGCTTATGTGGCTCTAGAAAAGGCAGGTACATATCTTTGCACCATAAGCCATTGTTGCCAGCGGCAAATGTCATGATTGTTTCTCCACTAAACACATTTTCCTACGCCAGAGCCGAGCAGATATGTACTGAGCACTATTCTTCCTAAATTATAGACCCGTCCATGTTTTGGGACCCTCTTCTTGACCCCTTGTGGCTCCAAAGTATGAACAATAATAGGGACCAGCAAAAATGTTCAATCAAAGACATTCGCAACATTATTCGTCTGATTCAATGCAAACAGTGTTCTTACTTGTTACAGTCTCCTGTCAGACTGCCTTGTGGAGAGACAATTTGCCAGAAATGCCTGCCCTCTTCTTATAAAAGAAAGCACATAAGTTACCCCGCTGACAAAGAGCGCGAGCAAGGATTCTGTTGTACACTTACAAAAGGCGGCCGGCTATCAGGTTTATCCACGTGTGGAGCAGAGCATTCATTGGCTGACTGTGGCCTGGATGTGGTACTGGACAAGGTGGTTGAAATTTTCAAGCAGAAAATGAACACTGTGTTCCTAGAAAATGAAGCGTCGAGTCACAATACATCGTTTGCGGTTGACATTATCGATACCTTGAACCTATCACTGCGAGCCTGCGATGGGGCTCTCCCGTTTCCTGCCTCTTTTGGAAGCGCACTTGCAATTATGTATGGCCTCGCAAGTGATGGCCGTCTGCCTTTTGATGCTGAAGTCGTTTTCCAACTCGAAATAGACACCATAACTAGTCTAGAAGACTTGGATCAAGAGATTGTCTCCGATATCAAACAAGCTGCCAATGATGAACTTGACTGTCAAATATGCTTGGCTCTCTTAGTAGATCCATGTACCACTCCTTGTGGCCATAGCTTCTGTCAGCGCTGCCTAGGTCGAATTTTGAATCAATCGGACCTATGCCCAATTTGTCGTCGAAGGGTTTCTCAAAACTTGTATTTAGGTCCACAAAACTTACGCCTAAGCAACTTGCTCTCAACGTTCTTTTCTTTACGATTGGCGGAACGGCGTGAAGCAATCAGGGAAGACAGAGTCGGGGAATTCGATGAATCCCAAGTGCCACTTTTTGTTTGCACTCTTTCTTTTCCATCCACTCGGACTTTTCTCTACGTTTTTGAGCCTCGATATCGGTTAATGATCCGTCGTGTCATTGACAGCGGACATCGCAAGTTTGGAATGGTGGCGCCAGGTGAAAGTCGCCAAGTTAATGGCGATACTCAGGCATTCACAGAGTACGGAACACTACTTGAAATCAGCCGACTCTCCCCACTTGGGGATGGAAGGTGTATAATTCGTGCAACCGGCCAATACAGATTTAGAGTGTTGGAAAGTACTATGACTGATGGATATGCTGTTGGTAAGATTGAGCGGGTTGACGACATATCAATTCCAGAGGAGGAAGCACGAGAGGCTTTCGAGACAGAGTCAGCACCTCTTGAACGCCCCAGTATGGATGAGTTAGATCACCTTTCAACTCTTCGCCTCTTTCAAATCGGCCTCACGTTTGTTGCAAAATGCCGGGCAAGCAGTGTACGGTGGCTGGATAACCAGACATACCAATTGTATGGACCGCCTCCGGCGGACCCGAGGCTCTTTTCTTTCTGGTTTGCCAGTGTGATGCCAAGACCAGAAGAGGATAGATACCCTCTCCTTATAGAGAGAAGCGTTAGGGAACGATTAAAAATGGTCGTCAGATGGATTAAAAAGCTTGAAACTGAACAATGGTAAGGGAGCGAGCTCCATGAAATCACTGGCTGATTGACAAAATAATAATTGGTATGAGCTAATAACTGATAGGGCACTAAAATCTCCTCAAAGCCTAGCCAACCATTATATATCTAATTTACAAACAGACTCAACGCCTTTTGTGACCCATCTGCGGAGAGGCTTTGGACTATTCGTTCTTCCCCTCCTGATTTTTTTTGTTGTTTACAAATTTTTCTTCCACGGAGCCACATTGCTACCTAATACCTCCAATGTGTCATTCTCGATTTTGCCATTTTCCTTATCTTTTACCTACAGCTACCAACCTCCGCCTATCACCACTCCGAATACGAGATCACGCGATCGAGAGCGCAATTTGAACCCCAATGTTGGGTTTGTGGTGACGAATTTCATGGATCAGGGCTTTATTCCTGGTAGAATTGTACTAGCTTCTATCTTCGTGCTCTGTATCGCTCGAGTTATTCGGCGGGTGGTAGAAATTGTGAATTTCGAAAGAGACAGGCAACGAACCTCAAGAGTCAACGTCAACAATGCTGGCCATTTAAATCCTATTGACGATGTGATTGAATAAAATGCCGCGAATGGTACAGAGACCGCTACCCCTAACCAAGAGCAGATAGGAAATGTACAAAGCCTGGAACTGATGAAAGAAATGAGACTGTAGGGCTTTCCTGTTCGTCATACAGTAACATGTAGATATTGTCTAAAAAAAAAAATGTTCAGCCTTTTGTTAGGATAGCAATATTGATCGCTTAGATAACAACGGTTACTAGAATGTATGGCCAATAGTGCATGCGCTTCAAATAGAACCAAAGGATAAATGAGTTAACACCGCGAATACCTGAGTATACATTGGAAAAACATACTAAAAGAATATTTTCCGGAATACAATGACTAGAAGATAGTAAGAAACAATTCACGAGGAAAATATTAAGAATGTCATAACATCGTAGAGATAGGAAATATAGGGCCTCGTCATATTAAATCTACTTCTTCGCCCTCTGCATCAACATCGTCTTTAAGCAGCTCATCAGGGGAAGGCGGTGGAGGCATTGTCTTCGCAAACACAGAGTCTATTTGCGCACGATGACTTGCTCTCTTATGCGCCTCACTCTCATTGGGATCTCGCACTGCAACCTGGATCTGGTGTATTTGGTCCTCCTTAGATTTACCACGCGTAGGGGCCAATCCGGCTTGGGCAATCGTACGAGAACGCTCGGGCTTCAAGCGAGTTTTTGCTAAGATAGGATAGTAATATGCGGCTTTCTGGGTGAGTCGGGTGTCCGAGGTAGCCTGATCAGGTTTGAATAAGACAAGGGCAACATCCTTATATTTCTGCTGGGTGTTGAGAATCTGCGTGCTGGTCGCATAGGTGCGAAGACGGTCATATTGATGGTAACGTACTCCATCCTGGTTCTCATGGGAGTAATACTTTGCCGCATCTCGGTTGGAGTTGAGGATATTTAAGCTACTCTTAATATTCTTTACCGAGTCTTCCTTTCTAGATAAGAAAAGATCATAGTCCCAGGGAACCGGGCCAGGGTCAGGATACATGTTGGGATTTGCCTTGTGCAGGGCAATTTTTGATGCATGATCCTGCGAAACTCGCTCTTCTGGGGCGGATGGAAGTAAAATTCCAATATCCATTCGATCATCGCGTCTTCCTTTTATAGACTGAACGGGTGCTTTGTCGAATTTAAATTGCAAGAAGCCACCAGGATCAGGGAAACCTCCGACGTCGGGAATAATAGGGTAGCACCCTAAAGGCTCTAGTTTGGGGTTGTCTGGGTGGACAGGAGTGGCCCAGGCATCAAGCTCAGTCTTAGTAGAGGGGAGGCCTCTAATACGTGCGCCAGTATCCTCTCCTATGTGTTTGCTTTTTGGGTACGCAATGTCAAATCCTTTGATAATGTACTTTTTGATATGCAAGGGCTCATCGCGCGACGGTTTGGGCTTCTGTACTTTGAATTTAGAGCCACCAGAGGTTGTGAGCTTTGAATCTGCATTGCGACCAGCTCCCGTCGTAGCAATGTATTGTGTTCGGCGAAGAAAGCTGACATTTGCGTTTTTTGGTGCAGGGTTCCTTAATTGTTCAGGGTTCATGAGTAAAGGCAGGTCGGCTGGGTCTAAAGTTGGAGGATTATCAGGAGCCATTATAGCTAATTAGGCGGAATTGTCAGTACAAACTTTGTCAAAATACAGTCTTAGTGACGATAGGACGACGAAAAAAAAGTGCCTTACCGCTTTCATCGCCCAGGTGCAATCCGGGAATCCCAACGAGATCAATCGTCATCCCTCCCTCAGCGTCCACATCAATATTAAGCTCCTCACGACGCACCATATTAGCTGTAAACCCAGGGCTAAGGAAGTGTTCAAGCCCTTCGTGGGGCACCTCTAGGAATTTCGGAGGCATGTCAGGAACGGGGAGGTCATTGCGATAACGAAGGGAGGCGATATATTCTTGATGGTAGCCCCCAGAAGGGCCTGCGCTCTTTGACTTCGACATTTTTGAAACAAAAGGCCAAAGTACACTCCGTACAGAGTAATATGCTCTAGCAGTCGGCAGAGCGATATTGCGGAACTTGAAGCTGCGACTGGAGTAGTCGCGGTAGGGTGCTAGGCTTAAAAAGGTTAACTAGTTAGTAAGGTTAACTTAGGTACGGAGTGCCTAGGTACGGAGTACCTACTAGTTAACCGCGCCACGTGCAAGGTGCCTGTAGCCCCATTGAAACCCAGGCTAGCACCCTCCTCGTTGTATCTACAAAAAAAACGCACCCTCGATCAGAGTGTATGGAACAGCCTGCACTACGCAAAAGCTCCTTTAATACACCACGAATTGCATAATGTAAACATCGAAGACAATTGCAAAAGGTAAATCTATAAGTCAACATGTCTCGAAGAAGTGGTACCACCGTTCTAAACTTTTCTTCACCTTCAAAGTTGTTCTCACAGTATTTATTAAGTTAAGATTGGGCGTCGATTCCTACAACGCTAACTTATTGAGAGAGGGAACAGAACTGGAGAACCGGAGCTAGGGAATTGAGCTATTCCTTGACGAAATTACACAACATTTGGCTTAGTGCAATTAACAAACGCTTTGCTCGACACACCATTCTACCAATTCCACATACACTTGTAGGTTAGTATTCGATTTCCGAGGCGGTCATATTCAAGCCTACCAATCCAACTGTCATTTGTCGCCTCAAGTTTGCCAAAGACGCTAGCTCCTTTCCAGACGACAACCTGGGGGTCCAACTCTCGTGGAGGAGCGCCAACCAAAACAGTGCCAGAATGTTCAGGATGCTTGAGCTGGATTCTTTCTTCTAAGAATGAGTGAAACCCGGAGACCATGCTTCCACCGCCGATGATAAGAATGCCGCCCAAGAAGTCGGTGAACCGGCGGTTGTCAAGTTTAGCGGCATGGGTAATAGACGTGAATATGGCTTCATCGAGGGGGAAAATTGGTAAAATATCATCGCGTTCATCGACTGTTGGTAGTCTGCGGGAGTTGGCTTCGGTCATATTTTGAATTGCAGGCATAGGTGTCGACATTCCGCCTCGTGGGGTAACTGTGACTTCAGGGGCTGGAGACGCTGCCATCGAGGAGCGCGGTGTCGCCTCTAGCTCCTGCAGACGGTTAATTTGAATAGTAGAGAGTCGACTAGGGGTAGATTGAGTATCCGGTAAATTGTTTACGTTTGCCGAGAAACTCGAGTTAATACTGGGGTGGGGAGGGGCGATAGTCGTGAGGATCTCTGTCTGCGCCGCGGATACAGGATCATTTGGCTGCGAGTCGTAAATGTCATAGGTTCGGCTAATGAGCTTTCTTCTTCCTACCAGTTTCTTAGAAACATCAAAAATTTCTGGCTGGAACCATCCCATTGGTGCCAATATAATTTCATCGTAAGCCTTGAAGGTATACTTGCGCGTATCTTGTTCAGACGCTCGAAGATGAAAGTCAAACACCTGGACTGAAACGTTGGTCTCGTTAAGTGTACAAGTGTTCCTCTTAAGTTCCTCGGCCAGCAAAAAATCGTATCTGCGGTTCAAATTTATTTCGTTATAAGGAAAGTGATCGAAAAGCATCATTTTGATGAAAAGGTCTGTGACGTCTGCACCACCATACTTTAAATTGACGCGAGAATTCTCAACGCACATCCCTTCCTCCACGCAGCAAATAGACGTCTTTTGTGCGCCAATATCAACAACACAGGCGGCTGTATATCCAGCGCCAAACGTTCCTGCTGTGCTCTCCTGCACAAAACAAACGCGGCCAAAGCCAAATTCACGCATCAGCATGTCGAGTATTTGGATGACATAGGCTTTCTCATAAAGATCGGGTATAACGAAAACGCAGGAGTACTGAGCCCAGTCTTTCTTCCGTGTTAGGGCCAATTGTGTCTTGACGGCATCCTCTAAGATAAGAGATATGTCTAGAAATAGCATATTTTTGTTGTCATAGTCTCTTTCGTTGCACCATCCGTTTCGAATTGGCCAGAATAGCTTATATCTGGGTTCGGAATAGTCTGGTATCCGCAGGGCGGCTTCTCCGACAACATACTCAGGTGCATCATTTGGCTCTATTACGGTCCATTCAACCCGCATCAGATCATTGTGTTCTGAAATAGTTTCTGAGGTGGTTCTCCGGTTATAATTGACAACCATTTCCTTCGAGTTCGGGAGGGTTCTTCGCTTGTTTGCCCGCATGCGAGTTCTTAATTCGGTGCACATTGTTGAGTAAGTTGCCGCGAACTGTTGCAAAACAAAGTTAGCAACACTTTGGCGAAAAATACCAGAGTCATATATCACTCACCTCAGAGCCAAACATTTTCTCCGGCTCCATTGCCTGCCCATCGTCTAATTTGAGGCGCTTTGGCTTTGGCTCCCCACCATCTTGCTCTGCTTCATTTTCTGTTGCTCTTCGCGCTATTACCATTGGAATAGTCTTGGGTAAAGCATCACTCGCGAGGCCAATACGGAGATTCTGACTCCCAACGTGGATTACAATTGTTTTCGAGCCAACAAGCTCCTGTACTTTCTCCCCGCCTGTACCCATCATGGCGGTATCTCCGTCGGCTTCTGCATCTTGCTCAGGAAGTTGCACTTCATTCTTGTTTGCAAGAGCCCTATCTCGATCTTTGGCATTCTTCGTCATGCGGTCTCGAGCCGCTTCGGTCTGTAAACGATAGGCAAGGATTTGATCGTCACGTTTCAGGTATTCTCTAAACAAAATTAAAATGTCAACAAGAGTCTAATACAAAGAGATACGAATACCCGAAAGGGCTGGGCCTTACGTATAGTAATTCTTTTGGTTAATCGGTGCTACTTGAGGCCAGCTGGTAAGGTCCATGTTGTTGTCGGTCCGCTCCAAGCCTATATAAGGGCAATTAGCTCTAATATATATCACAGTATATTGTAGGTGGTACCTTTCTCCCTCAGGAGAGCCTTGCCAGACTTCTTCCCCACCATGATGACTGCAGTCTTTTTCTAGAGAGCAGGCAAATCAAGGTGTGTATTAAATCATGGAGAAGTAATGCTGGTTATAGTGAAAGGATGAGTGTGCACAAATAGGTAGTAAAAAACTTTGCCCTGGGCCAGAGTGTGAAAAGAGAGAGTTGATGCACAGCAGAGTAGTTAGATGTTTGCAACTAAAGAGGTAACTAGTTAACTACAGGTAAAGTTTAGTGGCACAGGGTTTTGATTGGCGCAACCACATTTAGTTTTACTTGGTTTGTGGTCATTTGGGCATTTTATCTTCACCGTACGGAGTACAGAGTACAGAGTAGAGACAACTTTCTTGATTTTCTAACAGTCAAATCTATTCCCTTTATTTTTATAGGGCCCATACGACAACATCTGGTTTCTCCGTTGTTATATATAGTTGCATTCTATTCACCTTGGCTTAACTTCCAGTGCATGATTGACCTGGCGCAAACAACTCAACCTGCAGGATCAAAACATACCTGAGCTCAACATCTTACCTATTCACTCCATACCTTCCATTCCCAGAATTTTTATCTACTCTTAGCAGCATCTTCTTCTGCTTATCTGCGGCCGGCTTTGATACGAGATTCGGTGACGCCTTTCGATACCTGTCTTGCATACACTACAAGGAGCATTTGGCCAATATGGGTGGATCTTTATCCCGGCTTTTGTCATTTGGCTGGTGGGCGAAGAAAGAAATCCGTATTCTAATTTTGGGCCTTGTAGGTTGCGGGTGCTGCTTGCGGGCGGATATGAAGCGCTTACAACGGATATAGGATAATGCGGGGAAAACCACACTTCTGTATCGACTTAAGGTAAGCAGCTACTCTAGCAATACCTTTGGGATTATGGTGGCTGATCGATATTCGGGACTATTAGATAGGCGAGGTCGTTACTACAATACCTACGATTGGATTCAACGTCGAGTCAGTCACATATAAGAATCTCAACTTCAACGTCTGGGTATGACATATGATTTTTTATGCATCACACCCACCAATAGGTTATAATATCCTCAGTTGGCTAATGCGGCGCGCTTCTATAGGATCTCGGGGGCCAAACGTCAATACGACCGTATTGGCGGTGTTATTATGCAAACACCGCTGCAGTGATATTCGTCATCGACTCAACAGATATTGAGCGGCTGGGTACAGCTTCCGACGAGTTAGCGGCCATGTTGAATGAAGAGGAGCTGCGCGATGCAGCGCTTTTGGTTTTCGCAAATAAGCAAGATCAGCCGGGGGCCAAAGGGGCTGGAGAGATCTCCGAGGCATTAAAGCTAGGCGAGCTCAGAGACAGAAACTGGAGTATAGTTGCTTGCTCTGCTATTGATGGTAACGGTATCGATGAAGGCATGGACTGGCTGGTGGTGGGTTAATTTTCTCTCCCTCATAAGGAAATCAATATCTAACATTGTTCTAGCAAACGGTGCAATCAGAAAACTCGTAAACACATGCAGCCCTACATAACCCCTTTTATTTTCAATTATCTTCACGCAGCTTCTATTCTTGTTTTGAACTATGTCCTGTCTTTTGATACATCTCGTTGCATTGTTGGAGGCGCGGTGTCCTTTCCCTTAATCCCAGCCATGATGCGTTCCGATATCCTTTAGTACAGCTCCGGTTTTGGTTTCTAGTGGCCCTTACTTCTGTGGTCAAAAAGATAGAGGTATTCATCGATTGATCGTCGGCGCGTTGCAATTTCAGAAGAGAAACTGGGTGGCTTGTCACTGCCGCCTCATGTAATAGTAGACATATAAATGTGAGCTTCATTTTCACACTGAGAGAACAGTATGAGGAAACATGGAAGCTGCTCTTGTCGCACAGAAGAATTCAGCGAAGTTCCGCTTTCGAGCTCTCGGGGCTCCCCCTTGCGGGATTATGTACCGGGTTGTGCCAGGGTGTTCAGGCGATCTTCAGACACTTACGGGGTTATAATCATGGCTGCTGACTCAATACTTGCTTTTTCCAACTGGGCAAGAACCGAGTCGAGTGATCGGCGGAAGGCGAAGCCGTTCCCATAGCTTTGACTATTCTGTCTCAGGCAAAGGCCCCTGAAACCATATCTGGAGTCGTACCATGGTGTCAGACGGTGGCCATCACGCCTGTCAATAATAATAGCCAAGTGGAATAATTTTTTCTCAGGATGGCAAATCCACTTTAATCGAGACGGGCGGTTGACAGGGGCCGTTGACCTTGTTGGTAATTCTCCGAACATTCGTGTTCTACGGGGTATCTGACAGTACATGCCAGGTATTTGCAACCGGCGAATGCTGCGATACCGGTAAACAGCTCAGTGACACCTTCGGGATATGTGAGAGGCTTTGAAGCCTGTTGATCCTAAATCTAGTTGCTCCTTCTGGGTGGGAAGAGTGGCATGCCGGGGAATTGGCACACACGACGTCGGCTGCAGCAAAGAAGCATAATATTAAATTTAATGATTGTCAACCACACCACCCCATGACGTTTTCGGCAGCGCGAAGCCAACGTCTCCCGCAGCAGCGCATGACACAGCGGCGAAAGGGCTCCGACTCCGTCTGTTTCTCCTTCGCTCGCACCAGCTGCACGAACGAAATCGTTACACGAGGTTAAGGTTATTCCAGAACCACAATCGCCATTAGGGCTGGTCAGCGAACGCAGAGGGTATCGCAATTAATAATTGGATGGCTCTGGACTTAATATCAAGAACGCTGACGATGCTCCTGCAAACATAAGCACTCAAGAATAGCAACTGGGGCGGGCGAGAGAGGGCGGCGGCTCCCCGCTCGCAGCCAACCAGCAGTGGTTGTTCTGCCGCCGCGGTGGAGACGGGTGCGGTCTGACCTTTTCGCAGGTTGCGATTGGCCATCAGGGTAGACTTGCTTTTCTCGGCAAAGCACTGACCGAACTTTATTGGGCCACGCAAAAGACTCCGACGCTCCACGGAGTACCTACCGGCACGCCGCTCTTGGCCCCAGTCTGGGGAAACTATCGCGGCGCTCGGGGTGAGCCTGCCCGGCACCTCTGGGAGCATCTGCAGCAGCACAGGAACGTATGTGGTGATAGCTCTCACCGCTGGTACTGCTTCCGCGCGCCGTCGACAGCTGCGATTTAAGTTTGATACTGCATTCTTAGGCCCTGACACGTAGTTATATGCACCCATGCAGATATGCCCCAATGTATGTACGGAGTGCCGGTGCAGGAAACGCAAGTAGGAGCGGAGAGACGCACCTGTATCCCACCAGGAGCCATGGTCGAACCGTCTGGAGCTGCCCAATTACTCAGCCACGCCGGGATGAGCGCGTCGCCTGGCTCGTCTGTACCAGAGCAAACTGAGCTGGCGCGCCCCCGCACGACCAAGCCGCCCCACCCGCCTCCTCCCCACCCAAGTTTCTCAGGCCCTGCCTGGCTGCTATAAAGTGCAGTCAATCCCTCAACATCCTGCGGCTGCGCTGGATTAGGCCTTTCCCCCTTTCCAACCTCACAATTCTCTCTGAATCGCACTTTATATTATCTCCCGATTCCCCAGACTTGCCTGTTTTCATTTTCTTCCTTGTTTAACTGAGCTTTATCTCTCATTCTTCTAAACCGCCAACATGGGTGCAGACGACAACAGCAAGAACTGTCCTCTTGGTAAGGGAACAAGTCCTTCAGCTCTTCCTCTATATCATACTGGTACTAATGTCGTTATCTCAAGACACCTACCGTTACAATGAGGAGCCTGTCTATACCACTTCTCAGGGCTGCCCAGTTAGTCACACCAACCTCACTGCCCATTTGCCTTTCTTGCTAACGATGCCCCTCACCATAGGTGATGGACCCGGAGTCTTCTCAGAGAATTGGAGAGAATGGCCCTCTACTCATTCAAGACTTCCACTTGATTGACCTCCTGGCTCACTTTGACCGAGAGCGAATCCCTGAACGTGTCGTTCATGCCAAAGGCGCCGGAGCGTATGGTGAATTCGAGGTCACTGATGATATCAGCGATATTGTAAGTCTGCTACGGTGTTACTACATTTATCAATCTCAGTACTGATGCATTCCTATCTGCTAGACCACTATTGATATGTTGAAAGGAGTGGGGAAAAAGACTAAGCTCATTACCCGTTTCTCCACTGTTGGTGGAGAGAAGGGCTCTGCCGACAGTGCTCGTGACCCTCGTGGGTTTGCCATGAAATTTTACACTGAGGAAGGTAATTGGGATTGGGTCTTCAACAACACGCCAATTTTTTTTCTTCGTGACCCGTCCAAGTTCCCAATTTTTATCCATACCCAAAAGAGAAACCCCCAGACCAACTTGAAGGATGCTACCATGTTCTGGGACTACCTCTCCACCCACCAAGAAGCTGTTCACCAGGTTATGCATTTGTTCAGTGACCGCGGTACCCCATACTCCTATCGCCACATGAACGGCTATTCTGGACACACATACAAGTGGATCAAACCAGATGGAACCTTCAACTATGTCCAGATCCACTGCAAAACCGATCAGGGAATTAAGACGTTCAACAACGAAGAGGCGCACAAGATGTCTGCTGAGAACCCTGACTGGCATACTGAAGACCTTTTCAAATCCATCGAGAACGGTGAACATCCGAGCTGGACCTGCTACGTTCAAGTCATGAGCCAAGAGCAAGCCGAGAAATTCCGGTTCAGCGTCTTCGACTTGACCAAGGTTTGGCCCCAAGCTGAATTCCCCCTTCGCCGCTTCGGTCGCTTTACTCTCAACAAGAATCCTCAGAATTACTTTGCGGAGATTGAACAGGCAGCTTTCTCCCCGTCGCACATGGTTCCTGGCTCCGAGCCGTCAGCCGATCCAGTGTTGCAATCCCGCTTGTTCTCTTATCCCGACACCCATCGCCACCGCCTGGGTACAAACTACCACCAAATTCCCGTCAACTGCCCGCTACGCGCTTTCAGCCCTTACCAACGTGATGGTGCAATGGTTGTCAATGGCAATTATGGTGCAAATCCAAATTATCCATCTACCTTCCGTCGTTTACAGTTTAACCCCGTCAAGGCCAGCCAAGAACACGAAGTCTGGACAGGTGCCGTCCTTTCTAAACAGATTCCTGTCACTGACGAGGACTATGTTCAACCCAACGGACTTTGGGAAGTCCTTGGTCGCCAGCCTGGCCAGCAGGATAACTTTGTTCACAATGTCTCTGTACATCTGTGCAATGCACAAGAGACTGTTCGTGAAAGAACTTATGGTATGTTCAAACGGGTAAATCAGGATCTGGGTGGTCGAATTGAGAAGGCTACCGAAACCCTCGCCAAGCAAGCACAGCCTCGTCTCTAAATGCCTTCTACTGGCTCATTGGCAGAAGCATGACCCTGTTCAGTGGATTGAAAGTTGTACCCCCCATCGTCTCTCTAGGTCTTATGCAAATAGTCAAGGTGTAGTTCTAAACAATATAAGTATACGTTCAGACCCAAAAATTGGGGGAGGTGGTGGCTCCATGACTCCGAGAAAACGAAGAAGCAAAAAGTAAATCGTAGTTCGGCATCCTTGAAACCCCACAGTTTGGAGCTTAGTTATCCTTCCGAAGCCGGCCGGGGTTATTATGAAATAATAACCTTGTCAACGGACCCGCACTAGTTAGTCAACTAGTTAGTTGACTCCTAGTACGGAGTACGGAGTAGTTGAAAAGGCTATTTATTCTGTCCACAGCTCTTCCAGGATTTATTATTATACCTGTGGCAGCCGCAGAACCAGGGCTCGGTTTTCCAGGTCAGAACTTGATCCTTGTTGACTTCATCCCTATAAATATTTCCAATCTTGTTGTTAAGTAAATATTCTTCTTTGTTTACTCCGTACTAACATTCAAATGATGCTACATCATACATGCGTAAGTATGCACAGAGTACAGCCACAAATCTTCCAATCACAGGGCGCTTTTCGGCCCAAAAAGTACAGTGAGCAACGAAAAAGGTACAGGCTTTATCATTCCTGGTGACGAGTGCCTCATGGATGGATAAATCCAGACTGGTGCGGACCATACAATGAAACTCGCTGTCCAAAGGTAGCCCAGTGCCAAGTATATGGGCCTCTGCCAGGGCGGGGGTGACTCGTTTTGGGAACGATTGATGGCAAATACCATGTCTTCGAGCGCAATTCCAAGGGCCTGGGTTAGGAAAAAGTCCACGGCCCCAGACTCTTGAAAAGGAATATCAACCGCACTGTCTGTCAATACATGGAGGAGACCGGATATGGTGAACACAAGAACTACCCGAAGATATCTAACAAGAATCTTATTCGTCTTTGAAACTCGCAATATGTTGTACGTGATATAGTCAGAGTGGGCGACTAAGGAACGACCCAACTGCTGATGCCACGTAGTACTGCATGAGAGTTAGCAATTATGCTACCAAAACTAACGTCTTGGAGATTTACCTCCAGAACTGCCGGAGGGACCATGCATCGAAAACGTTTCCAAATATATACGGCCACTCCTCTGGCTCGCTGGCACCTATCCCGACCATCAGAGCAGCGGAAAGACTGTGAAGCTTCGTGAGCATCGCTGTTGCTGCCACTCCGTAGCCGAGTACTGCGCCAACTCGGAAACCTATCTCCTCCAATGTTATTTGCGATCGTCGACGGAATATGTACTGTTTTTCCACAGAATATATGATCTGAATATCTTCTGGTGGCAATGATACCCAACCTAGGAGATCTAGAATCAGGTAGGCTGTCACCGCTAGGAGAAGCCTAAAAACAATGAAATTTCGACGACTCGTCCTTTCATCAACCTTTTCTGTATGTTTCCCGTTTATACCCATTTTAGATATAGTATCCTGCTTTTTGACAGTGAGGCTTGACCGGCGATCATACTGCCAGCGTGTTCCAGCCCAACGACCATTCCAGAGCAGAAGCCATGCCCACAGCATTCGGCTCCATGGCCTATCCGGGATCACGCCAATTTTCCGCATTTTGATTCTCCATTTCATTTCTTGCGCGTATGAGAGCTTCGACAAGACCAGAGCCTTGTTCACATGTAATATTTGCCCCCAGATCACAGCAGGCAAGAGGCGATTGAGTGCGGTGTTCCCCCACGGATAGGACCAATGCATATGCATTGTAAAACACAAGACTAGTATAAACACGCCAAAGCGTACTTTCATTGCTGACCGCGGAGCAAAGGCTAGAGCCAACGTTGGCACCATTTGTAGAAAGAAAACATCAACACATGTCACCCATGGGTGAGCATTTGTTGTGAAATAAGCGGTCATCACAGGTTAGGGAAAAAACGAAGCTTGTGATGTGAGGCTATTAAGTGGAATCAATCGGTACAAAAATGAAGTAGATAATGTCAATGGAGTAAAATATTATAAGGAACAGATTTAGCTACTCCGTGCAGAGCTCTTGTTTCAATGTCGCCTGTCTTTGTGCCCTTTTTTCTGGGGCCTTTTCATTGGTGTGTTGATCTACAACTAGCCTAAGGCTTATGCATGCAGATGTGAATTGCCATGAAATGGTCCCCTGTCACAATAAACACCTTGCAAACATTTTAGCAGATAAGCCTATAGTTCCTTCTCAGGAAGTAGTACGATGCATTTTATCCTACTTCCATAACCTACCCTGATTGGACTATACTTAGCAACCTAGTTTATGTAGGAGGCTAACGTCCTTTATATAACATTAGTGTACTCCGGAGCAATTAGAAATATTCGATTTCAAGAGCGGTCATTCGTAGACTCAGCCCAAGGCTCAAGCTGATGCTAGCATTTACCGAGGAGCCAAGCCTCATGTACTAATAAGAGGGGTATTGCCATGCTGGACATAAAGTATTTAGAAAACCTTGCGGCTGTATTTGGATATCATTCATGGCATGCATATAACCACTCATTTGCTCATCAAAAAAAGACCTAGAGCTCATTACAGAGGGTAAGGTGAACAAACAGAAAAGAAAAAGAACTAAGAATCGAATGACAATGCCCGTCATCGCCTGAAATACAAATTCTCGGTTATCATGAGCTCATATTTTGAAGTAAAACTCACTAGGAATAGGTCATTTGCGAGGAGTAAACAGCACATATCATACAGAAAAATTTCGGGTTGACTGGTAGAACAATCTTTTATCGCTTTCCACGCAATTTCGGTAGACCACAGCGAACAGTCGTGACGTATGTATGCTTCACTTATTAAGGGTGAGAGATCAAGAGTATCTACCGAAGAGAATCGGAGAATTGCAGCAAAATCGAATCTATAACAGATTAGAAAAAGTATTATCCGATGTAGCCTAAGTTCGCCCGTATCTGGTCTTGCCGAAAGAAAAAGGGACATAGCGATATTTAATCATATGTTGAATTTGTCGTCGCACTAATGCGATCTTTTAGCAGTGCATCGCGATGTATTTAGCTCTAAATACTTACTCGTCAAACTAAAGAGAATCAACCAGTAGACAACCAGAACTGGCCAGAAAACAGGGATATTAAAAACCTGCGACCAGCAGCAAAGGAAGCCAATAAAGATGGCTCTTGTTGCCGAATGCCAGAATTTGAATTCAGGGAGTCGGCGGATAAAGGGGCGGAATTCGTCGTCTTGCTTTGTGGGGAGCGAATCGCCCTCCTCCAGGCTTTCATCCTGGGTAAGCGAAGGATCGAATTTGGGTTGTAAGAAGGCAAGGAATAAATTCAAAAGGTAGATTCCCAATGTGTAGGCGACTACAAAACACCAGGGAGGTTAGCTAAGGACCGCCTGAAAAGATAGCTAATTTTCAACAAGTGTATTTTAAATTCAGTGATGCAATCGCATACCAATATACCACCCTTGTGCAAATACGACTCTTAGGAAAAACATGACAAGGAGGATGCCAGTTCCCAGCCATCGATATAGTGTGTAGGGCGTCGATGCATCGAGATAGCCTTGGTAAAGCTGGAAGTATGTTGTCAGCAACAATGGTAGCTTTGACACCAAGTCGCCAGGCAGCTCCAAGAGAAGAGTGGGATGCATTTGGCTCACCTGTGCAATCTTCGATGTTTGCGCCGCTACTGCAGTAAAGGGGGTCTGTTCGGGCTCAGGCACATCCATTGGGCGCTGGATGAATAAGTAACGAGGGGAGATTGGGCAAACACACTTTTCCTAGCTCTGGGTAACCAGCTGAATATAACTAAGAAACAGAGAGTCAAATTGAAGGAAAAATGAAATTAATGAAAGCGCGATAGTTAACGAAAGCTGGCCAACTGCCTTGGATCTGATAAGTCTGGAATTTACGAAGTACCTCTTTGGGGCTGGTGGTGCTGAGCCACACTGACCCTGATGTCTAGCCTAATCCAGCCTGGCCCCTCGCTCACGTGCAATTAAGTGTGAGATTAGGTAACTAGTTAACTAGCTATGTACGGAGTATTTAATCGGTGGCTGAGCATTCGGGGCAGCGGCTGGCGCTTATAGCCGGAGCAGTACGGAGTACTCTGTACCTCTGCTACCTACTGCTCAACAGTCATCACAGTATCAATTGGACGTGATTTCGGTTACCATTTTCACAATGTTCTCAAAAAGATGCGCGAGGCTCGCTGCCTCTCGAACTTCTGTGCCATTGAGCTCTTACTTACTTCGTGTCCGGCATTCTTCTACTTCGCCAGCTTCCACCCCATATAAATTCATACGGACATCAATTCCTGAACCCGGGGTTGGAATGAGTACGTCACAGGACTTCCAAACTCCACAGATCTCACCATTGGGAGCTTCTGCCTTGCGTTGTTTACCTGCTCACACTACGTCTAGTTTCCCTCAACCGACCATCGGCTCTAAACGCACTTTGCAGCCCGCTTTTCCAGGAGCTCAATGAAGCTTTGACAAAGTATGATGAAGATAAAAATATTGGCGCTATTATACTTACTGGTAGCGAGAAATCCTTTGCTGGTAGCCATCGCCCCGTCTTACTGAAAGTATCGCCCTAGCTAATTCTGGAGATAGCTGGAGCAGATATCAAGGAGATGGCGCCTTTGACATTTTCTGAGGCTTATTCCAACAATTTCATTGCACCATGGTCACATCTTGCCAACACGATCCGTACCCCTGTTATCGCTGCGGTCTCCGGGTATGCTCTTGGTGGCGGGTGCGAGTTGGCCTTGATGTGTGATATCATTTATTGCTCGGCGAACGCGACCTTCGGCCAGCCCGAAATAAAATTAGGCACCATTCCTGGTGCTGGTGGCTCGCAGCGTCTTTCTAGGTGTGTTGGGAAGAGCAAGGCCATGGAGTTGATCCTGACTGGAAACACATTCACCGGAGCCGAGGCTGGGGAGTGGGGAGTCGCTGCTAAGGTCATTGATGGCACTCATGATGAGCTACTAGCCGCTACTCTTAAAACAGCCAGCAAAATTGCCGGGTATAGCCGTGTTGCTGTAGTCGCTGCTAAGGAAGTAGTCAATAAGAGTCAGGAACTGTCTTTAACAGAAGGTGTTGAATATGAGAGGCGCCTTTTTCATGGATTATTCGGCAGCAAGGACCAAAAAATAGGTATGTGAGAACGTGATCAATTGTCAAGCACGTATCTAATACCAAAACAGGAATGACCGCTTTCGCGAAGAAACAAAAACCAGAGTGGGCAAATGAGTGATTCTCGACGAACATGTTCATATACCCATTCTGACCGATAAGACGGTTACTTGTAGCTGTATATAGGCGGTTGGACCTTTATAGGATTACGTCCAATATTGAAAACACACAATTGAGGATATTGCAACTATCGCATTTGATATGAGAAATATGTCCAATTTTGAGTTACTCAAATTTACAAACGATTGCTGCCTTCAAGCGAGGGTGGTATCAAAAGGTACATTATCAAGCAGCAAAATCACATTCCAAATTTCTTCTCGGCGGTCTTCTGCACCTTCTCGCCGAGATTGCCCAAGATGCCTATTCAGAAAAGGGTTAGTGCGTGGGCGCTGAAAGAGGGATACCGGAGAGGAGAATGCAATACCGGACTTGTGTTGTTTTCCCTCCCCCTGATGCTGTTGACCTTGCGTTCCCTGTGAGCCCTGCTGACTAGAGAATCCTTGGTCCCCAGGGTCGTCGGCTCCAACTCGAGAGCCTTGCATTCCTTGACCACCAGAACCCGTTTGTCCATATCCAGCTTGCCCACCACCTGCCTGAGGGTATGCCTGGGTGGTATCCCCGTGAGTTCCCCCAAGTCCTTGGCTTTGGCCATAGCCACCCTGGCCACTTTGCATCATGGGGTCTTGCTGACCATACCCCTGATCATAGCCGCCGGAGTACCTCTGTGAGGGATCAGAACCCATGCTGTCGTTGGTATTCAAGCCTCGCTGACCACCACGTTGACCACGCTGACCAGAGGTCCAAGAGTCACCGTATCCAGACATACTTCTTTTGGGCTGTGTTGGGGGGACTATTTGATTATGACAGTAAGGGCAAAAAGTTTGGTCTTTTGATTAAATACCAATATCTTCAGAATAGATCTTACCTTCTGGGTGGATCTGGTCGCTGTTTTATCTCCCATCCTTCATTAACAGCGATGGCAGTGATGTCATAGCAAATGGCTTTCCGGTTTCTGGCAAACGCTTTTCGAATTGGTATTTGCCGTTTATGCAATAAGGTAAAAGAACTACAATCTCATTCAACCCTTGCACGAGTGATATGTGCCCACTTCCGTATCAAACTAGTATGGCTTTGATATCAATCACGTCATCCTTAGTAAGAATACCTATTTGGAGGCAGATACGTACTCGGCAACCGGAGAGAACCACTCAACGCACTTTAGACGCCTTTCAGTGACCCTCCTTTTGTCCCGGGAGCTGGAACATGGGTCCAGATTTATCTATACGAACTGACTAGTTATGAAACTTAGGGTTCTGGTTTGTAACTTTCGAGTCATTGGGCTATGAGTCAGCTGCAGACCATTGAACAATATGCTCTATCATAAGTATACCGATAAATGGGTATATTTCTTGAATCTGTTAGCATCACGACGGAGGAAACCTGGTTGACATCATCCGTCACAAGCAAGAGGCGAAAAGTGGCGAGGCTTGACTTAGTTACCTGTATCTGATATTGCTTGGTTTAGATAATTCTCGAAAGCATAAGAATAGCATAATCTGAATTATGTTTGATCAAATATCGCTTTAAACCTAAATTTCAGAAAGAACTATGGGTGTCCATTAATACATAGTGCCACGCGCCAAAAGAACACAAAAGAAAACGCCATTACACTGCTCGGACTTATCAGAAATCAGAAGGTGTGCTTTAGACTAAGAATTATCAATGCCATCTGTTTAGCTCAGTGACTAGTAGGCCATTCCACGGACTACTAAGAAACAATAGTTTGCTGATGGCAATCGATCGGTGTAGCCCATAATTCCTATACCCGATACCGATCTTTAACAGTCGGTCTCATTGGCGTACATCTCCCTTTTCCATCGTCCCAGTGCCATCCTTGTAAAGATGGTGAGTCTTTGATGTTCCATATTTAGGAGTGATTCTAGCACTGATGATGTCCTCTTTATCGTTTTCGTCGAATGCTGATTTGTGGATAGGGGTCAAGCCATCTGTAAAACCATTTATTAATGTTGGGGGATACCAACTACATAATACTTGCTCTCATACAGAATCTCAATTTCCTTGATTTCACCGATTTTCTATTGAAAATTAGCCATTGGAAGTTGATTTTGTGATAAAGAGGCTAACCGTTTTTGCACCATTTTTCAGGGTATGTCACTGAAGGCTTTTGCCACTCCTCGGAGAGGTTATCAAGGGAATATCCAGTCCAATTGAGTACAGCGCGAACTGGAGTGTATAATTCTTGAGGAAGCATTTTGACTGGGCCTCAGAAACAGAGTAAAGACTGAATACTCATGAAATTGGAAGGTGGAAGCAAGTGAGAATAAGGTGAGGAAAAATGGATATTAGATACCAACAATACTGCCCATTGATTTTTTCTGATGTAGCCATGATGATTCCAAGGTAAGGTGATTTGAGAATGTACTTTCAAATGCATAGATACCCAACATAAAAAAGAATGGCAAGGAGGGTGTGTGTGACTGAGCAATCCAATCCTATCATGATTAGTGGGTTGTAAACGCGCCCAGGTTTGATAGATATGTACGGAGTGGGAGTGGCCTGTCTGTACTCCTAAATCTGGCCACAATCTATCTAGGATATTTTGAATATGAAAAATTCTTTTGTCAATCATGTCAATAACTAGTTATGCGCTCACAATGGTATACGATAAATATATACATTTATTACCTGCTGGGCAATACCTCAAAAGTTGCGGAGTATGGGGTTGTTTAAGTTAGGGCTTGGCCTAACGCCAAGGGCCCACATTCCGGGCCGCTTCCACCACTAACTAAAGCATTTGAAGCTTGTCCGCCCCTACGGATACGGAGTACTTTTATACCAAAGCCCACACTTTTCACAACCAAGCTGCTCAACAACATTGTATTGTAACACATGAATTAATACATACAAATTGTAGAGAATTGATAGAAAAATGCTTTGATGCTAGTCTTATTATATAATTCCAAATGTCTGCTTTCTTAAACCTCATTAAATGTGACTGAAATTTATCATTACATAGACTCTTCTACTCTTCATGAAAGTAAGTCAGAATTAAATTATTAAAGATACAGTAAATATTTGAAGCATTTGTCTACATATTGAGTATATTAATGGATTAATTGAGGTTTGAAAAGTGTCACTTGGAAAAAAAGGGTGCCAACACTTTTGACGACGCACTTAAGCCAGGCGGGTTCCTATCTTCAAAAATTATATTCGAAGTCAAGCATCCATGGCTTCTCTATTCCGATTTATCCGAAACTTATTTCGAAAGCCGCCGTCTCCTGCCCGGAATTTTCGTAGCGTGGGTTTCAAGCGGATAGACGACAGCCAAAAAATGGAAGAAGAAAAGCTACCGAACTATGTTGCTGAAAGATACTATCCCGTTCGCATCGGCGAAGTTTTTGCTTCTAAGTACCAAGTTGTTGGGAAACTCGGATTTGGCACCACATCAACAGCTTGGTTGGCGCATGACTTAGGGTAAGTTAAGCATTCCTTTCCCTCTCCCCTGGTACTTTGCAAAGCACAAAGGAAGGGAGGAGTCAACCTACGTAGGTGCTTGTGCCGCCCATTCTCCTTTTCGTCTGCCATACAGCCAGCTAAAAGATTCCTCGTAGACTTCCTTGTTCACACCAGGAGGTGCTCCTATTTTCCTCTCCATTTTGGCTCTTTCTTGGGCGTTTTCGTTTCGTCTATCTGTGCGCAGCTCTTCAGCCCCTTTTTTTTCTGGATCCAAACTAGAATTCAGGTGGGTGCAGGTGTCATTGCGCAAACGCAACAATCTGCCCTTCAACTACAACCTCCATAAACTGTACGGTAGGATTCTCAGCCATGATATTCTTGAATATTTCAGTGCAGTATTGCTTCGCGGCGGAGCTGCGGGTTCCAAATATTACCCGAGAGATCTCCTGATCACCAAAGGCTAGAATCTCGGCTTCGGCCATCTCCGCCTTATCAGAAGGTTAGATCGAGACAATTTTGTATGCCTGAGGTGGCTGAGTAGACATGTTTCCTCCTTGGCGCCTTACTTTTCCCCAAATCCCACAGAATAGAAGGTGGGGTTGTTAAGGGCTTAAGAGTAATCGCCTTTAAACAAAATTAGGCCGTCGTTTCGGGTAGCTCTAAACATGATCCGACCAGTTCCCATGGTCTGCTGAGAGTAGGACAGGGTGAGATATTGGTGCGTATCGGTGTCCATTTTGAGTGTTAGAAAACCGACCCCCCGAATCACATCTGGGAAGAAAGGTGTTGACAGGAGGTTTTGAGTCTTTTGTAAGTAAGAACGAGAGCGGGATTTATGCTTATTCTTCAAATGTGGCCTTGAGTGCTTTTACGGGTTTCATGAGGAACCTCTTCCTGCTGAACAAGGGGAATATTCATATTTTTCATCACAGTGGATAGTTAAATGCAGGTGGCTTGCTATACTCCGCAGGCAGAGAAAAGTCTATCCCAGCCGCCCATGCCATCAACAAATAACTACAAGATAAGACAACTAGACAGATACGACCTACGCCGGCGAACATGTACATCGCATCTCCACCATCGCCCCGAAAACCTAACAGCAATGGAACATTGGCGAGAAACTTTTTCGCAAATTTTCAAGGAACAGGTAAGGTAGAAAAGACATTTGGGAAACTATGTAGACTTGAATCATAGTTTGCGGGGGCTAAACGGTATCGTGATATAGTTATAAGGTTTGAGCGAAATTTAAAAGAGCCTTGCCAAGGGTCCATGGTTTGAGCGTCCCATATAACAGTGAGTTTCTGGACCATATACCCAGATGCCGTAGCAGGCAAATTCGACTCTCTGTCAATCGACTCCAGCCCTTGGGCCAGTCTTGAAGATTAACGCTTGTGTCGGATACAATGCTGGTCGAAAGGCCTTTTCCACGGTGACGAATGCTTCCTCTCCAGAGAATCTAAAACTCTGAAAGGTGGACGGAGTCGCGCCTGAGCCAATCAAGACAGTTCCATGGAGGCTTAGAGGCATGGTGATGATTAGTTTAATGGGGCTTGTGAGATAATTAGTATTATTGTTATTGTGACGCCCTTAGAATCTATCGATGAATCAAGAATAACCAGCGGCATGTAGTCAGAGGGCGAAACGAACATCAAAATAAACCGATTCTAGATCTCTGACAAGACACAAATGGGGTGAAAGGGTTGGGATTAAATTTCGAGATCGTCCACACTGCTGGATGAAGCACTGTTGGTTTTTTCAAGCTTTAATGATTTGACGGATTCGGTTGAAGTTGAAAACAAATCTGTGGTTTTAGTCACGATCCAGGTGGATGCATACATATTCACGCTACAATGCAATAGTTAGCAAAAAATCTCAAAGGCGTATTAATCACAACAAATCTCACCGGTCAATGCAGGATCCAGGAAATCTAGCGCCAACGCGCCGTGCGGTGAAGCCATTAGCTTCAAATATGCTAATGTACCAAGGCATAATAGATGCGGACCGTAGCAGAATACGGCCGTTCATTTTGAGGACGTGGTTGAAGGCTTTGGCTTGGGTAGCTGCTGCGGGTCCTTCTGGGTCAAACCAATCCATCGAGTCCATGACCTTTGGATCCTTTGTTAGATCTTCGTAAAGAAAATTATCAATTGTGTCAACTTACTACTGCGATAGTAAGTGTTCCAGGAGTTATTCTCGCAATGACTTCGTTAATTTCATCTGTGTGAATACGGAGGCCGTCGAAAGCTCCAGGAGTTGACAGTTTTACATGAGTTTTGGGAGTTAGATAACTTGGATGGCACCTTACAAAAGTATGTTAGCATACTTCTTCAGTTGCAGAAAAGGGTACAGAAACATACCGCCTTGAATATTTGCCTTGAAGGCAGATGAAATAGAAATAATTATCGTTGCTTATTAGGGTGTCGTTGACGACAGGATCCAAAGTATGGACGATATATTCCCAAATAGCTTCGCCACTAACATCTGATGCCTTTTTCACGCCACCAGATAAGCCATTTCTTGTCATATAGTCAGAAATGATCATGTTCCTCTGGGCCGGTGGAACGCCGGCAGCCTTCCAAGCGAACCACTCTGTGCCGACAATAGCCCAATGCAAGGGTTTGCTGAGTAAGATTCTTCGAATCCTTGGCCAGAGCTCGCGCTGTTCTTCTAAATTTTGCGCCTCACAGAGACGTTTCACATCTGTGTTCAACCCAAAGATATTGAAAAGATATCTAACCATCTTTAGAGCATGGCGGGATCCGCCCGTCTCATAGAGGCCTTTTCCTATAGAGTAGGTAAAGACATCGCTGTGATCTAACCAAAACTGAAAGGCTTGGCTGGAAAGGTGCGGGCTTAACTTAGAGAGGAGAATTTCCCTGAATTGCGGGTGTTTGCCTTCACCAAAAATCTTCCAAACATCAAGATAGCCCAAAGCACTGAAACTAGCTACTTTTAATTCAAGCAAATGATTCTGGTTCGGATTGAGGTCAACAGCGTGAACTTTCCGAGGGTTGTACTGTAAGTAGTCGAGAATATTGTCCCCGGCGCTTGTAATTGCAAGTATTACATCGTCATTACCAATTTTTAACAGTCGATGATCGACACGAGGGTCTTCCCAGGTAAATGCATAGATGTATTCGTTGTTGAACTGGGTATGCTTTGGATGAAGTTCATCATACCATATTCTCCAGTGGTGATGTTGGTAGAATGATGATGGCAGTGGAAGATTGGAGCTTAAATTGACAACGGCAGCTTCATAAGCCTTGGATCTTATTTCCGGAATGCTTTGGACAACGGCTTCTGACAATTCTTTGCGGTGGTTTGCAGGTGACAAGTAAGGCGATTCAGTGAAAGCGGCATCCAACTTAGCTAAAACCTCGGAGTTTCCTGGGGTCTCCTTTTGGCATCCGACAAAAGTATAGTAGGGAATGCCGCCGAGAAGGTAGTTTCTCTCGCTGGAAGAGATGATTGTTCCGAACCGGTACTCAAGGTAATCTCGGCGAGCAGGTTCGAGCCCTACACGGTCCACATCAAACCAGGCCCGCCAAAACACTCTTCCCAGCCAATTGACATGGCGGTTAAAGGCGCCGCCAGTATAATTGCGGGAAGTCAAGTCCACAATGCTTTGCACTATACATATATCAATAAGACAAGACCTCCTAAGTCAGGATCTCGCATTCTCACCATAAAAATCACATGCGCCAATGATCCCGGTGGATTTTAGAAGCAAGGCTAGGGAATCGACTACACTATAATAGTCTGAACTTAAAGTCAGCTTCATTTTCTAACGCCAAATTCGTCGCTTGAGAGAAGCCTACCAGGAATCATGGACAAGCTGTAGCTCATTGTGATCAGGTCGGCCTTCCCCGCGTCAGAAATGGAATTCCCAACATCAGGCAGGCGGAACTCTCGGGCGTCCTGGCAAACGACAGATACATTCTTCCAGCCAAGTCGCGCAAACCTCTTTCGGGCGACCTCGCAGAGCGAGGGGGAGAGGTCAACTAGGTAAATATGGCTAAAGTATGTCTCTACTGGAGCAAAAGCAGCCATAGCCTCAATGTTGTAACTGTGCAAAACTGGTTAAATTGACCGCATAACGGGAAAATTCTCAAGCATACCCAGTTCCCCCGCCAATCTATATACTCCAAAACAGCTGTCAGAACATTGCAACCAGCACGACATGGATTAGGGGCTTGAAGCTTACATCCACCCAAACAAATCCCTTCTTCTGGTCTTTCGACTGTTCTGCTTGGAAGCTCAGCTGTGCAGCCAGGAGGCTGAGCATATCTTCCCTGCCCCTAAGAAGGCGCCTGCGAGTGGAATCATAGATATTGGCCTAGCTAGAGCTTAGCGATATGGCTCTAGAAGCGAGACGGCCCCGCAAGAATATTTTAAGCCGCGCGCACCTGGGTCTTGTAGAAGCCCTCGAGGGCATGTTTCTGGCCTCTGCCTTCGGAAGCACCAAAGGGCTTGAGAAAATTGGCGTAGAAGAAGGTGAGATAGGGCAGCAGCGGGCCATTGCCGGCGGCCTTGGGGCTGCGGGTGCCGAGGGCAAAGACGAGGACGACGAAGGCGGATATCAAGAGGGCGGAGGCGGCCAGCTTCAGGTACAGGGCGGCGTGGGCGTGCAGCGCCAGCACCGACGAGAGGCCGTCCATGAGCATGGCGAACACGAGAAGAGCACAAACACACAACGAGATGGAGACAGCAGAAGGGAGAAACAGCGGACGGCGAGGACAAAAGACAGGCTCGGCCGGGCAACAACCCCGCGACTGCCTGGCGGGCGGGCATCCTATCAACCGCACACATGGCCGGCGGCGGGCGCGCGCAACGGCCGCGGGGGCCCAATTGCCGCTGCACAGGCGGGCATGCGGCGTTTGCGGTTTGCGCCATGTCGAGTGAGAGCGTCCGGACTCGCCATGTGCACGCCCACGCGCTGCCTACGATCGCGCGCGGCGGTTGGGGCGAGCTGTGCGGCCGGCCAATCACCGGCCCGGGGCCCGCCACGTCCCGCTCGGCACACCCCCCCAACCCTAACCCTACGCCGCGCGCCGGGGGCATGCCGGGTCGATCTCGGGTGCGATGTCACAGGATGAGAAGTCTACGCATTCCTCTATGTAGAAACCTATGGCCGATGCTCGACCGACACAACACACAACATGCAGCCCAGCAATACAGCAGCACTCAATGCCTCGCTAAGATCGTTCCCGAGATTGCAGCAAAATACAGCACGCCTACGCCGTGGTAAAAACCCAATCCAAAACACTGACTCTCTTGAATGATAAACGCAGGTAGTTAAGTCGTAAGATCATCTCACATTGTGCCCAAAGTCGCCGAGCCCGGCGCTATTCTTTGCACCCAAAAATCTATCCCCTACCGCGCCGTCGATGGTGAAGGGTCAAGGCAAACCAGGCCAAACCAGGCCTTGGACGTGCAGCTGGTCCAGGATGACGCCGGCGACGTTGTGGCCATGGAAAGGGGAGGGGTACTCAGCCCCTGGCTATCGCTTGGCGTCGACGTAGGAAGTCGCTCGTCTATGGTGCTGCCCGTAGGGTCCTTACAGCCGCCAAACCATCCAGGCATCCTGCAGGTTGTGCTTGATGTGGAGGGAACTGAGGGGCTAGTAGGGGTAGGAGTAGGAAAAGGTGTGGCGGACGACATTGGTGGGGTGCTTGTAGGATCCTTGCAGCCAAACCATCCAGGAGTTTTGCATGTTGTGCTAGAAGTTATGGGAACTGAGGTGGCTGAAGGGGTCGGCAAGGGAGTGGCGGACCATGTAGGCGGCGTCGTCGTGCGGTCCTTGCAGCCAAACCACCCGGGCGTCTTACAAGTGCTTGTCGTCGAAGTCGTTGGAACACTTGTGGTCGTTGCAGGGGTGGTGGTGGTAGTTTCATCCAAACAACCCCACCAGCCTGGTGTTTTGCAGGTCGATGTCCGCGTCCGCGTTAAGGATGTTGTTGAGCTGCGAGATGAAGTAGGTTGCGATGCGTTGCCCTTGAAAAACTTCCACAGCCCGCAATCTCGGCATTCGGCGTCTCGTGTACACGTTGGAACGGTCTGATACTTCTCGATGACATCGCTAATCACATTTAGAATCCGATGCGTGCCAATACCCACGCGCCAGCCCAAATCCTCGACGGTGTCGTAAACGCATCGGAATCCAGTGTGACAAGCTGATTCCATTGCGTATCCTGCTAAGGTACAGAATGAAGTAGCCCCGTTACAGCTGCCCATATATACCGGGTCAGCCGTGTGGCCGAAATGGTACGCGCCAGTATATTCACGCACTTGGGGAGTGCTGGGGTCCGTGCCAGGAGGTACTGGAAGGCCCAGCCGAGAAGCAGGCAATGCTTCTGGAACCGCCTCAAACGTCACGGACGGTAAGCCATAGGTTAGACCGAGAAGACTAGACACTGCTCCCCCAAGCGAATGTCCAGCAAGCCACACATTTGAGTTTGGGTAGAGAGCGGTGACGTTGGCATAAAGATCAAGGGAAGCGCGGTAGTATCGGTTCTCTTCTCTGAGGGCGGAAACTAAACAAGTGGAATTGCAAGTATAGGCCGATGAGTAACAATCACAAACCTGCCGCCAGAAGTATTGGCCACCTTGAGCACAGCAACAGCTGAAAAACAGATTATCGTTGACTTTGTCGTTGGTGGTCGTCTCTTCTCCGTCAAACAGTGCAGCGGAGGTTCCTTTCAACGCGATTATGATTGTCGAATTGGCCTTGTCGGCGTATATATGCCCACGCAAGCCTTCCTTTTCCCACCCAAAGCCCAGAGACTGGTTGAATGGTCCAGAAACATCTTTCCATCGCTCCGTTCCTGGTTCCATGATGTATGCATTGGCTGTCATCTTTGCAAGGTTGAGAACAGTTTCCTTATCAGATATGTTGGGACCAGGTAATTCGTCTATTGACCAGACCGGGGGAGATAATATGCGGGCCATTTCAGGCTTTCTTGCCGCCAAGAGTCGAGCCTCCATTACTTCAACTCGCCGGTCTGTGAGCCGCTGGATTCGAGAAGGCTGTGAAAAGGCCTTAAAACGTGGAGCAAATGCCAATTTTTTACCTGCCTCAGATGCCACCCATACTTTTGCATCCGGCTGGATATCGAGACGTTTATGAAGGAGGGGATATCGAGATGTGCCATGATGGAAGATGTGACGTAGTGCCTAATAAACGCGAAGGTCAGAAATAACAAATAGATACCCACCAAATTTATAACTACTTACAAATTCATGACCTTGTTGTAAAGGCAGTGGTTGTGGTTCGGGGTGTTCTGGTGCCACAAGCGGAGCTTGAGGGTGGAGATAGGCATCCAGCCTGTGTGCTAAAAGAAGCGTTGAAAACAGAGAAACCATCAATATGAAGGTCACCATGGCGACTCGACGCTATCTAACGTCCGGTTCCCATCAACACCATGTAATTCTCTTCATAAAAATAGCCCCTACAGTGTACGGAGTACAGAAGATATTAAACAGTGTTGCCTCTGCGTCACTAATGCCAAGTGCAGGTGACGGCATTCCGACCAATTGTTAGTCACGAGCGGGATGAGTCAGCACTTTCACTGGCATCCCTGATTGGGACGGAACGCGTGAGGAGCTGGTATCAGGAGGACATCTCCCTAGGGTACGGGGAGGGTTTTCTGACCTCTAGCTTTAATGCTATGTGACTACTGCTGGTGCTTTGACTCTCTCTAATTCATCTTAGAGAAGTAAGCCATTTTCTCAAGCCCATGGGGCTTAACATTGCCTGAAACACCTGTCTGTCCCCAATGTCGTCTGCCATCTGTCAGAAGGGCCAACAAGTAACAAGGCCTTTACAATATAGAGGTCAACCGTCTTGGATTATTTGCATATATATCCCGACGAGCTCTTCCATGCCTGTTTTTTGTTGACAAAACTCCATCTATCGCCTCCTCGTGAAATATGAATCCTGAGTCTATTATCTCACCTTCCAGTCAACCCACCGTTGGTACAGAGCCAGACGTCTTTGAGAAGCAGGATGAGATTAACATGGAAAACGATGACCCAGAGGACCCTTCAGGATCGAATCATGGAGGCGTTTTGGAAGACCTTCCAATCGAAATGATTAGCTTGACTGACAGGTAAGCTCGCTTTTTCCACCTCAAAATCAGCCAACCTAATACCCGAAACCCATCATCGTCTAGATTTGTTGAGTCCTTAAGTGCCAAAGTCTACGATACTCCTCCTTCGATAGACAAATTATCAGACATTTTTCAGGAGTTCTATGTTCGTGCTTCTTCGCATGTTGAAACCCATATTTTCATCTTAGCCTCGCGTCTTCGTCGTGATGCTTCTCCGTCTCCCAACCCAAGCAATTCGGCTACTTCAAAACCTCTTTCAGAGCAACAAATGCTCACCGCGACCGAGGTTGTTGAGAGACGCCGCGCAAGGAAATTACTGCAGTATAAACGTCAAGCCTTAGAAGAAGCTATAGAAAAGAGGGCCTGTGAATCTATTTACGACAAAATATGGCGCCACAAAACCACTCTCGACGAGGTTAGGGACGAAAAATTACGCTCTAAAACTGCCGCATTAGCTGTGATGGGCTTTGGCCTCAAAGATCTCGGAGTTGAAGTCAATACTAGCAAGGAGGATATTGTAGCTTCAGAACATTGGCTTGAAAATGCAAGAAGCAGTTTAATGAAAATGAATACTACAAAATGCCCTCATGATAAAATCCAACTTCTTACTACAGCACACAAGGCCATTGTCGACAGCCTCACAGAAGTCCTACCCGCCTCTTCGTCCGCGGATGAAATCCTTCCCACCCTCATATACGCTCTTGTCACATCTCCTCCAGAGGGTATCAATATAATCAGCAACCTGTTGTTCATTCAACGTTTCCGTGCCGCCAGCAGGATTGATGGAGAGGCTGCATATTGCCTGACAAATCTAGAGGCGGCGATTAGTTTCTTGGAGAACGTCGACTTGACGAATACAGATGAACTTGGACAAGGCGTTCCAAGTCCGATCGTTTCAAAAGTGTCCAGCTGTTTCACAGATCCTCTGCAGACAAAGAGCAATAGCCAATCATCTAATGTGGACGGTTTATCAAAGCAGAATAATCTTTCCCCGATATCCAGAATACATACACCACAACAAGAACCTCTAGCAGGATCTCCCCAACATCGCCTTAGCAGCATTTTTCAACCTCCAGCCAAGGCACTAGGCGCAGCAAACGATTTAGTACGCAATACCGCTGATCAAGGAATGAAAAACATCAGTAACACACTTGATAACAGTTTTAAATTCTTATTTGGCCGACTAAAAGAGGTCCAACTGAAGCAAGGTGAAGGAGCCAAAGACCTTACTGCTATTGTACCAAAGACCCTCGATGATGCTCGCCGATTGGTGAATTCTCCCACTGATTTTCATGATACCGTTTCCGGTGACGACACAGCCGAAAAAGGCGATAGAATCGTTGGTGCCTCTAACTCTGCAAGGCCTAAACTGGATGACAGGTTGGCTAGTTTAGTAGCCGGGCGGAAGCCCTCTAGTGATCGTATAGTGAAACACGCTCTCGGACCTAGAGCAGAAATAGTCGATTCAACCCCTGATACATCCACCCCAGCTTCCCTGAATCCGCAAGGGAATAATAATTCTACTTTTGGATCTATGCGGAGTTTTGGAAATACCCTGAACCCTTTAAATCACATCCCTGGAGTGATACGTGGCCTAAGTCGGAGCTCCACTGAACCAAATCAAGTCATACCCAGCGAACAGGCCCTGCCAATTTCTGCCAGGGAGCTTGGCTCTGTTGCTAACGTAAGCCCTCCAATACAGAGATTCTTGGAGTTGGAACATTCATCCCAGCTCAAAATTGGGGATATTCCTGAGCTTCTTGAAGATTACAAAAGGCTAGCATCGATTTTTAACTCCGCCCGTTTTACCAATGCCAGTGCATCCAAAAACTGAACAACAAGTGCTTTGAACATTTGACTTTTACTGGCTCTGTCACACCTGTTAACTAGTCAAAGGCCCCATCCTCCTACAGTTTGCGGGTACTCCATATTGGGCAAGGTAAGAGGCTGTTCTATGTCACCTGCACTTGAGATATGTATATCCCCCATAGGGTCGTCTTTTTGATTAGCCACGTAAGTGTCTGGTCCTTCTACTCTTGGTAGGAAAATCTGCTGGTAATCCTTGGCTGCTGCCACAACGGCCTTTTAATAGGATTCGTTTCCAATTCGGTTTGACATAATAATACCTAAAAGAGGGTGTAGATAATACATTTCATTCATCTCTTCGTACCCAAGGTCCGCAATGAAACTACAACGATATCAAGCAAAAATCATATATTCACCCCCCGTGCCAAGATAGATTAGCTGAAGTTATATTTCTCTTTCCAAATCCTGTATAATCGCAAGCCAGAAAAATCAGTCTCTTATGTCGAATAGGGACTTGGGATAAAACTGTCGACATACCATGTATTTCCCAATGTCTTACTCCCATTCGCTTCGGCAAGGCGATAGTATTTCGCTGCCATGTACTTTAAGAGACGATGGGTGATCAGTAAATCTCTCTTAGTATCGATCTTTTAGCATTAGTTACCTTGTCCTTTTTACCCCCAAATCCTTCAAGGAAACACCAAGCTGCCTCATTCATAGCATCCGTGTCCCCCAGGTTTGCTGCAGCCTCGTAGTACTGCCGAGCAGCGAAGGGGTCTTTGCCTACACCCCAGCCGTGACGCATACAGTTGGCCAGCTCGAAAATTGCCAGAACAAGCTCTCCTTTTGCTGCTCCGCCCTTTTTCATACCAGCCTTCAGAGCATCTTCCTCAATAGAAGCGGAATTTGCGGCAGCTGCTGAGAGATATGTGATAGCCACTTCAGGATTAGGGTTACATCCCCATCCGTGTCTAAGAAAGAAGTGGATATTCAGGGTTGGTCCAGATAATAGTTTTTGAGGGCTTCAGCACCGACCTGAGCGCTAAACCATAGAGAACTTGGCTTAGAGCATTGTTCTGGCCATTAGGGTCGGCAAGACGCCTGAACATCTCTGTCGATTTAGCCAAATCTGTCATAGAATTGAGACATGGTGGTCAGTGAGAATTTAATGGGCGCCGCGGGAGTAACAGCATACCTCCAGCCTCATGCAACCGTATTGCTTCTTGAATATTCACCTACGAAGAAGTAAGTAGACAGAATCCACGGGGTCATATGCCCTTTACATCACCCTCGGGATCATTCAGCCTTCCAACGCTTGGGCTTCGCGAGCGCGGCAATGAAGGTGTCATACGGACAACTCCTTGTGCTAGCATCGTTGCCCGCTTTTCCCATTGTGCCTCCCTTTCCTGTTCATCCCCATCATTGTTCACATATGGCAGGTTCGCAGGAAGGTTGACGGATGACGTACTGGCAGATCGGCCCCGAGTTAGGTGTAAGCGATGGGAAAGGCGCTTTTCTGCCTTGTCTCTAGGGGGCGATCGTCTCGAGGACTCGTTATTACTAGAAGCATTCGAGAAACGTCGAAGGCGGCCAAAAGACTTTGCTTCTGAAGCGCTCGTAGTTGGTTGATCGTGGAGGCTTGGGGGGCTAATGACTTCTTGGGTGTTTGTATCGGACCTGATGAACGTAAATTGGGGGGGTTCGAGTCCAGGCCCCGATGAATGCAATGCATCATCATTTTTGACCTTATCCTTCTTCCTTAAAAGGTCCTTTAGCGGCATGATGGTATAGCACTGGCACCTGTATGTTATTTCAGAAGAATGCAGGCAGTGTTTCCAGGAAACAGAGCCCAAGACAACTCCCAAGAATGAAATCAGTTAGCTAGCGACCTTGTGCATAAAGCATATGTATGTACTCCGAGAAGCATTGCGACATACGTAATGTGGCAGTGTACAGTACATAGGTAGGGCTGAAATTAGTTAAGTAGTAACTAACTAGTCATGTGTTTCAAATTCTGAGAATAAACCCATCCAAAATTGTTAATTACATAGTTATGCTCGTGACAGCCACAAGATTATAGATAAATAATCTTTCTCATATTTAGTTCATAATAACCCCATTCATAGTCACCGAAAACTAACCTATGAGGTTCACGGTTGCTGGAGAACGATATTGCAAATCCAGATACAAGCAGGCAACAAATTTCTTCCATACCCACGAGTGAGTTATGCATGGATGTACGGAGTACTCTGTACATATGTAACTACCGTATATACTTCCGCACTACTCCGTACTCCCGCACCCTCGAAAAATGATATACGTCTCTGAATAGTTGATTTAATTTAGTGAAAAAAAAAAGGGAAGGGAATGATGAAATGGCGTATTTCTTAGCCGCCACAGTCAGAAAATCCAAATCCGAATCTTAGGTGTTTATTCATTTCATTAGCATCCAAGCAAGGTCCAATAACTTACGACTAAATGAATCAATGTATTAGAACAGCGTTATGGCTGCATAGCAACAGTAGTTATATATCGCGAAACCATACAGAGGGCATGAGAATAACAAGCCTTCGCAAAATGGTGATTGAGTTCTAGATACCCAACTCTCGATATTTATCTTCCTTGGGAGTAGGTAGTGTGATAGATTTCTGACAACAAACACGAAAGAGTATATAGAATTGTTTTCATGCAGATATAATTTCTATTTCTGAAGTTTTGTACACAAAAATGAAAGCCTCTAGGCTACATCGCACAAGACTGAAAACTATTGGGCCTTGGATGACACAATTCCTATTATATATTGTAAGTAACCATCTTGAGAGGATGTATACTCTTAGACTTACTTTCGACGTCAGCGACGCTCTGCTGCAAAATTTGCTGGAGAAGCTTGGGGTTTTCCAATTCTTTTTGGATTTTGGCCATGACAGTCTCAGCAAGTTCGCGCTGCTCACGCTGTTTAACCTGGCCCTCATATTGAACCCAAGAATCAAGAACTCTTTTAGCCTCAGCTGCAAGAGCTGTACGCTGCTCAAGTTCAAAGGCTTGGGCCTCGAGGCGTGCGGTTTCCTAAAACAAGGTCAACGGAGGGTTCCTTATATGCAACAAGAAAATCAATAGGTAACACAGTACCTTCGAGACCTCAAACAACTGCTTCGTGACGCTAACAACTTCGCTCAATGGCTTGACATTCTCAATACGTTGGGTAACTGCGTTGGCGTGATCGGCGCGTGCGGCATACAAAATGTCTTTCTGCTTCTGGATCTGGCCCTGGGCCCATTGCTTATGAAGGGGGCCAGCCATCTTGAAAACAGCCGTGAATACACTGAGAAGGCAGAAAGCAGCAACGGTCTCCTCGTTTAGGATATAAAGCTCATTGCTGATTGCAGCAATGGCCAGACCGGCACCACCAGACAGAATGGCGGTTTTGGAAACCAGAGAATTCCCAGGGAGGGCATCGATAATAGACTGAGCCTTGGTCTTTGGGTCTTCGACAGGAACACTGGAAGCAAATCGAGTAGAGCTCACCGGGCAAAGGGCGGGAAGGACTTTGGTGGAGAGAACGGGACGGACCCGAGAAGCGCCTAGAGGCCAATTGGCTCAGTAAATATGCAAATGTATCCCAGGTTGTTTGGTTAACTTACCAAGAGCACTCTTTGCCAATCGCGACGCCATTGTGACGAGTGAATTCAACCAAGCCTCTGAGTTGGTGGAGAGTGGTCGTTGAATGGTTTTGGTCCTTGATGTTCGGGAGAAAATCAAAGCTAACCGCAAATGGCAAGGTCTCTTTTCTCCTACTCTAATCTTTTTCGTTTATCAGCAAAAAAACTGTTGCGGAAGAGGAGTGTACTCCGTACAGCAAGTATGTCAGGTTTACCAGGTGGCGATCCTGCGTCGAAGAAGCGGAGGAAAAATGGCAAAGAAGCAATTTCGAGGAAACGCCTGAGAGCCACTGGTCAGGAAGATGCCGAGCCACAGAAGCTCCAGCAGCTAGAGGGCCAAATCTCGGAGTCTCGCAAACACTACAACAATATTGTCACCTTACTATCAATGCTTGATACTAGGCATCCGAATCTGCCCGTGGCCGTATCGTTGTGTAGGGTATTCTGCCGACTGCTGGCGGGAGGGCATCTCCAAAAGGCAAAAGGCGCAACCGAACAGGATTCCATTCTGGCTGCATGGCTGGGAGAGAGGTACCAAGAATACAAGTCTGCATTGATAAGAATTCTTGGTAATCACAATTCCGCAGATGGAGTATGACCCCGTACGCTCACTATCCCAGAAAAGCAAGCTAAATTCTCACCAGGTTGCAGCACTCACACTTTCCATGCGACTCGTAAAAGAGCACTCCATTCATTATCATGGCACGAAAAACTATGCCTGGGACCATAGTTTCTTTAACGAGATTATTGATACTCTTATTGAAGATGAGGCTGAGGGTACCAATCAGACCCGCGAGGAGTTTTCGAACAAATTTTTGAAGGAATACCACGATGTCGCCGTCTATACCGTTCTTCGGCTTTTGTATGTGTGCCTCTTGCGGCTCCTCTAGCTCATCTGAATATGTTCTAACATTCCTTTCGATACAGGGAGTATACATCAACACAACCCTCTTCAAGCAACCTGTCCCACATTACGTACCTTCTCTCTGGCCTTGGAACCTCCCCTTCAGCGGAGCAGTCGCTTGATAACGTATACACAGATATATCAAAAATGAGTCAAAAGAATAAAGCTCCCTTTGTATCTGTTTCTTCTTATAGAAAACGTGTCCAATCTGCCTGGTTAGCTGTACTCTCAAACACCCTTGATACCCCCCTTCGAAAACAGCTTCTGCAAATGATGCCCCGCGAGATTGCCCCGTGGTTTTTAAAGCCAGAGCTTCTTATGGATTTCCTAACGGATTCATACAACCAAGGCGGCTCAATCTCGCTTTTAGCCCTTTCGGGCCTCTTCTACCTCATACAACAGAAAAATCTTGACTACCCCCAATTCTACCACAAGCTTTATTCCCTCCTTAATGCCGACCTGTTGCATTCTAAATACCGATCACGCTTCTTCCGCCTCCTCGACACATTCTTAGCATCGACCCACCTTCCAGCAACACTGGTTGCTAGTTTTATCAAACGCCTATCCCGACTGACCCTCAATGCCCCGCCGGCGGCTATCGTGATCATCGTACCTTGGATATATAACCTCCTTAGGAACCACCCGTTGTGCACATTCATGATACATCGCGCCATTCGAGACCCGTCACTCAAATCTGAAATCGACGCTGAGGGTATGGACGACCCATTTGACCCCTTTGAAACGGATCCCACCTTGACCGCTGCCATTGAAAGCTCCCTTTGGGAGATCGAGATGCTGCAGTCGCATTATCACCCCAATGTGGCCGCTGTGGCAAAAATTATATCGGAGCAATTCACAAAGCCAGTGTATAACTTGGAGGACTTTCTGGATCATTCATATCATGCCTTGTTGGACGCGGATTTGGGTGTAGAGGAAAAACCGTTCAAAAAGACGCCCGTAGTAGAGTACCAAATTCCCAAAAGAATCTTTACCGATCGCTTGTTAGTGGAAAATAGTGATGGAAAAGATATAGAAACCGGAACTCTTCTCAGACAGGTGTGGGACTTTAGTTAGCATCTACTTGCGCGTCATGACGCGTAATTTTTGTCTGCAACGAGGGGTCAACAATAATAAGAAAGGATCATATATTCAAAACACGAACTACCATGTTTCTACTGATAGGTTTACCGTTCCCTTCGTAGTAGTAGTCCATGATTCGCATCAGGTCTATGCTAACAATATGTAAGACAAGGTGGCAAAAAAGAAAATAAACATACGTAACTGTATGCATATGTGCAACGCGACTTCATGATATGTACTGACAGGGGTTAAAAATGATTGATATCAGTGCGTAAGTTGCAGCAGTGCCCTCGATTCCCCGTGATCGGCGCTCAAAATCTGAGCTCGTCATCAGGTCGAGTTAAATAATGTGTGTTACGGAGTACTGATCACCGGATGCTGCATTTATATTGTTTTCTTTTTTTCTTTGGTGGCCAAGCTCGCTCCAAGCCCTGTAGTTACCGAAGTTTATAGATTTCCGCGAATATCAATAATGATAATAATAATAATAATAATAATAATAATAAACGAGTACCAAGATCCCCAGTTCTAGCCATGAAAAGGCGTTTGAGGTTTATGGTTTACCAAGTCTTATATCTCAAAGCTGGCCTATCGTTTAGTACTCCGTATCGGTATCAGTAGTCGCTCAGCGACTGTGTATTTCCGTAGGCGGTGTGTGGGTCGTCCGCCCCTGCGGATGCGACGTTCATCGCAAGGCGAAAGCCATCATTGAAGCCCGGCCTACTCGGGAGATCTGGTTGTTGTCTGACATACGCCTCCGCATGGGCCATGCAATCGACTCGCCGATCCCATGCCTCGGCTATCGGGTCTCCGGGATGGTAGTTGCCAGAGGGATCCAACGCAAATATGCCTCTCTTCAGGTCATCAAAGAGGTCATCCGATATGTCAACAGGAATCCGCTCCAACCGGCACCTCAGCTTATCAAAAACGATCTGAGCGCTACGTTGCCGTAGCTTTCTGTATCTGGTGATCTGATGTTCCATCTGGCGCCAGATACTGGTCGCCTCCTGGGAGGTCCTCAGGTCTATCATTCGTTGGCCGATGCTGCAGGCTAATAGACATAGTCGTTGCGCGCTGGCCTTGAACAGTCGATCGATTTCCAGGGACGCGGCGCTGACAACCGCAATGATCTGTTCGGCCAGGAAGGGGCGGTATATTTCCTTCCAAAAGAGCATCCAGTTCCGTATGCCCGTGCGAGCCTTGCTCATTCGAGTCAGCTCAAGAGTGACGACGATGGCACGGCACATCATGAGGTCCTGAGCCGCATACTGGCGAAGCTTTAGAACGGCCTCTGGCGGCGTCGATCCAAAAGAAATTTTTTCAATGCCAATGTCTGGAGTGGATGCTTGGGGATGGATCTCTGATAGATGGGTGCCCTTGTGCTCGTGCTGCAAGCTTTCAGATGTGCCCTTTGAGGGCCACACCTGTGGGTTCAACAGCGGGATGGCTGGCGCAAGGCCGACAGCACAACGGAGAGGATTACGATCCATAGCCAGCAAGCAAATCACATCACACGTAAAAACAGAGGGGGAAAAAAGTAAAAAGTATATATATCGGAAGCTAAAATAGATCTAGCGAAGGCCACACAGGATAACAATGAAGGGACGGTGCCTGAGTAATAGGTTAGTTAGAGGGCTGAGCACCGACAGCGAGGTCACCACACACATAACTAACTAGCTAACTAGCGAGCTTTATTACCAGTCCTCAGCATGCAGTTGCGGATCAGGCCGCGTGTGAGCCTGGCAGGCGCCGTGGAGTGGTTGGGTCGCGAGCAGCGCAGCCTTTCTTGTCTCAATCGCGGCATGGCAGGCGAGCGGACCACGTTCTTGTGGGGAAGACGCGCGCGTTCGCGGGCATGCCGTCCGAGCTCAGTTCAGGGGCTGACGGCATTCGAGAACGTCCCAAAGGAAAAAGGATGCCGGGAATCCTGTTGCGCTCTGTCTCGCCCAAGAGCCTGCCGAGGCCTGGCGTTCCTATGAATCCTCTGCTCTGTTCCTTCACGACAAAAATAATCCCCGGCCAGGCTGGACTCGCCACGGCCGTTCAGCCCGAGATTATTTCCGTTGCCGCGACAAGACCGCGACCAGCGTGTGGCTTTCTTGGGCTCGCGGTCCCCAAGAACAGCAGGGCAGGGATCGCGGCCAGGCCAGCCAGCGCCGCCTTGCCGCATCCCGCCTAGCGCCCACCCTGGCATCCGCGGTTTGCTGCGGCGACGCGTCGAGCCCGCCCAATCAACGCGCCCCGCCGCGCATCGCTGTAGCTTTTGGCGGAGCCAGCCCAAGCCATTAGCGAGTGCGCCTGGCCGCGATCAGCCTCTTTTGCAATTAATAGTCCGCGCCATCCTCCCTTTTCTCCCCGTCCTGTTTTTCTCCCAGTCAATCCTTCTTTCGCATTTAATTGTGCTGCCGCTCTTTTTCTGCTTACTGCTGCGCTCGCTGTCAATCTCTCCCGCACGCGCCCCTGACACTCTCGTTCTATCTCCTCATTCTATCCGTGCCAGCCAGTCTCCAGCTCTATCACACTTCGCATTCGTGTCTGCTGCCCTTGCAAAAATGCATTTCTTCAAAACTCTGCTTGCTGGCGCTGCTCTTGTGGCCTCCGCGGTCGCCCAGGGAAAACTGGCGTTTACCTCTTTCCCAGAAAATGTTAAAGTTGGATCTCCAGTGACTGTGACATGGAGTGGAGGTGCCTTGAATACGGTACCATATCCAATTCCCTTACTGAAACTGCAAACTGACTGTTCCAGCCCGTTACCATCACATTGCGAAAGGGCCCAAGCAACAACCTCAAGGACGTCGCTGTTCTGACCAGTAAGTTCTTCAAATATCGATTGCTTCATTCACCCAAGCGACTAACATGAGCTGTCTAGCCTCTGCTACTGGCAGCGCCTTTACTTGGACTCCACCATCTTCGTTGCCAAGTGGACCAGACTATGCTCTTCAGATCTCGCAAGGCGATCAGATCAACTACACTGGTCTCTTTGCCATTTCTGGGGGATCTGGCACTCTTCCCTCCTCCAGCGCTGCTACTACCACCCCTGCTACCACGCCTATGACAATGACTACACCAGTCATCACCTCATCTTCCAGCTCTTCCTCCATTGTTGTGCCTACAACTACCATGTCTCCTCCTCTCAGCACCGGCCCACAGATCAGCAGAAATACGAGCACTACGATTGGCAGAAACTCGACCATCAGCACCCCGGGACTTACCAGCACCCGCGTCCCAACTCTTACCCCTAGCTCTTCTTCGGCTCGACCCACTGTGGTTCCTACTTCGAGTCCAAATGGTGCTTCGGTCATCATGGCCGCCCCCGGTGCCCTCCTTCTCGGCGCTCTCGCTGTGTTCGCATATTTGAACTAGGACAAAAAGTCGCTTTCCACTTCTTGATAAAATATTTTAAACCGCCTTTACTTCTCTTTCTATAATCCCTTGTTTAAAGAATGACGATCTTCCTGAAAACCTCTTGCCGAGGATATTTATTTTACGGTTTATCCTGTCACCCTTTATCAGGGCCCTTTTTATGGCTTGATTGCTCGTAATATACTTGATTCTCTTAATGCGTGTATGGAATATTGGCGATCGATGGTCTTTATAGTATTTTTCGTCTCGCCTCATTTATATCATTTCCTGCCATTTCCCTTCTTCCCCGGGTAGACCGTTCGCGCCGCCCGACATGCCTTTTTAACTGTTTGAATGGGCCATCTTCACTTTTGTATGCCCTGAAATGACGATGAGTTAAGTTGCTAGATCAGTTTTTGCAAAGCCTACAGTATTGTGTGAAAAAACGTAGTGTATAATTTTTAATGATATTAGTATGCAGCAGGCGCTTGATGTCTCCACTCAGTTTCATTGATTCCTATTACTAGCTCTGAGAAGTTGTATGTAAGATAGAGTCAGGTAAAAATATTAATTTTTTATTTATTTAGTATATAATCATGCACATCCTGTTTTCGAATGCGTTCTGTAATCCATAAATATCTATGGTTAAGTATATTATAACTATGGAGTATACAGAGTGCTCCAAACATGTTCCGTTTTCTGCTTTCTGAAACATCTCTTGGGGTATGAACTAACTAGTTAGGGTGTGAGAACAACTATTTTTAAGTAGTTAACTAGGTATTAATAAATGTAACTCATCTTAAAACTCTCATCCTATGAAACACCGCCATATTTCAAACTGTTTTGTTTTGCCTGTTTTGTGCTTAATAAATTCATAAAACGTCCCAAGTCATTACCAGTCCGACTGTTACATTTTACCCACAGCTTCCGTGTTGCAGCTTATGCCGTCGCCCTCCTCCCTCTGCATTCAGCAGCACCCCTACCATACATTTCTGATCCAGTCACTAAGAATGATGAATAAGTGATGAAGCAACACAGATTTCCCCAAAAATATCAAGTCCCAGTGGAGAAACGGAAGTCGGTCACGGGTCCATTAAGCGGTGTCACTTCACCATCGCCAGCTTTCGACTCTTCGGTTAGAACAGTATTGTATCAAACTTGATGGACCATATTAGAGTGGTCAGAGAGGCTTTGAGCACTCGAAGAGCGTCTCCTGACTCTGGACTGCTCGCTGCTACTCCCATAACAGAATCCCCGCCCCCGCAAGTCTCTCTCACGAATGTTGAACCACGTCTGAATATGCACCAGTATAATGGTTTTTTTGACTCGGCAACGTCTACCCCTGAAAAAGAGGCTAGTATTGTTGCTGAAGGTAAATCCAGTGCGTGCACTGCGCAGATTGTTCTTATTAATTTCATTTTTCAAATAGCTGACTTGTACTTTTTTTAAACCCTAGATGTTGTATCTCAGTCGCCGCCTACAGTAACGAATGGTATGTCTACTACTACTATAGAATGGTCCTCAGCTGTGGGACATGCTATGACTGGTAAATCTGGCAGAGTCATTCATAACCTTCAAGAGGATATTGCGCGTTTAACACGCGAATGCACCCTTCACCGGTCACGCGCAGAAGAGGCACAGCGAATGAATGAGGCACTGAAACAACAATTACAAACTGTAATGGATCGACTGAGACACTCAGAGCAAGCATATGATATGAATCTTGCTGCTGTTGATCGGAAAGATAGAAAAATTGAAGAACTAAAGGCTGAAATGCTGAATGAAAAACAAAGGCGGATACATGCGGAAGCTGATGCACAAAGAACTACTCAGCTGGCTATAGAAGAACGCAATGCATATCACCGCTCTCTTTCTGAGGCACAAGATACTGCACAGCAAGCACACTCTCAGTATGAGACATTGTCTCAAGCTCGCCTGAGAGATCGACGAGAATACCAATTCCGATTTAATACCATCCGCCGGGAGCTGGGAGAGCTGTGTGCCAGGGAGAAAGAGAGACAGAACCAACTCAATCGATTCGATGTCATTATGGAGCAAAAAAATCGTGAAATCGCGACCGGTCGCGATCGTATGGAACGATTTAGCCGTTTATTTGAAGAGTACAAAGCAGACCGAGAACATGCCTTTGAAAAGCTTGTTGAGACAGGCAACCGTAATGATAGGGCTATTTGTGATGCCATTTCAGAAACAAAGGATGTGACGGACAAGATGAAATGGACCATGAACGTACAGAAGGAATTCAAAGGGGCAGAATGAGGGGCTAGCTGGATTGGCTCCATTTACTTTCAGCACGCCTGTTCTCATTGTCTCAGGAGCAGGCGTATCGTTTGCATACCTGAATCAGCCGCACATTATATATGTGATAGAGGTAGATTAGATTTTGAACACGACGTGGTGGAGCGACAAGCCTGCAGCCCACTTCATTTTCCGGCTGTACCTACGACTCATCGTCCATGATTTTTCGGGGACATGTCCGTCCCCCCATCTTTCTCAGCGCGAGATAATTGTCGGTTACTTGGAGCTCGTAGCCAGCTTCTGAATTTCTCTCGTGAGAGATCAAACACACCAATCTGCATCACTGATGGGTCAGTTTTGCGTTTGATTAAAAGATATCCTCGGTACCTGCGTATCTGCATGATTTATTGCGAAGGGCCTCTAGGAAAAGGATTTGCCCTTGTACGAATCTTACTATGATTTTCCAATCATAAACCAGATCATAAAGAGGTTATTTAGCAAGTATCTTGGGTGCTATGTGCCATTGTTTCGAGTGAGACCTTACAGAAAAGTTGCTTAAACTGCTACTGGCAAAAATACAGACAATGTAGGCGCAAAAATTATATGGGGTGTTTGTCCGTTGCATTCTTGAAGTAGGAACTGGCAGGCCTCTATGGGTTCTTTCAGGAATGCATTCAATTCTGCTTTAAGACCTTGCTTGTGGCATCAGTTATCACTACCATGACTAGATGTTGTTCCCAAGGCAACATCTGTCTAGTAAGCAATACCCTTACGGGTATTTCCGTCCCCAAATACCCACACTTCAATGCTAAATGTGCTTCTTCTTCTTCTTCTTCTTCTTCTTCTTCTTCCTCCCATCCCCATCCTTACTGTTTTATTCCTTTGTTGACAGCACCCTTCTCTTATGGCTAACGCAGGCACTCAGTAGCCTAAACTCAGGCTCCAGGGTAACTTCTGCCTTTCCTTCAGTCAGGACTGAGTCATAAGACTCAGTTCCATCTGTGTCGGGCCTCCCTCTTTTCAAAATCGTCTCCCATCAATGGTCTCTTGCTTTTTCTGTTTATCTTCCTTTTACCCCACTCCACATACATAGTTTACACAAAGAACCTCAGGTCTTATAACATACCCTACTAATACGAAGTACACATATCCAGTCCCTTCCAACTCCTACAGCTTCCCTTTGATTTTTGTGGCCTAGGCAAACTTCACTTACAAGGCAAAGACGAAGGCACCCTAGGATAATGGCTGAGACTCAAAGGCTAACTATAGCCTCCACCTGGAAATTTGACCCTGAAATGGTATGCTTAAATGGAGAGTTAATATCTTTATTTTCGGCTACTAAGTTTACTATCTCTTATTTTCAGGCTCTTGAAATACAGTCTCGTTTAAGGTACGTTAATTAGAACACATCAGCCTGACCTTGGCATCTGAGGTTGAATTGAATGGTTTCAGGGAAAGCCTCAACAATACCGAGCAGGCATTTTGCAACCACGACCAAGAGAACCACGTGAGTGCATCGCTTAAATTTCCGACTAAAGACTAACCCACCTACTACAGGTATTCACTGTTGGCAGCTGTGAAGTGGTGGAAACTGCTTCAGCTCTCGGTCAAGTGATATCAGTGGTCATCGATGAAGAAAAAGATAATGATTTATTGGAGGTATGGTTGTCTGGTCCATGACAAAGCCCGTATTTGAGAGCATCGGCTGAAGCTTGTTACAGAAACCCAGGATCTGCCGCATTATTACCCCGTCACGTTTAGAGGATACCCGTTTTGATACTGATCTAGATGATGATGGTGAATCAGAGCTGGTTAGCATTAAAGGGGACATTTCCGTCTCGTTACATACCAGGTACTGGGAACCTAAGGGTGAAAATGTAGACTGGTTTCTAAAATCGCCCTATAATGTACTAACTGAAGTCGCCAACGCAACGAGGGCTCATATAGCCGTAGAGGCTGAAAGTAAAAAAATACGAGTATCAAGCATCGTTCTTGCTCATGTAGAATGCGCTATTGATAGGCTGCATAATTTAGAGCAATCGGCTGTGAGTATACAAAATTCACCATTGCTGCAGACAAGTTACTAATTGTTTCTCACGCTCGGTCCAAGTCTCTTGAAACTTCGCCATATATTGAAAATATATTGCATGTCCACGAGCATGACGACCTCCAGTTAAAACTATGCACTGTTACCAGCATGAATAACTCAGTGGATCAGAAATTAATCAGCGATCATTTACCACACGAAAAAGGTCAGCTTGGTGGGTTTTATATCACAGTTGTGGATGTGCCCGATGCAGAAGATAGGAAGACACTCGGAGCCAATGCTACACCGCAACCGATACCCGCAAAAAATGGATGCTCAGCAGCCTGGATTGACTATCTGTTCCTGGAGCTTGGAGATGCAAACAATACTCCTGGAATTCCCTCTCCCAAAATCACGACAACGTCAGATAGCTGGAAGCATTCGTTGTCTTTGGAAACAGAGCACCCATGTCTTTCTCTCCCAAACATAATGCAACCCAACAGTCTTCGATTTCTAAGTCGAGAAAAAGCCTCACTCGTCGGCAGATGGGTCACACAAGGCGTCGAAGCTGGTGCCGTGGGTCCTTTGAGCTCCGAAGTCTCCACACGAGCTCCTTCTCCAGAACTTTCTCTCCCCCCGCCGGCCATCCCTGGTATTAAAAAACGAGTTGCCATGACCAAGGATAATACAAGCCATGGATACGGTGAGAGCCATGAGACCATCTCAAGAGAAAGCATGGAGGCTCATCTTGTCAACGCTGATGTTCCAAATTTCCAAGCTCCAGTGTACAAAGCAGGGAAATTCACTATCACCCCAGAAAAATGTAGTGGTCAGAACGAGTCGAATTCAATTTTCAAGGACCAAGACGCTCTCCTTTTATGTTCGACGTTTGAAGTGCCACGGAACACAAACAAACCCAAAATTTTGGACATGACTGATGTAAGTTATTCAGCTGGAACCGCAAGTCCGCACTTATCATTCGATCAGACTCCTTCGGTTCCCACCCGTCCTCCTGATCAAGCAACAGTATGTATTGGCGGCTCGCAAGTTGATAATGCTGAGGTGGCAAATGATGCCACTTGCTTTGCTACGCAAAATCTTACTACTCGCATACGTGACATGGGTAAGCAGAGTTTTGGTTTTGCAGAGACCAAAAAGAAAAGTCTTGCCCCTATACCAATACCCTACGAAAAGAAAACCAAAAGTCAATGGAGGTCATTGCGAAATGAACATGACGATATTTCCAAAGATATCAAGGGCAAGTATATGCAAAATGAATCAATCCACCAAATTGAAATTAATTCCCAGGGTACTTGCACTCAACTAGCCGACAAGAACGAGCAGGCCCAAGTATCGGATCGGATCAAGGAACGGTTACAGGCAAGAAGCGAGGTAGATACACGAGTATTTCAAAAAGTTATGCAACAAAAATCTCCAAATATCCGAAGCAAGAGTGATTCGAAAGCCTGCCAGAAGGCCAGAAAAGAAGCAGTAATTGCGGATGCTTGGGGTCCCAGTCCGCCATCAGTCGATGTAAAGCCGAATTGTCTGGCTAACTCGACTCTGAGTAAATGGAAAACAAAACATGCAGCGAAGATGGTGGCTAAAGAAGATAAACAGATCGAGAATATCTGCACTGCTCTACATCCTATTCTCACCGCAGTCCAGTGCTTTCAGGGTATTGTCTCCCTTGAGTTTCAATTCGGCAAAATCTTGATTCATAACGTGCCAAAATCCTATAATGATAGACCTATTGATGTGAAGAGCTGGGAGAAGCTATTTCGGCCACAACATGGTATTCGAGGCCCTAGCACAAAGTTTTTGGAAGCACTGACCGTATCCGGGGAAGATGTGGACCGTTTCCTTGATGTTAAAAACAATACCGGTGACAATTTATTTTCAAAGGACCCATTTGATCGCCGCGTAATTTACCAGTTTCATTGTCGAACAAAGGGCAATCAATCCATCGTTGTCGAGGTTGATGAAACCGGAACAGCCGTGGTGAAAATGCCCGAAGCTTTACTAGGAGCTGTGAATGTTCATTCCCCACAACGGGCCTGGGATATGAGAATTGCTGTCAAGGGAGCAAGAGAGTACCCAACAGGGATAGACAAAGATGTCGATAGTGCTCTGAACGATTTGATCAATAACATGTATGTCTATCCACAGAAGTCACAGCTTTTACTTTTCACGCAAATCACAAGTGTTGATACTCTCCATATCACAAAAGTCATATTGCGCCGTACTACTCGCCATGGTTTCGTCGAATTAGGTGATTCCTCACTTATAAACGATCATGGTTTGTTTCTAAAGGTTACCGAGGTCCAGGATTTACTTCTAGGTCAAATGGCCGATGAGAAATCATATATTCGTGCTCGCTCGTTAAGCCCTAATGAGATGATGGCTAATTCAAAATTGTGGTATGAGATATCTGTTACCAGTTTGGCTATTGAAGACGCCTTGGAATCAAACAGATATCTCTCCCCTGGACTGCGTACATTTGAATGGCAACCCTCAGACTTCCTATATGAGGATACGGTTGCTCCTGAGAACTCAGACCCAAGACCAGACACCAAGAACAATATCAGACCTGGACTTCTGACTCAAATGTACTCCATTGTTTCAGCGGTCCTCTCGAAAACGGAGGGAATGAAAACGTCAACCTCCGACCACTACCCCTGTCATCTACCGACTGACAGTACTGTTGCAAGACATAGCCTCGGAGCTAGTCCTATAGATGATTATGTCCACAAGACTATCAAGACAAACAATGCTCAAGAAATCTTCAATAACCTAGATAACTTCAGCAGTAGAACTATTGATGAAGCAGAGAGCTTCTGGTAGTGGCTGCATGAAAGGATCCATGGCTACAACATAGTCTATCTCAAACTGACGGGCAGATACTATTCCTAGTGTGTAAATATCATATATTCTCTTTACTCTCTAGTTAGATAGAATGGCTGGAAAGTATCAATTGCCAATTTGTGTTGCAGTTGGGCTCTTTCATAGCTATATAGCTCTTAAAATTAATAACGAAATGACACGGAACTGGTTGTTATCTGTATCCAGCCAGGATCAATTGGACAACTGACCAAAGTACTATTCTTATGTTATGCCCCATTCCTGGAGTAGAGAGATTTTGCCAGGTACTCAATATAAGAGAGTCTGCTTTCAAGAATTTAGAGATTAGTCTATATTCCGCAATGAACCATTAGTATGCTTCAGCCACAGTAACTGGGCATCCACAGCAGCCTTGCGAACATCCCTCCTTGGGTCATCAAGAATTGATCTAAGCGACTGCATAACACGGCCTCGCAAAGGTAGAAGCCGCGATGGCTCCGTATTCTCATTAATGTTCGAGTTTTCGAATATTCGTGGAAGTACAAGGAGGTAGATACACTGAGTAGCTTTAAGGCGTACTTCTGAGCTATTGAGCATATTCTTCTTGGGTGCACTTTCATTAATATCGAAATTTGTAATTGTCGCGGCACGTAACAATCTTATCACTAAGTCTTCTAGGTAGCCAGTTTTATCCAGATAGTAGAGGTCAGTATCGCGGATTATGGTCCCAAGAGTTTCAAGGGTGGCCACCTTGATTTGTTGGGATTTAGCTCCTATCGAATCAAGAGCTTGAAGCAGAAGAGGCATAAGTGCGGAGATCTCAGACAGTATGAGAGACGAAGGGAGGGTGGACAAGATGCCGGCGAGGGCGCTGAAATATGCTTGCTTCCCCTGATCCCGCTCATGAGAAAAACCTACCTTGTTTCGGGCGGTTATCTCCTGCATTTTGTGGGAAATTAATGGTATAATTATATTAAGGACACGTTGCTTGGTGAGTAGACGAACGTTGGCACCATCATCGACAGATAAAATATCGTCGAAACTCAACAACAAACTAAATCCGTTTGCAGATGCTTCTCGTACCGACAAGTCCGGGTGTGAGAGCAACATTACAAGTGATGAAAGAATACCGGTAGTGGCAGAACAAAGTCGAAGTATCAGAGCCTTGGATATCCAGAAAATTGTCCTTAATCGCTGTATTGTGACCGCTCCACCTGGTTTAGAAGATGGCATCAAAGCAAACAAGATGTCAGAAACCATATTCAAATCAGATGGAGGAAGAAATTTGTTGACAAGGAGCGCCAACTGACGGACAAGAGTGGATTGGATAGAAGAAACACTTTCGGAGATCGCGAGTTGCGTAAGGTTTGCTACCAGCTTCGCCATGTCGTAGGTGGCATTAAAAGTAGTTATGGATTCTTTGGGCAGGCCGGCTAAAAGATATGTCGACAGGATCATAGTGCGTCGTAAAGATTCTGGCGGATCAAGCGAATATGGAACAGGGGTAAAACCACACTGACTCGAATATAAGTAATATACGTTTCGGCATACCTCTTGATATTTGTCGCGGGGAATTGGTCGAACAATGAGTCGGCATAGACGGCCTAGGCTGTTAAGAGCAGTCGGAGTGTTTAGAAATGAAGCCTGGCTTCCAATCATCGCTGTGAAAACAGCCCTTTCGCATAGATGGCGTACAATCTGGTCATAATATAGGCTGAAATGAACATCGTTACCCATGCCCTTGCGGCCTATTGCATATAAAATTGTCATAAGTAATGAATGAGGGTATGTTCTAGCGCTTGAACTCTCACATGTCACGAACATCTCAAGTTTGCCCAACAGATGGCGGATGAGAATATACAAAACATCTCCTTCGACCCTGATTTGTGCTAGATTATCCAGGATGTCAAGGCAACCGAGGCCAAAGTCGTTATCGCACTCCGGTAGGTTGGACATGAAGGCCGGAATTGTTATATCAAGGATAAGGGTGGGCTTGTATTTTGAGATCTCTGTGAGAGCTTCGATGACGCATTCCTTGAGCCGACTACCGGGAAGTTGTTCAACAAGTAGAATATCATCAAGCTTCTGCACATACAACCTGACTTCATTATTGTTGAGAAAGTCTCGAAGCAGTGAAAGGTGCAGCATTCCAGAAATGGCGACTGTACGCATAGATAACTCTGCTCTTTCAGATCCTGCTAGGGCATTGGTGAATATTTCGACGAGGTTGATTTTATAATCCAAAAGAGGATTGGTAAATGCTGTATCGATCCCGATGGTTTCCCAAGAGCCGAAGAGAACAACAGCAGAGTCTAATAGATCAACGAGCGTCTCGAGCAGATGTATCCTTTCAGGGCTTTTGAAATTTTTATATCGCACGAACAGGCAAGGGATTACGGATTGTGAAATTAATGTAAACGCCGCAGCAGAAGCAGAGGAGAGTGAGGCCAGTACCCGCTGAGCTGGCATTGCTTGTTTTTGTTGAGGTTCTTGCAGCTGATCCTTACATTCTCTTAATATTGGGTTCAGATACTGAGCCAATGACGATTGTTTCAATATGCCATGAACGTCAACGGACAACCGTCTCGCCAGTAGTTTGAGAGTTTGCAATGACTCTTCAGCAAATACATTATCCTGCGCATTGAAAATCTCGAATCTTAAAGAATCCCATATTGTTATGGAATACTCCGCTATAACCGCAGGCTCATATGACGATATGCACGCACAAAGGGCGTTCAATGCATCTTTCTGTTGATTGTCAGAAAGTTCAAGTGTAAGAGTTGGGAATCTTACTTTTACGTTCAAAGAGGTGGCATCAAGTTTATCAAGCAATGATGGGAATGCTAGCGAAGCAAAAGATTGGTTGGAGGAAATGCAGTCCTGTAGCCGGTTCTTTAAATCCTGTGCCGTCATCTGAAACGAATCACCTTGGTGAGATCGAAAAGTCACAGGAAAATATCTGAATACGGAATCAAATAGGACCTTTCTATATTATTTAGTACGATCCAGCAATATCTTATAGGACAAAAAGTAACAGCTAACCTGAACGTGATGGGATATGTCCCACTCCACAATCACGACTTTGAGGATAGAAAATACGAGCATAAGGTTTCTAGGATCTCTCTCTCCGTTCACAAGCTCAATTATACCCACAAGGGATTCATCCGACATGTCTAGAAGAGCTAGTGATAGTCAGACTTGATACACCAGGTCAGAAGATAATCACTGTACAATACCTTCTCGATAGCCGATCATTAGACTATTGAGTATCTGCAGAACTTGAAATCGCTGAGACCGTAGACGGGAATGAAAATACTCAGTGTTTTTAAAAAGACTAACGCCGTATCAGCCGTGAGCACCAAGGCGACACAAAAAAGATGTTTAGGAATGATATCAAGGCTGAAAGTGACAGAATTACCCTCGGGCAACTAATTTTGCCATGTTCTTAGTAAAGCGGCTAGAATCTTGTAATGATTCCAGTCCACAAATAGCGCCGTCATCTTCGATCCGCTCACAATAGAAAACAGTTAAGGCTTCTATTTGTTGCTGTGAGAGAAAGCCGGACGGCAATGCTTGAATTACGGCAGTTAAATAGGACATAGCTTTCCCCCGTATAGAGGGACTCTCATCGCTAATATATTCGCTAAGCCCTTGTACAACCTTTGTTAACGTTGCCTGTTTTGTGTCAAGCTCTACAAGGAAACCCAAATTAGTTTATTCTGTAGGTATCAAGGGGGACATACTCTGTGCAGTAATTTTAGCTAGCCTAGCTGCCTCTTGTCCATCATCTTCTGCTACAAGAAGGAATGCCCGTAGTTCATTCATCTTTGCAAAAACTCTGAATTCTTTGGGCCTCGATGTCGTTACTCTGTACAGAGTACGAGTATGAAGTCAAAAGGGAAAAAAGTTCAAATTTGCGTCATAGCTAACTAGTTAGTTATGTAATCAAGTAACCAGTTAGTTAACTATATCTATAGTTAACTAACTACTCCGTACTCCGTACCTAGTTATGAGTTCAGAGTATATAAATAAAGTATTCCGCACTAGTTATAAATTAACGACCTAGTTAGTGGACAAATTTATGATCTGGTTACTCCGTACATAAGTACTTGGAATGAAGATACTAGCAGAAATATCAAACATAGACAAAAAAGGTAATTATTTGCTGGTATACTGTGAACATTTGTTTGGACCCTTTCTCATCATTCCTGTCTCAAGTAAGCGGATTTTTCGAACTAAGACTTTGGAAGACATCCCTAGGACTTTGCATGCTTAGCTCAGAATAAAAGAATATCCCCTTAAGTTACCATGGAAAACCAAGTTAGCTCCACCTCTCCTACAGGAGAGTTCCTCAGCAGTGTGGACTTGAATACCCGAAGTGCTGTGCTATCCGACGTTCTTAATAATGCACGGAACATCAACACTTTTTCCTCAGCCACGCGAGAATTTCAATCCCTCTCGATCAGGCTCGATGATCAGTCTCTGAGCACGACTATCTTGGCTCCGACAAATATAGCTATTGAAAAGTTACCCAACAAGCCCTGGGAGAAACGAGATGACTATTCAAGCTTCGGTATCCATAATGGCTACGTGGGAAAGCAGGGCGAGAAGCGAGCAAATGAGAACCTCAAAAAATTTGTCAAGGCTCACATTATACCCGGGACATTTACTAAGGAGCAAAAAGCGTCTACGCTGGCAGGCCAAGAGATATACTGGGATAAATGTGACGATGGGGGAACTCGGGTATGCGTTCTCTGGGTTTTTGGTAGTGGATATGATCTTCCTAATCTCAGCACTAGATTTTTCCTGGTAATGTACAAGTTCAATCAATCGTGCGAGCTTGTAATGGCGAAATTTGGATCTTGGGTGGCACGATAGGGTATGCTTAGATGAAGCGATTCTGGTTTTTAAGTACAGAAGCTCTAGGGCCACAAATCTATCTTAGCAACGGCGGCGAGCTGACCTTTTGCAGCAGGCGCTCCTCTATTCCCTCAAAAACACAATATTGCTCCATGACCTCGAGGTTTTCTGCTTCGGCTAAGAATAGTTTATCCGGGTCTTGGCCGGGTCCAAATGGATTAACAGTAGTGGAGGGATGCGTGGGGCTCATTTGATGTAGCATCTGGCCAGCGGCTGGGAAAAAAGCGAAAGCAACATTGTTAGTGTACTATTATCTGGTAGAATCTGCCAACTCAGAAATAGGGTGGGCACGTACAATTCTCACTTCCAAGGATGAACCCAAAAATGGGCTGAAGTCCAAAGAGGTTCAGAAAATACCAGGAGAGACTTGATACCCATCTCACGTCTAAATCGCGAGTGATAACACCCGATTGCAGCATTGATTTGAAACGGATTGTCAAAGGAAAAGGTAGTTTTACTGCAAAGCATTAGCTTTGGTGGGATAACTGGTGAGGTAAACACATACAGATAACAAACCCAGAAAAAAAGGCATTGATCCAACTCATAATTAGAGTCTGTGGAATCATCATGGCCATATTGCTTTTCATCATTCCCATCATTGCATCCATACCGGCTGGATCAGTCATCGGATTCGGTGGACCTTTCCCCCGGCAATCAGAATCTTTGAGAAACAGACCAGTTTTATATGCAGAAATAAGATAAGCTTTTCGGGCTGCAAGCGATGAATGGCCGATAGCCGCAGAAGCGTTATTGCGAAGGTTGATCCCACGTAGCAGTGAAAGACGTTCGCGATATTCCGCTAGGCTCGTAGCCGGTTTGGCAGGGCTTGTCATCAACACTGTTGCATAATGACGAAGTATACCAGTTAGTACCTAGTAGTAAAAATCAGATTTTGCATTATCGCAGAGCAGATTTAAGCCGATTTGTTCTGCATACCATGACAACAGTAATAGGAATTAAAATCCAGTAACTAAATAGAAAGTCAATGGATAGTCTGACAGATATAAAACATAAATTTCAGCTGCTTACAATAGAGCTGAATCCCGAAGAATCACTTGCTCCAGGGCCTGAGATGCCATTGTCACTGAGTAATAAACCCGTATGGCTTGGATGATCTTGTTGCAGCTGTACCTTGTACTCCGTATGGAGTTTAAACGATGTATCGGAGTATGGAGTAGTTTAGGTTGGTTAACTACGGAGTAGGTAGGCTACGTACGAAGTACCAGGTAGTTAACTAACTACTACTCCGTAGTTCGTTAGCAATAAGCTACGTATACTCCGTACTGCGTAATGACTTTACATACATACTACACGCTGCTTTAAAGAAATTCATACTCCGTATCCTTAAACCATTCAAGAGGACAAATACTTCATACGGAGTACAGAATAAATTTTCACAAATTGGCTTCAACGCAGAGAATGAAATTCATCCAACCCATTCGTTTCTTTTTTTTTGATCCTCCTTCTATACACTCCTATTTCGATGGCTGCAACTATCAAAATTCCTGTGTACTCTCTTAATGGTAGTATTTGATTTCTTTCTGGTGACCCCAACCGCCGCTAATCTCATTTTGCTAGAGCTGAAAAGCACAACGGACGATGCCATCGGCCCTTATTTGATGTCCTTACCACAGCCCTATACCTTCATCGCAAGTAATATGAAGTCTAATGTACGATTATCACTGGGCTATCTGGCCGTATGCCTTGCGGCAGTGACGTTCTACGTTGACTATACCCAAGGCTGGAAAGCTACAACACTCTGGATCACCCCTGCGGTAGCTACATATTTTATACTTAACCTTGCCTTGACTATTTGGGTCTGGGGTTTTGAAGCAGGTCTGGTTTTTCAGGGCTCACGTGGTCGAGGTGAACGGGTATTTGCTTCGATTTCCAACCAGTAAAAGATTGATGCTAACACGACTGTACATTGGCCAGATATATCTTAACTCCTCAGTAAAAAAACATGCACCCTTATATAATCTTCATGTCCAATATACCTCACCTTCCGGCCACAAACAAGAGAAAACGATTGCCGCCCCATTCGCACAGTGGTTTACCGCCCCCGGTATCTTCCGTCATGAACAGTTCAGGCAATGGCTTACAGATCAGCTACCAATACTGACCAAAAAAAGTGAAAATTAATCGTAATATTGCGCCCTACAAGGCACATCATTGGAGCCTCGAGTGTATCATACGATTTGTACACTGTTCCATGGCGCCTTGTCTACACACATAGTCCTTCCCGAACCGCATGGCAGATTATCTTCAGCTAGAGAATAAGTGTCCTATAAGAATTAATTTTCATTCTACTCAACTCACAATATTTATCAGTGCACTCGAGAAGCTGTAGATTATTTGTATGTAATAAATCAAAAGCATGCCAACTTAGAAGCATTGATCTAAGTGGCAATACTGTCATAAAAACCTTACGTAGTATGCTTAAGATTGTATTGAACGTATCTAGTCTCTTAACCCATCTGCCAGGTGTATCTCAGCCCTGGAGTTTTGAACAAGGCGCTAGCAAGACGTGTTAGAACTTAGAAAATGATATTTACTAGATATCACCAGAGACATACCAATAAGTTGCGAAGAAGGATAACAATGGTCACCTTTCCAATGGCGGGAACATATATGGAGGCTTTTCCCTTTACATCTGGGCCAAAATTCTAAGGACACTAAGTGAGTAATCTACGTGTTAGGGTGCACGTTCTACTTACCTTTTGACTAGAAAAATTTATGCAAACGGCTCCAGGTCTTAATAGCTCTATGTCAAACTTAAATAAATCACCAGGCACTCCTGATATAACAACATCACATTGTGGGACTGCGTCTTTCATTGTCCATCCATCCATATCAACAACTTCATGTTTTCGATTCTTAATACCCTCCCCTCGAGTAAACTGTTGGACACCCGTGATGTCCACGCTATAAACACAAGCGCCATCATTGGCAAGCAGAGCAGCAAGTGGTCGGCCCACCACTTCCGATCGATTTATGACACAAATCGTATGTCCGAATAACCTGTTTCCATAGGGTAGAATTGTATTATAGATTCGTAGAAATTCAAGGATTTTTATGACTGCGAGTGGCGTACATGGAAGAATTGACTTCCGACGCTGAGGGCCTGGCTCGGGGTCAAGGAATCTTATATTTTGATACATGTTGAAGATATACTTGTGACTTAACCCTTCAACATCTTTGGATACATCCACTATCTGCTGGAGGTACTGGTCTTGCCTGTTGTTGAAGATAGGGTAGTAGACAATAATACCGTCCACATCAATGTCCAAATTTGCCGCAAGAATTGCATCCTCAATGTCATCGCGGTGGACTTCACAGAGGGTGTACCGGAAGCCGCTGTAAATAGCTTAGAATAATTCACACTGTATCGTAACAAGCAATTATAGAGAAGTTCAGGGAGAGGTACAAAAGCGCAAGGACGGAACAGCTTACTTTTCTTGACATGTCTTTTCTGTCCAGTTGGCATACATCCGAGCAGCTGGGTCAGAGTTCGCCAAAAAACCAACAAGGTGTGGTGGCTTTTCAAGATATTTGCGGCCCTCGGCTACTTCTTGCAGTAGGTCCTTCGCAACATTACCAGCCAGGATAACTTTACAGGACGCAACAGCATGCTCAGGGTTTGTTGCCATGTTGGAAATGGCTACTTTCATTTTTTCGGACAGATGGATGGCTTTATGTATCAGGCGGCTGACGACGAGCTCGCTGCAAGCCAGGAAAATTGGGTTCGCACAATACATAATAAGAACCAAAATTTCATAGAACGTGTAAATACAGGTTCACATTCACACATCATCTGAAAAGGTATGTATGTACAGGCTTTACATATATACACCTGTGTAAGTATGTAAATATATACCCCTACAGACTGTGGTCAAAGAAATACAAACATACAACTAACATCTCAGTAGCAACAATAAACTCTACTGTATTTTTGACACTGGGAGCATGGTGAGATTACAAAACCTCATAACTACAAGAAGGAAAACAGAGAAAGTAGCTTGTGGGATACAAAGTTAATAAAAATAGTTCAGTTTGATGATTGTACAAACTACCTTTCTATACAATAAAGGAATTTTGGTGGAATTACCAAGGCGCTTCTCTATGAGAAGCTCTTATTAAACGCAAGAATAACATCCTTTAGCTGAGCCTCCAAGTCCTTGCTGAGTTGCCCTTCTTTCTCAATCTTTTCGAGCACATCGGCCTCATTTGCTTTCAAATGGGCCAAGAAATCAGCTTCCCACTGAAGAATTTTCTTCACAGGGATGGAGTCAAGATGACCATTAACACCAGCATAAATCAGTGGAACCATTTCGTTGACGGCCATGGGGGAATATTGCTTCTGTTTCAGTAATTCGGTTAAGCGCTCACCACGATTGAGGGTTTGTTTGGTCGAGGCATCTAAATCGGAACCGAATTGCGCAAAAGCAGCAACTTCGCGATACTGGGCTAAGAAAAGTTTCAAAGACCCTGCAACTTGCTTCATAGCCTTCAGTTGAGCTGACGAACCGACACGTGAGACAGACAGCCCGACATTGATAGCGGGACGAATTCCTTTGTAAAACAATTCGGATTCCAAAAAGATCTGGCCATCCGTAATGGAAATGACGTTAGTCGGGATATAAGCTGACACGTCACCGCCTTGGGTTTCGATGATTGGAAGGGCAGTAAGGGATCCACCGCCGTGCTTGTCGTTGAGTTTCGCGGCACGTTCAAGCAAGCGAGAGTGAAGATAGAAAACGCTTAGAAGAAGTTAATAACGCCAATACAGTAGAGAAATCTCAACCAAAACTTACTCGCCAGGATAGGCTTCACGACCCGGAGGGCGACGAAGCAAAAGAGACATTTGACGATACGCGACAGCTTGCTTCGACAAATCATCGTAGATAATGAGTGCATGTCTTCCATTATCACGGAACCATTCTCCCATGGCACATCCAGTGAAGGGTGCAATGTACTGAAGAGGGGCAGCCTCGGATGCGGTGGCGGCAACAACAATTGAATATTTCATGGCATCATTTTCCTCCAGGGTCTTAACAAGCTGGGCAACAGTTGAACGCTTTTGGCCAACCGCAACATAAACACAGTATAGTTTTTTAGCCTCGTCGGCGCTGCTGTTCCATCGCTTCTGGTTCAACATAGCATCCAAGGCCACAGCAGTCTTTCCGGTTTGGCGATCGCCAATGATCAATTCACGCTGACCACGGCCAATGGGAACCATGGAGTCAACACTCTTAAGACCAGTCTGCACAGGTTGGTTGACAGATTTACGTGGCAGAATACCAGGCGCCTTGAGCTGAGCGCGGCGTTTTTCAGAGGTCTTGATAGGACCCTTTCCGTCAATTGGGTTGCCCAGAGCATCAACAACACGACCCAAGATTTCAGGTCCAACAGGAACATCAACCTAACAAATATTAAAAAGAGGTACATTTCCATCATTCATCAACTTACAATCTCGCCAGTTCTTTTAACTGTCTCACCTTCTTTGACCAGACGATCAGAACCAAACAGCACAACACCAACTTGACCAGCCTCCAAATTCATACACATTCCTTTCACACCCGAGGCAAATCTAAAGGCAGCGTAAGCATCAACGTCTTTCACGCTATAAAGAATAACATACTCAACAAGCTCCTCTGCCTGGACATTGGTCATTCCATGGACACGAGCAATACCATCACTATGTTTCATATTAGCTAGGGGTTATCGGTTAATGCCTTAGAAAAGAAGGCGGGAGTATATTTACCCAACAGAGAGGACTCTGCCGGTTTCCGCAAGACCTGCCTCTTCCTGAACACCTCGAATCCTTTGCTCAAGGATAGAGGACACTTCAGTAGGAGCAGCCTTGGCTTCAGCGGCATATGATCGGGTTTGTTTCGAGGCTGACACCAGAGGTGCTGGGGCAAAGGTTCGGATCTGTTGCGCGGGAGAATCAGCCTGATATTAAGCACAGAAAACCAATAAAAACCAATTCCATCCCGTGTGGTTTTCATGGTATTGATTTAGATGAATGAAGGTAATCGGGATGTGGTGTTGATGACTTGAAAGGTAAGTGAGAAATTCGTACCGCTGCGATCCTACCCGTAGCCGAGACGGCCGTAACCGTGCGGCTAGATTGCCGTAGGGCGTTTCTAAACATTGTGGAATATCTGGTAACTGAAGAGATATGAATTGGGCGGTTGGGGGAGCAATTGGGCCAGGGATGGCTGAAGAGAAAGGATTGTGGACGTCAAGAGAATAAAGCTGCGTTGTTGAGAGGAGGTATGTGTACTAACAGAAATGAGCTAGTTGAAAATTATTATTACCGATATCAAACTAAGTGTATGTATGTATGTTTGTATTTACCCAGTATATACATCTGTCTTCATTATATATGGGACTTCTGGAAAAAACTACCACTATGATTTTCGCTATTTGAAATGAGGTGTTGTATGAAGTATGGAGTACACCATCGTCTATACGTAGTATTTGTACACAACAATTTGTCAGTGTTGAAGAATACTTTTCACTGTTGCCCTTGTATCAAAAATTTTTCCAAACAGTAAATAATACAGTATAGACTGATACGGGCCCTTACAAATTCTAAATATGCGAAAGATATGCGCGTACGGAGTATAGAGTACCCCAGATGTATGTCGGCAGGTGTAGATGTGTAGGTACTCTATGTGAAGTAGTGTTTCATACCCTGTATGTGTATGGTTTTAACGCTATGTAAAATACCCGCATACATATAACAGCACAATCTGGAGTACGGAGTACAAGACGACAATTATTGCTAGAATATTGAATACGGAGTACGAGATTCCACCTCACCTTTGGCTTGTATGTAGTTATTGCTTATGGTTTTGATATGTACTCTGTACGCCGTATGATCCAGTCATTCATTGCCTCTCCATTACTTTATGTTTTGAATAAAATATACGTTTGAGCAGTATATATTTCTGATATGTAAAGATTTAAGGCGCTACTGAAATGTAAGAGTCACTTTGTGTATATCTATGTATAGTAGAATAGGTAGTTATTCGCACATACTTCAGTGAGAGTCTTTTTCATGCCAACCTAGCAGTCAGGATGAAAAGAAAGGGCATCAAAAAGTTGCCTGTAGAATAAAAGGTACATTGCTGAATCATTGAAATTCAAACAGGCCGTTGTAATTGCAGTCTAAATACAAGCAGCTACCTTTACATCGCCTTTATATTTGAGCTCTTTTTTATACTGTTAAGCCTAGCCAGCTCGGCATTGACCGCCTTATCAAGACGGGCTTTTAGGTTGGGGCGATATCCAAATGAAAATAGAATTTCCAGCCAGACGAAGAGGGGGGCAAGGAATAGAGCTTGCACAACATTGTCCACAAATGCAGGGGAGCGGCGCTCAAAGATGGCATGTCCCACAATTTGGAAGATCCATGCGCCAGCTTGTATCCACAGCGACCAGTAAACTGCTGCACTCCCATAAGAGTTATTCAAGTAATTCACAAGTGCAGTGCCGCCTAAAAGAAGGGGGGCAAGTAGAATGCCAGCGATCGGTTCCAATACAACATATAAAGAAGCGTATGAAAACCCTGCAATGCTAGCAGCGTTAGGTGGAAAGCATTTGAAATCAAGGAGCTCTGGGACGAAGAAAAGTGGACCCGCAGAAGCCACCTGAATGGAGGTTAAAGTATCAGTATTGGCCGTATGTAGCATGTACTTTGTATGTAAGTCCATACATAGGTACTGAGGTTCAGTGTGAACGCACCCAGAGAAATATGCAGAACATTATGACGGGTACACAAATGATGTGAATCGCAATGTTGACCTATGTCATAATTAAGAAAAGGAGAGTCTCACGAGAGAAAAATTCCCACTTACAGGATTATGATGGTATGCGCCATACTGTCAGGTAAGGTTGTATCAGCTACATTGACTATTTAGTTCAGGAAGTTAATGTTACTTACAAACAAATATTGTTTTTCAAGATCCAGCGCCATTGTGACTGAAAATTCTAGTATTCCGCGTTGCAAGGTGGGCTAGGGGTTGCAGATATGTTGAGGAATATGGACGTTGATTCAGGAAAGAGCGCATTGGCGGGGCGTAGATGGAAATATCATCTATGGGCACCATTCGGTGTCCGATTTCATGACCGAGTCCATGTGATCCTCAGTTGACTGAACTAACTAACTATCCCGAGGTCATACTCCGTACATAAGCAGGTGCCAATGGACTTTTACCTCATCATCTCAGACGCGTGCTGTTAAAGTTCTTTAGTGTGAATTTAGTGTTTGAAGCTAACCCATTTGGGTAATCCAGCCAGAACCTGATCAGCACAGTGTCTGAGTCAGTTTTCAGTTTTTTTGCAGAAAGTTGAAAATTATCATATAAATTTAAGAATTGTGAATTAAGTCAGAGTCATACACATTGAATTTACTACTCTGAGAATTTAATATAATATTTTTTTATATAGATTTCATCTATAATTATATTTAAATTTACTGTAGAGTTTTTTGTTTAATTTACTTCATATTATTAATTTTTTTCATTTTATTATCTAATAGAGAATTTAAAAAATACTGATTGATCAGTTTTAATATGAATTTTTTTTTTTTAAGTCAATAATTTCTTAGTGCTTATTTATCTTCTTTATAAACTGATCTGAGTCTTTACTATTAAGATTTCATGTTATCTGTTTTCACATAATCTTTTTAATTCTATTGTGTTCAATTCTTATAACATTATCAATTTATTATTTTCAACTAAGTATTATTTAGATTTTTTAATTAATTAAATAAGTAATTTCTTTATTAAAGTACATATCTTTTTTTCATTTTCTGCTCTATATCTAATGTACTGTCTACTTCTGAATTAATTAAAAATACAGTATGTGTTGTGTTATAAGAGTGTACAGAAAATAGTAAAGAAGAGATAAATTTATTTAAAATGATTTAGAACTACTTAATAATCTAACTTTTTAGTACTGAAAACAGACTCTATTTACAATAATAAGTGTCAGATTTTATTAATAATCTTCATAAATGAAACAGAGTAATATATACATATAATTAGTATTATTAAATTAATTTTTAACTGTATGAATGATGATTTCTTTTTCTTTTTCAGATCTATATTTATAATATGTTTAGCATTTAATGATCTGAATGAATTGGCAGCATTTTCTTCAGAGAAGATGTGTGCATATAATGTAATATAGTCAGACAATATCAACACAGAGTTCACAACATTTACACTGTTAATTGCAATAGTAGTATTATTTTTGAAGACATCTTATACAGATAGCAAAATGTAATCAGTAGGTTCTGAGACAGAATCTGCAATGTTACTATCATTAAGTATATTAATATCTTGATCATTGTCTCTAATAAGAATTTCATTAATTAAGATCATATAAGTTTAAGTTTCTGTAATAACTTCTGTCATAGCTTCTTTAGCTGAGATAATTTCTAATTTTTAAAGATTTTCAGAGATGTTTTATCAGTATGTTTAGTTGTTTTTCTGTCAATTGATCATTGAATTAATTTCTTTAAGTCAAGAGTAGTTTAGAATCATATTATAATCAGTTAAATCAGCACTTTTAAACTTTTAACTTATTGATTGTATAATCTCATTACTGTTCATTGCACTTACAGTGTAAGGCTCTGCACTGTGGTCTTCTTACATTCATCTCATCATCTAAAAGAGATTCATAAAATCTTCTTGATGCTTAAATGATCATACTTCATGGCATCTGAAGTTCATAAACTTCTTGACTGATTACATGATCACACTAGCAAAGCTGAACACATAAAATCTGCCACAGACACTTTTTTACAAAGATCAGTGACAACATATCTAGAGACTCTAGATACTATTGTAGCAATATAAGTTATCTCTCTTTCTTTCATGTTTAGATCTCTTCATAATCACTTTTCACCCAATCTAATCTCATTTATGAAGACTGTAAGTCATTGCCACATTATCTGCAACCATCTGATTCTCACAGTTTGCCACTTAAATAAGCAGATGACCCAACAATGATTTCCACAAAACAGAATAACTGAGACCAAACTGAATTCTCAACTCTTTTCTCAGTATCAGAGTTAGCCAAGACACTGAGTGCAACAATAAATCTGAATGAAAGCATAACTTAGACTGAGAAATCATCTTCAGAGAACACAGAATCTCTTGAGAACTTAAGAGAGTGAATACATCTCATGAAAAGAATTCAAGAACTATAGCAGAGCTTACAAACTCTAGATAGAAAGCATGAGTGAACAGAATCACTTAATGTTCTGATCTCTAATTCAAATTCTCCAAAGAAGAGTTCAGTCATCAAGTCTTCACAATATAAGATCAACTATTAAATCAAGAACTATGCAGTCTACTGACAGTTTATCTCTCAAATAGAATTCATTCAAGATGCTAGTGGTCTGAATGACAATGAAACTCTGAAGTACACAGTCACAGAGTTAGACTATAATGAGAAAGATCTTTGAAAATCACACTCAGTTCAGAACTCTACTCTAAACATCTGAACTGAACTCAAACAATTTCTACTTTTATGACTAGATCATTCTGAAAACTGAATCTGATTAGTCTGGAGAAATCTTTTTCACCTTCATAAAAGAGATGATGAATCAGACTTTGACTGATTGCAACAATTTCAACAACATTTGCAATAAGTGAGTGAAGAGACACAGAGTGTGAATAAGTTCATCAAACATCTTTTTCTATGGCAATATAACAAATCTATGTGCAACAAGCTGGATGAACAGAAGAATCTCCCAGAGAAACTGAATGAGATTCAGACAGTTGCAATGCAATTATGATCTAGTGTCAAGAGTTTCACTTTCAATTCAAAGTCACAATCTATCTCAGAAACAAATATCAATCATGGTGGAACATCATTCTATTCAAATTGAGCCCATGGATCATGAGATCAGAATTATAGAAACAAGATCTGAATCTCATTGTGACAGAGAGAAAATCAACATCAGAGAATCTTCAATTTTCAGTTTATGAATTCAAAGTGAGGTGGAAAATCAGATAAGAATGCTTGCTACAATTGTGATGAGACTAGTCACTATGCAGATAAGTGCACCAAGCTGAAGAAGAAATAGAAGTTTGAGAAGCAGTCTATAGATAGAATGAATATTAAGCAATTGAAGTTGTCTGAGCTACAAGCTGTTCTCTCAATTACATTGTCTGTCAGAGTTCATAACTCTGAGATAGAAAAAGAAGTTAAGTGAACTGCTGTGGCAGATTCACTATGTTTTTTTCTGATCATAAGTCTGAAGCTTGCAGTAAGACTGAGTCTGAAGATTCATAAGATGAATGTTGAGATGAAGACTGCAGAAAAGAATCATTTAAAGTTAGTATCTGAAGAAATTACAAACATTTCCTTTGAGGCACAAGATACTATGGATAATTGACAGATGTTTAATGAGCAAGCATTGATTGCTGATATATCTGAGAACATGATGTTAGATCTCTTCTAACTACACTGTCATAATTCTGTTGTTTCATTTGGAAATCTGTCACTTGAGTTTCATAAACAGAGTGGATTAGATTCTATGACAAAAATTAAGTCAGTTTCTCTAAATGAACTTGTTGATGGTGATAAACTCTTCTATGTAATGAGAGTTTGTAAAAGTGAACAAGTCACCACCATGAATGTGAATCTGCAGATATCAGACAGTTATAAAGATTTAATTAATGCATTCAGTGATGCAAAAGATGCTTTCTTATCCTCTCACTGAGAGAATGATCTAGACATTGAGTTGTTGCTGGGGGCAGTGTCAAAGTTTGACCCCATTTATTGACTTTCAGAAACAGAGACAGAGACTTTATGAGAGTATGTCAACTTCATCTTGTCAAGTGAATTCATCAGACTCTTTAGATCATCAGCTGGGTCATCCATTCTGTTTGCAAAGAAGAAGAATGGAGGGTTATGAATGTGTGTGAATTACTGAAACTTAAATTTAAAGACAGTAAAGAACTGATATTCACTCTCACTGATTGAAGACATTCTGAATTGAATTGGGAAAGCTAAGATCTATACTCAGCTGGATGTGAAGAATGCATATCATCATTTACAAATAAAAAAGAGAGATGAATGGAAAACAGCTTTTCAGACTCCACTGAGAATGTTTGAATATCAGATGATTTCATTTGAACTTATAAATGCATCAGTGGCATTTCAGTCATACATCAACAAGACACTGAGAGAGTACTTAGATGTCTTTGTGATGATGTATCTGAATGATGTTGTGATGTACTCTGAGAATGAGAAAGAACACACTGAACATGTTTGTAAAGTGCTCAAGACACTGAAAGAGACTGAACTCTATTGCAAAAGATTTAAGTGTCAGTTCAGTGTTACAGAGATAGACTTTCTGAGATATGTGGTATCATCAGAAGATGTCTCAATAAAAAAAGTCTGAATGGACACAATTATTTCTTGATCAGAGCTCAAGAATTGCTGGGATATTTAAGTCTTTCTGAAATTTGCTAACTTCTATCAAAAGTTCATTCCCAAGTTCTTCAAGCTTGCACTTGGTTTGACTAGCATGTTAAAAGGTGGGAAGTCAGAGAAGAAGCAATTCAGAAAGAAAAGAAGAAGAAGTGAAGAAGTGGACAGTTCACTTAGCTTTCTCACAAAAGAGACTCATAAATTCTTCTATGACTTAAAGAAGACATTTACAAAGCAAGTGATGATATATCACTTTGATTCAAAGAAGAAAATCAAGCTGAAAACAGATGCATCTGGATTTGCTGTGTGTGAAATTCTCTCTCAACTACAGAAGAATGACATGTGGAGACCAGTGGGATTCTATTTAAGAAAGATGATTTCAGCTGAGTACAACTATGACATTCATGATCAAGAATTGCTGATCATAGTTGAGTCATTCTGTCAATGAAGATGCTGACTGAAGAGATCAATTCAATTCATTTCTGTTCTAACTGATCATGACAGTCTCAGACATTTCAAAATCAT